TTCAGCACAAAGTATGTCAAATATCTGCAATAATTGAATTTGACTATAAGTAATAAAAATGCAATAATTTTTTTCAACCAATAGATAGTATTTGTACTAAACTTGTCTTGGCCTAGAACATCAGGTAGAAATTCCTGCATCTGTAGCCATTAGTGAATTGGGCAGCCCTGCTTCTTGTTGCCACTATATTTACCAGCAGCCTACTGAGATCTGATAATATCTGGTATATTATTACTAAGTCTGAAGACTACATACATGTATAAATAGTTTAATACCAGTAGTACCATAACACTGATGGAACACTCTAAACCGACTTACTAATTATCATCACGAGGATTAATTATACCTGAAACACTTAATATTATTTATATAGTGTAGCAGGATCAGTGTTTTAATATATACCAAGGATATATACTTACTATTATCACAATGTTTAAGAAATTAATGGGATGGGTAAGTCATATTTTATCATATTTTGATATTACAATTCCTAATCCTTGTGAAATTCTAAACCAAATGTAAACCACTGGTTGAGTTAAAATGTAGTGGCATCTGCTACTAGACCCATATTGTAGGGTGATTCCTCACAGCTACCACAGCATTTAATTTAAGAGAAGTTGATTGCTAAAACTACTGTGCTTGTCAAATTCACAGTTGAGATATTTTTGGAAACATTGTTTTTATCTTAGCTTGATGATAGATTTATCAGATTTGAGTTCAGTTTGTTACCAAAACTTCATTTCTTCTGTCTATACTCATTTATTTGTCTGCAAGCTAATTGAATGTATAATAAATAAAACAATTTGATTTGTGGAAATGAGGATCTAAATTAAATTGACTTTAGTTTCTAGACTTATTCATTGCTTATTGTGTGTACCTGTAGTCAGCATCATTTAATTAAGTCTGTTCGATCTACTGGTACCTAATGATAGAAAGTTGAAACCAGTGTATTGTGGCACCATATGGTCTTCATCAATAAAATTTAATTAGTTTGGCGCAATCAGATTTTATCTATATTCTTACGATTAGATTAATGGCCAAAATACATCACATTCAAGTATTATAAAACCAGGTTTTTCTAAAAAAACAAATGATTTTTTTTTTTTTTTATGTAAATGAGGATATTTTGAGATTTAATGCATGTCAAGTTGTAACAAAACAGAATATATTTCAGGAATTTTATATCATGAACTTTGGAATTAATATTTGATCTTCTGGGAAACTTATTTTACAATACAATTTTGTACAGTTGTTTACATGAAGGTGAAAAACAAAAATGGGTGTGTTAATAAGTAAATATGGTTTTATTTATAATGGATTATGTTGTACATAACTAGATCTACATTCCTCTCATTCTGATAAATCTGGTGTTTATCTCCACATATACTACTAGTAATATCTATATGTACATCTCTGGGTCATAACAGCCAAACATTACTTAGTCCATTTGTGTTGTATGGACAGAATATCCTTTAAAAAAAATGAAATGGTCATTCTAATTTTCTGCACCTACTGGGCACTCCTTTTGCCAGGACAAAAGTGCTACTGTCTGCTCTTATTTCAAATCCCAACATTCAGTGCTTTACTCATTGATACCCTGGCATCTCCCAATGTCCTTTAATATGATGAAGATTTATTGTTCAAAGTCCAAATGTCCATGGTTTAATGCTTGCCAGAACACTTTACCTAGTTTAGTTTATTCTACCACACTCTATGCTTTATGTACATGTTTAAAGTTTCTACCCATTGTGTTAAAAATCAGATATCTTTTAGATATGCATTCGCCACACTGTATAAAGTGGTAAACAGGCTGTAGTTGGGGGGTGGGGGGAGGGCATATTAATTACTAATACAAAACACTGTTTGCCCTTTCTCCTGCCAAGGGAGAAGAGAGTGGACCTGATTCTCTCTGTTGATAATTGTCTCTTTGATGATTATTATAAAAGCACACCACCAAGCTAGCCATGTTGATCAATAATCTAAATGTAATGAATATTGATAAGGATAATGTCATAGCTATAAACATCTGTGTTATATGTAATACTTTGATCTGTGGTGGGGCCATGCTGGCTTAGTAAGGCTCTAGCTTAATGCTAACCACTATTTCTAAGGTTCACTCCAAGTGTTGGCCGAGAAGTTTCCTAAGGATTTTCCTTGTCAGTTGTTTGTTGGCATGCACGTTATAGAACCCTTGACAGTTGGAATTTCAAAATAACAGTAGGCTGTAGCACCACTGTCTGGGTAAAACTTCCCCTCTTAGCACACTGCATGGCATATGTCTTGGTCTGTTAGCCCATTTGGTGCAAAACAGTAATACGTTAAACCCCATTTGATTGATCTGCAATGTATGTCTACCACTAACCAGGGGTATATAATCCATTCAATAACTAAGTTATTTATAGATCAAACTGATGGTATATTGAAGATGGTTATTACCGTTAATATGTTCACCTGAACAAACAATATAAACGTTGATAACTGTTCTTTATTACCATGGTTTATACCCATTAATAATACACATCTGGTATTAATCAATATATATATATATTTGACGAGGGAATTGGTTGAGTGGTGTAGCGTGTGCACTTTAGATCATAAGGTGTGTCATTGAGTCAAATGACAAGAGTAGGGTCACTTGCACAAAGGTTGTTTTTTTTCCGGGTCCACTGTTTTCCTGCCAAAGCATATATATTTAACGAGGATTAAGTGGTCTAGTGTGTGTGCGCTTTAGATCATAAGGTCTGTCATTGAGCCAAGTGGCAAAGTTTTGATCCCAACGTTTGTACATGACGAGGAGTAGGGTCATCTGTTCAACGTAGTGGGTTTGTTCTGGGTTCTCTGGTTTCCTCCCACTGCGCGTAAGCAAATTATTACAATAAAACTGGACCATATGTTAGTCCTACACTTTTTTATGAAAACACAATTTAAAAGATTGATTTGCAATCATACGATTTAGAAGGAAGCTAAAATTTATTAAAAATTCAAATTAATTTATATTTTATAAATATATGATTGTATCGGTTCCTGATAGGAATAGATTCTGGAGAAATTCCAACCAGTTTATCAATCATTACAGTGGTATTGTTTTCTTGACATTTGGTATTTAAGGTGTGTCAATTTGACCTTCACATGTACTGTAGTTAGTGGCTGCCAATACTAGAACATCTTTCAATAATGGATGAATCATATTATTATTTACACCCAAAACTCTTCAACTAGTTGCTTGATAAATAAATTTATCACACCACTGTGTTGTCTTGTATATTTTTTCTTAATTCTTTTTCTTTGAGTAGAAAATCTTTAGTACCATTTGATGATAATTTTGTTTTGTAATGATTTACTCAAAAGATGGTAACAGAGCATGATATTTTATTCTATTAAAGTATACCCACAGTGTAGCCTGAAATTACCTAGTGTGTGCAGAGTGGAGTTAAATCTCTCTCTCTCCATACCTTGATTTATATTATCTCATCATGACATTAATGACCATCATACACTTGTTTAAATCTGTTTCTCAAGAATCATTCAACTTGACCTGGAAACACATTCATGGCAGATGAATAAGAAGTTTACAATAGTTATTGGTGGGTTGAATCTGAAAGATGAGCACCAATTCTTAATCCATCTGTGAATATTAGAAACATAGTATAATATTCCTAAAAGCACATTTGTCTGAATATATCTTTATTTAGCTTTGGCGTGGGAGCTTTTCTCTCCAGTTTGGGGCAAGTAAAAAAAAACTTTGACAGTTGGGATTCAGTTGCTGTCCGTGGATAATTTCACTTGTACCAATTTTTGATTTTGGGGGGGGGGGGGGGATTTATAGGGGGGATGTTGTTGTTTAGAAAAAATGAGATTTACTGATGCACAGGCCCCTAACACAAGTGACGCAGGCACTAGACGAGCACCGCAGATACATTTTTGAATCTAGATTCCCTGGAAGCCGTTTCCTGGACTTTGGGGGATGATTTTTCAGAATTCTGATGGTCAGAAAACACTAATAACATAATTAAAATACTGTACTATACTATGAATCTGTGATAACTTATTAAAGTGATAATACTTACATCATTTACATGGACCGATATCTTGGATATATTGTTGTGGTGAATATACATAAATTAGCAAAGATATGACTATGTCCTCATATATACATCAATCGTCTGTGTTTAGTTAAGTTTGACCACTTATTGCCGATTTTGCACACCTTTTGGAAGTAAAACCTCATTTTAATCATTCCAGTTTCTCATACATGTACATGTACTTATAGCTTGAAAAGATTTACTTATAAAATATTCAACTGATAGGAGGAGTGGGTTGTTTCTATTTACTTATTGTAGTCAACGATATAAAAGCAGGATTTCTAGAAAAGTCTCAGGTTCATTTGCAAGAATTCAACTAGAAATTCCATACCCTGAGAGACTAAAATACATCAAAACTAATGCGAACCTTACATGTCTAACAGCCATCTGGTCAGACAGATTGACTTCTGCTAGAGTCAAGATTACTCCCCATGGATTATATAATTATATATGTTTGTAATATGTGTTAATACTTCTCTTATAAGTCTGGAGCAGTTATGGCTACTTATAAATTAATTACATCATCTTCAAGCCCATCTGCTCACATTTTAAGGTTTATGATAGTAAATGTTAATGAATGTGTAAAAATGACCTTGACCTTTGTTATTATTTTTGTGTAGATCACACAAGTCTTGTTACCATTTATTGATCTTCGTGATAAGAACAAAATAAAAATTGCTGCTGTTTATAAACAATTTATAAACTAAGAAATAAAACTGACATGCATGTAAATACAAGCTTAGTTACGGTACTACATGTAGTTACTTTGAAAATGATGTTTCAGAATTTAACTTTTGTTTACTTTTAAAAACGTGGGTATTGACGACTTTAACTTAAAGAACCTGGTTTTCACAAGACGCCATTTTACAAACAAAATATGAGCAAAATATTGATTGTGATCTACTTTATATTTTTCAGAGTGACGGAAACGCTGGATTCCTGAGAGCTGCTCGGGATGGAAACCTGAACGAAGTATTAGAATATTTAAGAGGATCCACAGACATAAACACCAGCAACCCGGTAAGTTTCTTTATGACAATACTTTGTAAGATATAAAAATACATGTTGCATGCAAGGGTTGTTGTTACATGTAACATAGCATAAACTTGTTTGTTTATTATTGGAATGCCTGGAGGAAAAGTTTGTGGAAACATTACAGACCGCAAGACTTAAGTTGCCCTTTGGTAGACAAAAAGAGAGAGGAGAGGATCCAGGCTATAGTTTGTTTTTGTAGGGGAAGAAAATTCTTAGATTGTTTGGAATTAAGAAATTATCAGCTAAACAGCTATTAAACATAAATGATATATATATATAAATTTGGGTTGAAAGTCATTGACTTCAGTAATTCACTGAAGTGGTACTATAATGAATAACCACCGGCTTTCAGTGTTTATAAGTAAATCAGTGGGCAGTCCTGTATTTGTATGACATATTTTTTTAAGTAGAAATACTTGTGATAGACTTTACATACAAGGCGATAAGAGGTATTACACACCATATATTGTACTTCTATTCATAACAGTAAATATATATTTTATATACAGCTAATACAGAGAGAGATGGGGTTTAACACCCACTTGACACAAACTAGGACATTTCAGGACTAACATATGGTTCAATTTTATTTCAATAATTCGCTTGCATGTAGGGGTCTGTTGGCTTTTCTCTGAGTATTCTGCTGTTCATGTTGATATATATATATATATATATATATATATATATATATCTATAGATATACTATATATATAGATATAATATCAGACAAAAGTAATGTATAGATAGGTGCACACCATGGAAAAGGGTAGGGCAGTCAATGCAATATGAACTGTTATGGAGAGGTGGCCTATAGGCTTTCCTGTTCTCCAATCCAGTTTCTGTCAATAAATATTGTATAGGAAAAAAAAAAGAAACCCAGCGCCCACTGATTTTGCGTCTGCTCTGAACACACAAATTGCTCTTTGCAATTTTTATCCTTTTCCATTTGAATAGACATAAAATTGATTAAAATAGGTTATCGATAATAGGTAGTTGTAAAATAAGAGAGTAAATGTTCTATAAACATGCAAACACATCATTTATTTAAATACCAAGGGTTTAGTAAACCTATAAAGTGTAAAAATAGAACTGATGCACACATATAAAGAAGGTTGATGAGGAATCTCTATGGCTGAGTTTGCTCTTTTCTATTACATGTTTATTTTGATGCCTTACAATGGGGAGTGTGAACTAAAATAAATGCTTTGGCTCTTGTTTTAATTTACCTAACACCCAAAATAGATTTTACATACACACTTAATTTAGTGAGAACAAATTTATAAATATCGATCTGCTATTTATCGGCTATTTTTGGTTTTAAAAAAGTTAAATCTCTTATGTCCATAGCAGAATGGTTAGCACATGCGTGCTGTATCACAAGGTCTGTCAGAGTCCACTTGCGTGGTTTCGAATCCCCGGTTGTACGTGACAAGGAGTAGGGTCGCCCATCCAACCTCGCTGGTTTTCTCCAGGTCCTCCGGTTTCCTCTCACTGCTAAAGACCCCATACCCGCAAGCAAATTATTGAAATAAAATTGAACCATATGCTAGTCCCGAAATGACCTAGTCTGTGTTGAGTGGACATTAAACCCCACTTCTCTTATGTCCATGCAAGATCATTTAAAACAGTGATAGTAATTCCATATATATATATATAATTACAATTTTTTTTTAATTACAGAATGGACTTAACGCACTTCATCTTGCCTCTAAGGAGGGGCACATCAAGATTGTCACAGAATTACTTGGAAGAGGAGCAAATGTTGAGGCCGCCACAAAGGTATGTGTTTTACTTATTTTTACTACAATCTTGCTAATAGTGTAAGAGTAACCTTACTTCCCTGTGATAGAAAATGGTTTAATCCAAAGGTCAAACAATCTCCTGAGCTAAAGTCAACCTAAATACCTGTCATTCATGTGTGGGTGATATAATGCCCTTGTACATAATAAACCAGTACCTTTCAGATCTAAAGACATATTTCAATACTAAAATATATAAATGGTGTATCAAATCTTAAGACAGGATTTATTTAATGCACTTTTTATGAGCAATATGGATGCATGTCAAAGGTTTACAAGATAAAGGCTTGATAACCAAACACTTTCACATGTCAGGGATAAATCCTTACTGGCAACTGCACTGTTTTGTTTTGTGAGGGTCTGTTTGTGTTATAAAGAGCAGATGCAAGAAGTAGTAAAACAAAATCAACGCAGGTCACCCTAAAAATACCTCATACAATTGATGCCATTAATTTTTAAGCCTTTTCATGTATAGTATTACACCTTTTTAAAGCAGATTGGACATGCTTGAGTTAATTTGGGGGTTTAAATAACAGAACACAAACATTTTTTTTTATTATCAATACCGCAATGTATATTATACAATATAAGTGAAATACATGTATCTATTTTATGATATTAATCCTATACACAAAAGAACATAAATGAACTGAAAGAAATTTATTCAAGTTTGCACAAGTTATTTGATAAGATTTAAGTTTTTGAGCCTGGTTTTAATAGGGACTGGTTTTAATAGCTTTTATTGCATAAAATGGCACAATGCACATATAGTTTATAATGCCTTTTAAGAGTTTACTTATACATACAGTTCAAACCCATTTACTTTTTAAAAGCATTCTATTGAATTAATTGACCTTCTTACTATATAATGTGCTTTGTGTTTATCATTCATCATACAACCACTTTCTAACTTTTACTTGCATATATAGCACATCGAAGCATTTCAGTCATGACATCAATATTAATGTTTTTTAATAGAAAAAGAAATTTCTGGAAATGGAAATCATGAGGATGGTGTGAGGATGAAATAAGAGAGCGAGCATAACCTGCAGTCTTGTCTTTTGTATTGTTAATGAAGTTATAAGAAATTCCTCGGATCTGGGACAGAGTTTCTCAAGTTATCCAATTTCCTCTTAGCATCTTGTAGAATTCACTAAGATTACTACAGGGTGGATCAAAACGAAACAAAATTTAAATTGAATAATTGTCATCATTCTTTAAAGTTGCGCCCCTGTAGATGACTTTCTATGCAAGAAAAGCAGGTCCACTGTTCACTCAGCTTCCGCCATTTTAAATCTCTTAAAATTTTCCTTTTTCCATGCATGAGCAGCAGCTTTGTCTCAAACTGCAGCTTATCCAAAAGGAAAACTGGATGTTGACTAAATTGATAAAGATCTATGTGTGGATGTATAAGAATTGCCCCTATGATCCATGCAATAGTATAAAGAAAGGAAGTGAAAGTTATATCAGATTGTATGTATAAGTAGATAATCTCCAACAAGTCTTTTTTGATATCAAAAAATATCAGCACAAGTCGATAATGTAAAAAAGAACGAGGCTCTGCCAATTTTTTTTTTTACTTTATTGACGAGTGTTGATACTTTTTGATGTCAAAAAAGATTAGTAGAAGATTTTATTTATCGCGCAATCCTTTTTAACTTGCACAAATAAAAAAAATATAATTCTTTAGTATTGGTTATGAAAGATATCACACAAGCCATATCTACTGTAGAATGTGTTGTTGGGTGATAATATTATATATATAGTGCATATACGTGCCTTGCGTGGGTGGGTTGATAAACGCAATGTTAAATATCTGTCCTACTACCTAGGTCAGGGTGTGACAATATACCACTCTAATATCAAGTTTATGTAGGGCTTTATTTATACTGTACAATATTTAATATTTCTAGACACATATGAAGGGTTATTATTGTTATTAAAAATAAATTTAAATTGAATCTGACCAGCTCTTAGATCACACTGCATCATGATTTATTGTCTGCCACTTCCGTCGAGTTTGAAATTACCATAAAAAATTCAGAAGCATTTAGGATGTAGTTATCTGGCTACTTGACAAAATTATTGGCTTTTTCTTGCCCACGCTTCAGACAAATTCTTGAAGCCTGCTTCTCCGATACGATAGGAATATTGATTAGATGAGAGCAGAATTCCTGGAAGGGTTGAATTAATACTAGGATTCTTCGAGTCTGATGTCAGCATTTTTGTCTTGATTTCTGGTAGTTTTGTGTAAAAGGACAATCAATGGGAAATTGAAACTGCTATCTGTGAGATTTGTTTAATATCACGATTATTAAATTGATTTACGCATTGATTTACCGACAAATCCATTTGGAACTAAGACTATCTGACCCTTTTTCTCTACTGACTTTTCATTTCGTTCTCCTACGCAATTTCTTAATTGCATATATATATATATCAATTTAGAATAGCTATTGAGAGACAATAGATCATTAAAATTTTAAGATGAGCTTTTTTATGCTGTTTTGCACATCGCATTTTGACAAAGATCAAACATTCATTATTATTATTATATCATTTTTGTTTGTTTTTTTTTTAATTGCAGAAAGGAAACACAAGTTTGCACATAGCTGCTCTGGCAGGACATGAAGAAATCGTAAATACACTGGTAGAGAACAATGCCAGAGTTAACGTGCAAGCTCAGGTAAGGTCAAACTAACCTACTGCCGACATCATTAACATATCACTCTTATTCAGACTTGAACCACAACAAACTATTAAAGAAAGAAAATCAATACTTTTGAACAATTCTCTTATAGTAAAACGATGTATTGTTAGTGAATTTTAAAACTATCTGTTACATCATGACTTGTTGCAGAATTTATAACAAGACTTTCACAAAGAGTGTAGGGCTGAGGTGATAAAAAGACCTCTCCCCCAACCCTTCATTCTCCAACTTAATATCCTTTATAACTTGACTAATGGAGTTGAAACCATTTCATGATAAAATCGTAGAGATTTGGGAACAGCCCAGTTATCTATCCAAGTACAGAAGTCTACTTTTTTAGATCAAACTTAAAAAATAAAAATCACATTTAGGATGTAGGTTTGGTGGTCAAGTGGTCTAACAGGTGCATTTTAGATCATGAGGTCTGTCATTGAGTCAAGTGGCATGGTTTTGATCCCATTATTCTTTGATGTGATATAAGCAGTGCGGTCACTGCTAAACCTTGTGGGTTCTTTCTGGCTCCCCCAATTTCCTCACACTGCTAAAAACCCTTATGTACAAGCAAGTTATTGAAATAAAATTGTCCATATGTTAATCCCAAAATGACTTAGTTTGTGTCCAGAGGAACCTGGGACGGACTTGATTAGTGAGCAAACGCCACACCCACCAATCCAATGTGCCTTCGATAATAGATATAACCTGAGAGATACATGAAGGTTAATTTTGCATGCAATAACTAAATTACATGGATAACAGCATCTATTACGGCCATACGTCGCATGGATATAAACGGCATTTATTACTAGTATATATCGTAATTTATTCATCAGAAGATGTGAGTGACATTCAGTTACAAGTTAATTACATTGTTAATGTCATCTTGATGAAACGGAAATCATGCTGTCTATTATTACTCATATACATAAAGATAATCATCAAATTACTTGAACAAATAAAATTATTTTATTTTGCAGGCCGGATTCACACCGTTATACATGGCGGCACAAGAAGGACATTCCGAAGTAGTCAGGTTTCTATTGGCTAATGGGGCTAGCCAAAGCCTGGCCACTGAGGTAAGAATTTAATTTCTTCGTCATGTCCTTGTCATGAAAATCATGCTGGAATTCACAAGGGCCATGGTTTGATTGATTGAAAATGTGAGGTGTAGAAATATTCATGGGTTGTGACAAGAACTTCTGGTTCTGTCAATTGGTGGTGTTTATTCTGGTACATTTGATTCCACATTGCACAGTGATTAATAATTAAAAAGCTTTGAGCACGCTTTGTGGATTCTAGCGCGTTACTAATAGACATTTATTATTATGTAGTTATAATTCCATTTTCTGTATATGTATGGTTATAAAATAACGTCTCGGTAAATATACCACCTTTAAAATCGGACAATAGCATTATCAGTTTCCTGCCTACTGTTGTCCAGTGCTAATAACTGTATGCCTTAGAAATTTGGTGCACTTTGTTACAGAAACTTTTTACTTCCGAAACTCTTTAAAAGAGATTTTATTTCCAGATTTACTTATTAATTTCTAAGATAACTTATTTTATTATTGCTTTAGGTTCAATTGATTAGGATAGAAAAAATCATAAAACAGTTATATTTTATTGTTGCGAATGATATACGATGAATTGATTAGTTTAGCAGATTTTACAGTACATGTAATACTTTACCTTAGACTGTTTTTCATACATTGTATGTGCTACATACTCATACAGCTTAAACAACATTATTAGATGATATGCTCCCAGATAATAATAATAATAATAATGATAATGTATATTTCTAATGTGCTCAAAGCACTACATTTATGGAATCTCTCATCAGTTAAAACAGTTTAAACAAACAAGTTTTAAAAATTGTGAAAGTTTGAAATTCTCTAATGTTTACTTGCAACTGATTCGAAAATGCAGTAGCATTAAAACTGTTATCACCAAATTGTTTTAGTTTTGTTTTAGGAACAGCAAGTATATTCTTGTTATGTGATCTTAGGATGCTCTCTACCAGAAGTAGGAAACATCTTGTGTGATGGGACAACTAGAAAAATATCAAATGTTGTATCTGGCAAATAATGGCAAACACTGAAATATGATAAAGAATATAGAAATTTGATCTATAACATGTATCTTCCAAAATATTGACTCAATAAATGTCGGAAGCTTATAATTTTCTGAAAGGTGTCACCTGACAACATTTTTAGGATTTGGTTAACTTGACATGGAATGACCTTTAGTTTGGATTTTGTAAAGCTCATATTTAGTTATTCTTTAAGTGGCATTTAGCGATCAGGGAACTGCTCTGTTAAATCATATTTAGTTGTATGTTATTCATGTGTTAGCCTGTTTACTATATGTTGATTTGTGTATTTTAGGATGGATTCACTCCTCTAGCTGTGGCATTACAACAAGGACATGAGAAGGTTGTAAGTGTTTTACTCGAACATGACACAAAAGGCAAAGTACGTCTGCCAGCATTACATATTGCTGCTAAAAAAGATGACGTCAAATCAGCCGCCTTACTCTTACAAAATGAACAAAACAATGTGGACACTCAAACAAAGGTATGTAATTATTATGGTTAATATTTTGTCATGATTTCAAGGGAAAACAAAATCCCTCTAAACCCACTAATAGCATGACAAAAAAACATATATCATATATATTAGAGCTTTCCTCCTAAAGATAAAATATTATTTTTGTCTCCATCATTGTTTTTTTTTAAGGGCTATGGATAGTCAGTGTTTATGTCAGAGCTCTCCTTTTAAAATTTCGCCAAACAGTCAATTTTTCACTGTTTTTGTTTTTTTTTTATCTCAAATTGGCAAGAACCTTTTTTCAAAGAACACAAAATCTATAAATTATCTGAATTTTATGGTTAAATTCTTTGAAATGCCAATTTGACTCAATTTTTCTGTCAGTCACTCAAGTCAAGACTGGCATATTTCACTGACACAAGAGTCTCAGTTTAGATTCAGACATTTGGTAATGAGCCTATGGATAATCCTCATACTTATGGTTACAGGTATTAAGGGGGTTGATTGACTGATATTTGCACTTTAGATCATAAGATCTGCCATTAGATCAAGTGGCATGCAATCCCAAGCCTGTTCATTTCAAGATTTAGGGTCGCCTACAGAACCTTGTGGCTTTTCTCTGGGTCCTCCGGTTTCCTCTCACGGTTAAAAACCAAACTGTACCATATGTTAGTCCTGAAATGACCTTGTTTATGTCAAGTGGATGTTAAACCCTATTTCTCTCTCTTTCTCCTTAAGGTTAAAACTTATAGCTATTATTATTTATTAAATTTCTGCAAAATAAAAGTACATTTATGCTTATTATCTCCCACTATCACAGAATGGAGGGCTAGTTAATGATACAACCAAGGTTTGTTCATCATATCTTGTCTTACAGAAAATCTTTTATTTTACTTATTCTTATATATATTTTGGTTTGCATGAATTAAATGTACAGTTATATATCGTTTTCATATTTTTGTACAGTATTGATACTGTTTAGTCCATTTGCATAAATATTATTCTTATTTACATCAATTTCTATATGTTGAATCTCTACAATTCGGAGTTGCAAAATCGTTAGTCATTAATGCTTTTTCTAGCATGTAGACCATTCAGAATAACTTGTTTTCCTTGTATATTTCTTCATTACTTTCTATTGAATTACCAAACAGGGCCACATTATTTTTCTTTGTTATCTTCTGTTAAATTAGTTAGTAGAACCACATTATTTTTTGAATAATGTAAATAAATTTGTATCATATTTTATTTTCTCCAGTTCATATCTGTTCTTGTATAATATGAATATCAGGAGATCTGTATGTGTATCTTTTATTTCAACATCTGAACTATTTTTCTATTTTTTTTCATTAGTCTATCATAATTCATTGTGAATTAATTTGTTCGTATCTGTGTATTATCAAAATTAGGATAATATATGTGTCTTACATTTTAATATTTACCTATTTTTGCTCTCTTTTTGTGTTGCATAGTTCATGAGTCATGTTTGTACGTTTGTTCATGTATCTGTTGTTTTGTTTTTTAATAACATCTTCCTATGTGCATTGATATGATATCATTCAACTGCCACAGATTAGATCTGCTAAAATCTTGATAATATCGGACCACTTGATATTTATGCAGAATGAAAGATAAGCACTTTTTATACACAAACAAATATCTATTATAAATTCTCATTTTTATTAACATGACCATTGGTTTTCTTAGTCTTAAATTAATTAACAAATCATACAACTTACTACTAAATACTAACTTGTCATATATATATATATATATATATATATCATACAGTTAATTAATTAATTAATAAATGTTTTTCTTTGATTGTACATAGCTATTTTATAAAATTTTATGTTTACATTTTCAGAGTGGATTTACTCCATTACATATTGCCTCTCACTATGGCAACACGAACGTAGCTAATTTGTTAATACAAAGAGGTGCAGATGTAAATTTCAAAGCTAAGGTAAATGATTTTCTGTACTTAATATATACAGTTTACTTTAGATTGTGTAATGAAAGTATATCACATTTAATTGCATGTTTTCTTTTAACCCAAACTGTGTATTTATTAGTTCAAATGTATTTGAGATTCAATCTAGAAAAAATTTCTGCCACCAAAGTGCTGTTTGATGATTTATTTCTATATTATTAAGTGAATATTTTAAAAAGATTATGGAATATATCTATTTTTGTTTTGGTTTTTTTCAGAACAATATTACACCACTACATGTAGGATCAAGATGGGGAAAGGCAAATATGGTAACTTTACTGCTGGACAATAAAGCTGATATATCAGAAAAAACTAGAGTAAGTAGCATATTTTAGTATTTTCTGTTTGTAGTGAATATTGTATTTGAATAGAGCATAACTTTATAAAATGGAAAACTATGTATAATTTCAAACATATAACTTGATTATTTAAATATTCCTTAAAATAAACCTAACCAATATAACATATTAATATAGTGTATTACATTTGTAGTGAATATTGTATTTGAATGGAGCACAACTTTATAAAATAGAATACTGTGTACAATATGCAACATATAACTTGATTACTTAAGTATTCTTTATAATAAGTAGCGTTTGTCCAACTAAAACAGTATATTAATTAAGAATTTTTCATTGTTTTCTAGGATGGCTTGACACCTTTACATTGTGCAGCAAGAAGCGGACATGAAGGTGTAGTTGATTTATTATTGGAACGATACGCACCACATTCATCAAAAACAAAGGTTCGTTGAATTTTAAATTCGTCAATTCCTAATGGAGTACATACTACAAATATTAACAGTAATGTACAATATGCAGTAATCTTATTGGGGATTACTGCTTCATCCATGTTGGTTTTATTGTTATTTTTTTTTTAATCTGTTTGTAAAATTTGTCTCATTTCCTTACAGAATGGATTAACACCGTTACATATGGCTGCCCAAGGAGATCATGTTGATTGTGCACGACTTCTTCTCTACCATAAAGCACAGGTTGATGACGTCACAGTGGTATGTCTTTTTTGTGTGCCTTAATCCAAAATATCAACTAAAACATCTTAATACGGTGTAAAACGTCATTTAATAATATCAATAATAAAACAAATAAATGACTGTAACTAAATTACAATAAAAACATTAATCAAAATAAAGATTATAATACAACAATAATTAAAATACATGTTGGGCTAATACAGTAAACATGAAATTACAAAAATTCATAAAATTAATCGCTAAACGATGTTTTTTGTCTGTGATTGAATGATTACCGATAAGCTATAAATTCATAGCAAAAAAATAATTTTACATTGTCGGCAATATGACTTTGGTGGAAACAGACGTTAAATAAAGCTATTTCACACACATAATTTCACATTCTAAAGTTTATAAGTTGTTCATGTTTTAGTGGTTGGAAGAAACAGTCAATTCTATATTTTCCAAGTCAAGTATGCAAGGGGGATCCCAAGGTGGTTCAGTGCTGGCTCACTAACCAAGAGGTTCCTGGGCCCTTATTCACGAAAACTTAAACTAAGATACAATTGAAATTTTAAGAAATACTGCAATTCGATTGGCTGACCAATATGCAAATTGGATATATGCAAATTGATTTTACTGGTCAGCCAATCGAATTGCAGTATTTCTTAAAATTTCGATTGTATCTTAGTTTAAGTTTTCGTGAATAAGGGCCCTGGTTCGATCACCTTGTTAGCTGAGAAAGTACCACAGGATTCTCTGGCGTGTTTTCACCTAGTCAGTAGTGCAGGACAGAGGGTGCTGCGAGGACAGTGTCTAGTTGTTCGGATGGGATGAAGAAATGAAGTCCTGTGTACACTTTGGCATGCACATAAAAGAACATGTTACAGTTGTAATTCGTAATAAGAGTAGGCTGTAGCATATCACATGTCTTCAATAGTCCGGTTGATGCAGAAAAGTAGGACGTTAAACCCCATTTTATTTCATCTATTTTAATTTTAGGATTATTTAACACCATTACATGTTGCTGCCCACTGTGGAAATGTTAAAACAGCAAAATTACTATTAGACAGAAAGTGTGAACCCAATTCAAGAGCTTTGGTGAGTAATAAAATAATTATGCTTTGGATGAAAATTTATTTAGTATTGGCAAAGCTGGCAAATAACAAGCAAGGGCAAAGTTCAGTTTTCATGTAAGAGTGAATATCATCTTTTCAAATCTTGTCTCTCATATAATATATATATTTTTTCCTGTGTGGTTCCCCCTTATCAGTGATGCAGTACAGAGGGCCTGGCAAGGACAGTGCCCAGTCATTTGGAGGGTACGTAAAACCATGGTCCTGTGTAATCTTTGGCACGCACATAATAGAACCCCTGAAGGTTGGAATTTGATTGCTGTCCGGGTAAGACTTACCTCATAGCCTACTGTATGGTTTATACCCATCTTCATTATCCCGGTAGGTGCAGAATAGTAAGACGTTAAACCCCATTTTATTTCATTTCATATAATTCATCTAATTTTTTTACAGAACGGATTCACACCACTACACATTGCTTGTAAGAAGAACAGAATAAAGGTCGTAGAACTTTTATTGAAATATGGAGCGAGTATTGAAGCTACAACAGAGGTAATTAATAATTTATATAGTAAGAAATATTTATTTATAAGATTGATATTTATTGCAAGCTGAATTTAAAAATTTAGATTTAATGATGGTAAATTTTTTAATAATAAACTACATTATAGCTAATTTGGCATTTAGTAATTGAACTAGAGAAACCTAATTGAAATGTCACTCAGTAATAAGCAGTAATGGTATTCCATAGAATTGTGTCCTGTGTATTTACATTATTGCTGTTACTGGTTTTCTAAAATCCAATGAAAGAAACAAACATTTCATTTATATATTTATCTATAAAATTTATGTTTTATTTTATAGACATTTCTCCCTTATTATGAATATTATCTCAATTTCAGTCGGGTTTGACTCCTCTCCACGTTGCATCATTCATGGGTCATATGAACATCGTGATTTATCTGATTCAACAAAATGCGAACCCAGATTTCCCAACAGTACGAGGAGAAACATCTCTACATCTTGCTGCGAGAGCTAATCAAACAGATATTATTCGAATCCTGTTACGCAATGGAGCTACAGTAGATGCTAGAGCTAGAGTAAGCACAGGTTTTTCAACCATAATTTTCATGTACCTTTAACCCATTTGACAGTTAATGTTTCCCCAGGCCTAGAAATAATGATTTTAATTGTGTCTAACAAACTCAGGCACGAAAGAACTAGTACCCGACATTTGGAAATTTTTACATGTCGTGTAATTAAGAATATCATTAAAACACTGATAGAAAACAAATCTGTACCATATAAAATGATAGACACCAGATGAACTGCTTCTGACATTGTCTGTGATGGGCGTTTTTTTGTCTTATCTCACTATCTTGAAAACTTTTAATTTTAATCAGTAACTATTCAGAGCTCTAGATTTCTTTGATAACATTAAAATAAAGTTTGACTATCATAATAATGTTCTATTTCTAAATATCCTACTAAAGTTTAACATTGAGATGATATTTTATTTTTTATTTCAGGAACAACAAACTCCATTACACATTGCTTCTCGTCTGGGTAATGTTGATAACGTGGTGTTGTTACTTCAACATGGCGCTTCACCTGATGCTACAACTAAAGATCTGTATACACCGTTACATATTGCTGCTAAAGAAGGACATGATGAATGTGCACAAGTTTTATTAGAACAAGGAGCTGATCACAGTTTGACAACAAAGGTACGATTGTTTTTCTGAAAACTTAAATTTTCATTTGAAATTGTCATTAGATTTTCGACAAAATGGTCAATGATGATGGATTTTAAGTAGTATGATTTATTACAGATTTATTAAAAGTAAAAATATGTTCAGTTAAAACAAAAAAAACCAAAACCTTTTACTTCTTTATTCTGATAAACATCAAATCATAAGTTAGCTGCTGCCCTTAATTGAACGTCTTCATCAGATGTTTTAATATATATGTATATATTTTCCTTTAATTGGACAAATGTATTTAAATCTCAATCCTCAAGTATGTAATGACCTTGCAATAATGATCAGAAATTAAAATATATGTATGTCTGTATTAAAATTATTTTTGTAATGTTCAACAGGATGAGGTTAAATTGATTTTCTATAAATAATGTTTATTTTGTCTTGCAGAAGGGCTTCACTCCTCTTCACATAGCGTCTAAATATGGTAACATCAAAGTTGCTCGTCTGCTACTACAGAAAGATGCTAATCCAGATGTACAAGGAAAGAATGGTCTTACTCCGTTACATGTAGCCACACATTATAATCATGTGAATGTAGCACAACTTCTGTTAGAGAACAAAGCCAGCCCTCATTCAGCTGCCAAGGTAAATATACATAGATCAGATTTCAACAAAAATGTAATTTACCCATAGTCGACACAAATTGGGTGGTAAAAACTAAGTAAATATTCAATTTGAGTGATATAAATTTAGTAAATTCAAACATTGAGTGATAAATTTAGTAAATTCTAAAACTGGGTTATATAAGTAAATTCCAAAATTGAGTGATAAAAACTGAGTAAATCCCAGAGAGGGTTATATAAACTTAATAAATTTCCAAAATTGGGAATTGGGTGATATAAACTTAGTATATTCCGAAATTGACAATTTCTTAATAATCTCGGCTCGTCTGGTATTTGACATGTACATCCTTAGATAAATTTTCTATTGATTGTAACATTATTGAAGAATAATAATTCAAAATAATCTTATTTCAGAATGGGTACACCCCTCTTCACATAGCGGCAAAGAAAAACCAGATGGATATTGCTACCACTCTGCTGGAATATGGTGCCAAGCCCAATGCTGAATCTAAGGTAGTTTCACAGAGAAAATCTAAAGAAAGAAATGAATCCTGTTGAATTTAATCGCATATTAATCTTCTAAAATAACTAGGAATTAGCATTACTAGAAACTAGATATTTATGCTATATGCATAGCCAGTTTTAGTTCATTTCTTCATTTATTGTTAAACTAATCTTTTGGATTTTTTTTTTTTCAGAATGGATTTACACCCCTTCATCTGGCTGCACAAGAAGGTCATACAGACATGGTTTCGCTTCTTCTTGAACAGAAAGCTAATGTTAACGCCAAGGCCAATGTAAGTTGAAACATGTTTTATGACTATACATGGTGACTCATTGAGTAAGGCACTGGCTCACTAACCAGGAGATCCAGGATTCGATCCCGATCTTGGCTGAAAACTTTCCCAGTGTTTTCCATCATGGTTTCCTTTTGTCAATGGTGGAGGATGAAGGTCCTGGCAAGGAAGAGTGTCGAGTCATTTGGATAGTATGGAAAAAAAAGAGATCCTGTATACAAAAAAGAACCCTTGAATTTGAAAACGGCTGTAGCGCAACTGTGGGCAAGATTTCTCTCAAAGCACACTGCATGATGCTTGTCTTCATTAGCCCAGTTATTGCAGAAAAGTAGGATGTTAAACCCCCATTTCATTTCACAACTATACATTTCACCTGTAATGTTTCCATCTATAGAGATTATTTACTAATTTTGTATTTTGCTTCATTGAAATATGTATAGCAACTGTTTGTATTAAGGTATAATTGCGATTCATATGCTTTCCATGATAAGTGTTCTTAAAGATATATTATATTAATTTCTATTTCAGAATGGTCTTACTCCAATGCATCTGGCTGCACAAGAGGATAAAGTACCTGTGGCTGAAGTTCTCGTTAAATATGGATCAGAGATTGATCCCAGCACAAAGGCTGGATATACACCACTTCATACAGCCTGTCATTTCGGACAAACCAACATGGCCCGATTCTTGCTTGAACATTCTGCTTCAGTCAATGCTACTACTAAGGTGAGTTTAGAAATCAGATTTTTTTTAAGATATTGAATGACAAGTACCAAAATATAATCTCAGATTGTTGTTCGCATAGTGCCTGTTAATACTAAGGTATAAAAGTATTTGAACTGTTTATTTTTCTTAAACTTTGTAGAAAAAAGGTTAATATCAGTTCAGTTAGTCTTTGATTTCTATAACAAATTTTTATTATTTTCAGGTTGGCTATACACCACTACATCAAGCTGCACAACAAGGTCATGTGATGGTTGTTAATTTGTTAATAAAGAATGGTGCATCACCAAATGCTGTCACTAACGTAAGTATAAAAACAATAGTTAATATATTACGTCTTCTGGTTGTGTAACATTTAATTAAGAAAACCTAGAATATCAACAGTAGATAACCTCCCAGCATGGATTCACTTGGATTAAAATGAGGCCCGTCAAAAGATTTTACGTTGCACTTAGAAGTGGCACTGGATCACTTGCAGACTGTTGCTAAATTTCAATTTGTCATATTTTTGTAAATACTGAAGGAATTGAACCATTTTTACTATATTCCTATTAGAGATTTAACTTTCACAATATTGTAGTTGGCAGGAGATTCAAAACTCCTCAAATTATGATCAGCTTAAAAGTGTATGATTGACAATTCTATCCATATCATTATAGATCCATTGTTTATTTTGTTTTTGTTACAGTGACTGTAGTCAATTATCATGCTCAAAATTTATCTACTTATGCTTTCAGAACGGACAGACACCATTGGCCATTGGTGAGAAATTGGGATATCTTTCTATTGTTGACACACTGAAAGGAATTACAGATGTCACAGATGTCATGCCAATGTCAGAAGAGAAATACAAAGTTGTCTCCCCTGAAACCATGCAGGAGACTCTTATTTCCGATTCAGAGGATGAAGGAGGTGGGGATTATTTGATTATCTTACATTAAAAACTATTCATTTATTTTCTTTTTTATTAAAACTTTTAATTATCTTTTTATAATAACATAACATGTTCCATACCACTTATTATTAATAGTAATAAGCAGTAAAGTACCGTTATCATTTACCGTCTGCTCCCACAATAGTGTTATCGCAGACATTAATAGTAATAATAATGTTTTTGGTTTATATTAGGAAGTATTGCTTGGTCGGTAAGAGGAGATCATATATCATTGGGACAATTCTCAATTGCGTTAGGTAAAACGTCCTGTGTAATTCATTGTAATATGTCCTCGTTCTCTTCGTGTACTTTCACATTAATCCAGGGTTGCATTCTCGGTCCGAATTCAGATGAAAAGGCATTAGTAATAGTCTAGCAGATTTTGTTCATAATATTAGGTTTAACTTGTGAACAAATGATATGTAAATAAATCAATAAGAGGTCTCTAGAATAAACCATTGACCTAGATTGCAATCCTGCATTAATATATATAAGATAAGAATAGATATATAAGATTCTTTGTTTGAAATATTCAATTCATTCGAGAATAATTATATATTAAAATCATTTCGTCTTTGTATCTTAAAACTATAAAACAAGAAATGAACGTGAACAACAAATTAATGCATGAAATAAACCTATTTCCCAAATACATTAAATACAACTCATTGTGCAGATACATTAAATTCTAGCCTATTTCCTGAAAATTGTAATTCTGCCCTATTCCCAGATACTTTAACAACCTTGTTCCCAGATACTTTAAATTCCACCCTGTTCCCAGTGCCTAGATGCCTTAAATACAACCCAGTTCCAAGATACATTAAAAGCAACCCACCCAGTTCCCAGATACATTAAATACAATCGACCTTATTTCCAAATACATTAAATACTATCTGGCTCCCAGATACAACTCATTGTGCAGATACATTAAATTCTAGCCTATTTCCTGAAAATTGTAATTCTGCCCTATTCCCAGATACTTTAACAACCTTGTTCCCAGATACTTTAAATTCCACCCTGTTCCCAGTGCCTAGATGCCTTAAATACAACCCAGTTCCAAGATACATTAAAAGCAACCCACCCAGTTCCCAGATACATTAAATACAATCGACCTTATTTCCAAATACATTAAATACTATCTGGCTCCCAGATACATTACTGGTCTGTATAAATAAAGTATGGCTCATTTACGATTTATATAAATGGTATTGTAATAGATGATCCCCTTCAAACTAATAACCAAATTAATTCTGTGTTTCAATTTCTTGTTTTATGGTATCAGATATTTATATTAGACGATGAATAACTATCCAAAATTTCTTTCTAATATTATCAACTGTATTATACTAATATCTCTAAAACATGTTCATTAATATTCATATTATATCCTATAATGCATCAGGAGACGATTTCATGCCTCAGTCACCCATATTTGGAAAGCCTCTTTCTGAGCAACACATCTACTTGCCTTATTATGAGGGACAAAAAATGCAGACTCGTAAGTCGAAAATTCGATGTGCTGATTAAATCTAGTCATTTTTAGCATGTTTAAAGATTTGGTGTGATTTTAAGTATCATTTTTGTAGAGTCACAGTTTTATTTTACTTTATTTTATCTGAAGATAGTATCATTTTATTTTTAGTACACCCACATGTCAAATGTGCCAGTATATTGTTGTTTGTCCGTTGTCCATAATTTCTTGTCTACAGAGTACAGACTACATTTATTTTGAATATTATATATGATAATTGCATTAGTGCGACAAAGAAACTTATTGAATTTTAATAATTTCTTATAGTAAATTCCGGGGTTATTGGCCATGGTCACTTTTTAGAGTCTTGTGAATGTTTCAAAGTTCAATGACATAAGTTATTATCTATATGCATTATTTAAACTATTGTGATGTAGGGCTCCATCAAATTTCAAAAGTTTCAGATAATTAGTTAATTACTGCAAGAGTTTTGGCTCTTGTTCATTTGGTAGGATCTTGTAAATGCTCAATCGACAAGAGTTGCCGTCTGATTTACTGGTATTATACGGTATTGTACAGTGTATAGAATTCTATTTACCTAAAGATTCATAATGCGACATATTTTATGTTCTGCTCGGATGACATAACTGATGTGGGCGTATGTTTTGTTTTGTTTTATCTAGAAGTATTGTAATGCTTTATAATACTGATACCAAAACGTAATATTTTGGATCTGCAGTCTGCACGAACAAAATTTTTTTTCACAAAATAGTGTCAAATCGAGGCTGGTTTATTTTATTTTCATTTTATGTGTGTTTTAATAATATTTAGTTTATATTATCTAATCTTTTTTTACTTATTGTACATAATAACTTATTTTCTGTCAACTTCGTGGTTCATTGTTGGCTGGGGACACACTTTCTAACTTTCATTTTATAAATCTTTAACTCTTTTGAATTTAAAGTGGCACACTTAGAATATGTACGATGAATAAATATTGCAAACCTTAATCTTATTCACACTTTTTGGAGGGTGGGGAGAGAAATTTGATATTTGATATCAATTGCTCTAGGAGTTCTGTGAACTGAGAGTGTGTGTGTGTGGGGGGGGGGGGTGGCATTTGATTTCATCATCAATTATTCTGGGAGTGCCACAAGCTATTGTTATTGTAAATTATTTATCTTTTATTCTATTTCTTTAATACTTTGTTTAATTTGATCTCAATATAATAATTTTACATTTTCATCCAAGTTAATTTATTAAGTACTTCCCTTTACCTGTTTATAATCTAACTCTAAAATATTTAACATTTGCCAGTAAATTTATCTAATTTTTCTATGTATCATTTATATTCCTTGCCCTTTACATGACTAAAAATCATCAAATATTCTCAGACAATTCCAGGAATATGCTTGAAAACCGTAAAAGAACACTTGTCAAAACATAATGCTAAATATGTACAAACCAGTGATTGATTGTCTTCTATATAAATTTTTTTTTTCTTTTTTTAATGTGTTCAATCGCTAAATGCCACTTCAGCATTATATTGAATTTGCTTGTATTTCTTCTTAGAAAATGATGCATCAAACAAAAACAAAAATCCTGTAAATTTAAAAAGAATAAATTTCTGATTAGAATCTGAGAATATTGATGACTTTCTTTCTAGAAAAAGAGTTGATATTAATGTATGTATTGTGTTTCTTCAGGTGATGATAGTTTATCGTTTGATCGAGGTGGCAGCACCTCTCCATTGGACAACTCATTTGAGAAGGTAAATACTCTTAATTACTTTTTTACACCGTCCGATCTACAAGATATGTATTTTGTAACTTATTATGCTGTCAGTGTCAACTCTACAGTTAAGCATGAAGCAAAAACTATTAATTACCTTAATGTGTGGATTATAACATTGATGTGTCTATATAACAGGCTTTCAAATGGTTTGCCGTTTTTAGGCCACACAAAAAAATATTCTGGTTCTCAGACAATCCTTTGTAAAAAATTGATGTAGGAGGGCGTTTTTTGTTTTTTTTTGTTTTATCTTGTCAAAATTTACTTCGTCTAAATCTAGCTAGTTTTTCATTTTTAAAAAAACACACGAAATAATAAGTTTAAAATTTATTTAACTCGTAATAAGAAAAACAAAATATAAGTAAGATTTTGAAATAACGGCCGTATAATTCTGTGAATTCATCTAGATTAAATAACTCCTGGGAAAATGTTTTCAAATCTGCCGGTTTTTGTTTTTGCGACAATTATGTTATATCGATATCATACTCATTATTAAAGCATGAATTTTGCTGGTGATTTAGATCAAAGTCTGCGCAATCAATCTCTCACAGAGAATACTTTCGGTCATCCCTCTCACAGATACCTGTTATAGTTAGGTATTTTGATCATAAACTTGATTATCCAGTGCTGTTCATGATTGTCAATAGTGTTTCCCATGGTTACGTACTTGATAGCTGAGTATAGTGTTCAGTTCCTCGTTTCAAGAAATGCTTAATAGAGTTACTTTCCTTTATCGCGGTAAATTCGGACATGCGGAAATGAATAATTATTGTTTTTATTTTTTTAAAACTAAAAATGTGTGACGTTTTTGATGACACGGCGGTATCTGAGAACCAGATTTTTTTTTTTATGTGGCCTTATTTTAAATGTTTCAGTGGATTCTGTTCAAATTTTGATGAATATATACTAATACTTCATTAATAAGCATGGCTGACGTCATTCTGTGTTTAAATGCAATGTACATTTATTTATTCACGATTCTCTGCAGAATAATATTGAATGAAATGGCTCTTTCTCTGTCTTTTTCACACTGCTTTTCATTTATTACCACAATTGTCAAAATTATGTACCTGTGTCAAGAACAATTTATAACTGACTCCACTGAATATAAGGGGAACAATGGCCAAATTTTTTTCTGCCACTAATGCAGACTTAAGTCTTGGAGCGTAATTTGAGCAATATACGAATCCCCGCAAACTGCAATATTGTAAAATTTAATCTAATAGGAATATCGTCCAAAAATGGTTCAATTCTGTTCCATATCAATTTATGCTGCTCCCTATGTAAACAAGCCCACCACTATCTTTTATGTTTCATGAAATCTAATGTGGATACACAGTTATTCTAAAGCCTTTATAAATGCTCAAGACTATACTTGCTGCCTCTCTTATCACTGGTCTTTTGCAAATTTATGTCAGAGATTAAAGTGATTTGGGGTCGGTGGTATTTGTGAGCCAAACTTTGTTTCTTCTTGAACAGAAGCCATACTTATTGCATGCATTGATATTGTGACTCCATGTTGTTTGCTTTGTGTCTACTCAAACTAGGATGTGAATTATCGTTATAATACATCGGAGGATGCTAGACGACGTGTAACCAGCGAGATTGGAGCCACCATGCGTTACCCATCATACCTTGAGAAAGCTCCAGATTATGAAGCAGAAATGAAATATTACCACGGTGACACTCTCTCTCCTAAGGATAAGGTAAACACAAGATGATTGGATTAGCCGCATGGTTTTTCAGAAACCCTGGCATGATGTTCCCAGCACCGTGTCAGTGAACTAACCCTACTCACTATCAGTCATTAATCAACAAACAATTCATTTCATCATCATTCATCAAGGGAGGGGGGCGGTATTTATTTTAGATCATAAAGTCTGTCATTGAGTCAAGTGGTGGGGTTTTGATCCCCTGCTTGCGTATGTAACAAGGAGTAGGATGGCCTTCTCCAACCTTGTGGGTTTCCTCTGGTTTCCGCCGACTGCAAAAAAAAAAAACAAATGCGCAAGCGACTTACTGAAACAAAATTATATCATTCTTTAGTCCCAAAATGACCTAGTTTGTGTCAATTGGACGTTAAACCCATTTCTTTCTCTCTCGTCAGTCATCAAACAAATCATACATACAAAAACTGCGAAACTGCAGACACTGTTATTACAATTTTACACTGGTAGCGACAAAACCGAACAGTGGTATCACTCAACATATTCATACTCATTTATTTTTAGTCCTTTTTTTTTGGTAGTAGTAACCCTCTTTGCTTTATTTATTTTCATTTGAAGATCACTCATGTCATCTTAATGTTATTAACCAATTAATATTATGATTTGATCTTAAAATATGGAGTTGCATCTTATTTCTGATTAATGCATGATATTTTTTTTCCCATAAAGATTTATTTTTTTGAAAAGCGTAAAAACATTTTTTATTTTGTTGATAATCAGGCTAAGATTATTTAAATATGATAGATTATTTTTATAGTAATGTATTTTATTTGATCAGTATATTTATTTTTAATCATGTTTGAGTATTTTGTAAATATTTAGTACATATCTCTTTTTTTTAACAAGATCTTTTTAAGAAAGTCAATCATGTGTGGTACGGTACTTAGTTGGAACAAAATCCATATTGAGCGGGTTCCGGGGGCTAATCTCTGGAACAATTTTTAAACGCATATTTGCAAGTTATTGGTTCTGATAGCCTTGGACATAATACTTCCAAAAATACTGTTGGAATTGCTGCATATGTAAAAAAAACAATTGAAATATGGGAACTCAAGACCTGTTCAAAATACCTAAACCAGATCTGACTACAATGCACATTGTCCAGTCAAATTTCAGCTTGTCATTGAAAACTTATCCAGGTCAAATTTTTAAAATGATCAAAGAAATTTTTATTAACAAGAATTATGTAAGAGTTAAACACTACATTTTTATTAATATGGATCTAAGTACCTTATGCGATTGACTTTTACTGGGTTTTTTTTGTATTAGCATGTTTAATGTGCTTATATTATGTATATATATGAATATGTTGCACCAATTATTATAGGACCCCAACAAGTCACGCAATGACAGTGTCTTTGGTGACTACTCGACACTTGGTCGAGATTCCATTAATCAAGAATTAACACTACCGTCTGTTGATGATACCACCAGCGAACTAGAATATGATGACGAGCTGAAATATATGGCTGGGGGCGAAACTGCCATGAGAAAGGTAAAATATGGCACATGCGACTTTGCTTGATCAATCCCACACTCAAAGGGAATTCGGAATTTTGGAGAAAAGTGATTTATATCAGTCTTTCACTTTTTGTTTTTTGATCTAATTACACTGTAGTTAAATAAAATTAGTATAAGTCGCAACAAAATCTGGGCATGGTTTTGCCACTCTGCATGTTAAAATTCCAAAGTTTAGAAATTTGCACCAAATACTTTACCGGTACATAGACTCGGATAATGGCCCCATTTATGTTCTATATTTCTATCTACATATTTAACTATACTTTCTTTAAATGTATTTGAATTTTATTGAAATGGTTTCCATTTAAATTAGAATTCTTGAATATCTGTTTTAGTTTTCTTGAAGTTTTATTATATACTCTTCAAAAAAAGTAGGGGATATTCAGAAACAATACAAAACTGCGGAAATGCACTGCTGTTTCTATTAGAGGTAACCAGTGTATGTTAATAACAGGCCAATTGCCTACACATAAACATAAACAGTTCATATCGTCAATAGGCAGACGAAGTGACTTATCGTCAATAGGTTACGGTAGGAAGATAAGTCACTTCGTCTGCCTATTGACGATATGAGCGACTTATCTGATGGCCCCATTTCACTCGCAAAGAGATACACTGTCAAAAGTGAAAATGGACGTTTTTGATTTTTGTCTTGATTATGAGTAATTGCTTCACCAATCCTCAGACTTTCAGCAATTCATCGTGGCATGCTCCTAATCAACTGTCCAATCACGATTTGGGGCAATCTGACCCACTCCTCTTGCAGTGCCACGGCCAATTCTTGCAGTGTTGTGTGACGTCGACAACACGTCTCCAGATCAAATTAAACGTAACACACTAAAGCAAAGATATGCTAAACAGTAAATCTTATGCAAGAACTGATAGGAAAGCAAACCTGGATAAGATAAACCAGCAAGCGGCAGTTTTCATCAACCCTTCCTTGAAGTGTCAAATTTTACAATGAACTCCTCCCACGTGTATGGCGCTATTGTGTGTCGCAGGTGCAGCTCAGTGGTTCTGTTGGGGCGATAAGTTCTTCATCTGTGAACATACTCTCAAAGCATATCAAGTGTCCATGACTATTTATCATATCACAACCTGCATAGGTATTTGCATTTCAATATCCCCTACTTTTTTTGAAGAGTATATATTGAATTTCGTTGGGTTTTTTTACTGTACTTCTTTATGATGTCTGTATATTATAAGTTTATTTTGGGAATAGATATTATTTTAGACTGGAATAATCTGAAATTGTGCCACAAATATTAGCATGAATGTGGAACTTTCGAGTATGATCACAATTGCACATAGACTGATTTATTTACACTTGAAGACTTAAAACACAATGACTTGACAAATAGTTTAGATAAAGGAAGGATTCTGTGAGTTTTACAAAAATGCCCAAATTCACATGCCAAGATTTAAATTGGTTTTTTTTTCATTTTAATCTACAACTCTTCCTTATTTAAATTATGCTATTAGAGTCTTACATGTAATGTGGAAGATTTGACAAACCTGAGTACCTTGAAAATATGATAGTCACATTTGACCAGATTACTTCCATGTCTTTTGTTTTGTATTTTTTTTTTCTGTTTTATTATTTTTTATTTTGTTGGTTTCTGCTGTCACTTTTTCTTTTTTTTTGTTGCCTTCTTTAGAAACCAGACATGTTGTTCAGTGAAGATTTATATGACCGAAAATCTGTCCGATACGGAAAGGATCAAGCTTCACCGTCATATAACGATTCCGTATTCCCTAACGACTTGTCAATGAATGTTCCTAAATACGCTCCAATCTACCAGGGACAATATTCTAATACCCCAAGTGTCGATCTTAATGACAGTTTCAGAAATCAACCAGATGATTCCATATCAAAGGTACATACACACAACTTATTTACACATAACATAGAAGTTATTAATAGAAAACTTATCGCATCCAATATTTTCATCCTAATATTCCCTTAGTGGTTTTTGTCGTTACATACAAAATGGGAAGGATTTATAATTTCTATTTGTACATTGACATGTGGCCAATATCTTGAAACATGGCTGCAGAGTTGTCACGTACGAATTGGGAAGGATTTATAATTTCTATTCGTTCAACCACATGTGGCCAATTTGATACATGGCTGCAGATTTCCAATAACTGAAGCACTTAGTTAATAGTGAAAGGTGTTTGAAGTATCTCCTTCTGTTATGTCATAGCTGTAGTCTGCATGTTGGTAAAATACCCTCCGACTGTTAAAGTTAGCATGTTCAATCTATAGTGTAATGTAGTAGATGTTATATGTATCATTTTATGCACAGAATACAGCATGGCCTACAACAGCCGCTCCCAGGGATTTTTATTTTAGATTTTTATTTATTTTTTTTATGGTTGATGGATCAACCTATTTATCAATGTCGGTTGTGAAAACAAGGTAGGTCAGCTAAATTACAGATCTCCGACAATCTTATCTTCATATACAAAAAAAATCTATATATTATCTTGAATACTCCCTTCAGAAAATAAAGGGGGAAATAACTCTTGCAATCATATGAGAGAACCCCATCAGGCTTTAGTTAAGCTGCTAGAATTTTCTGTAATATGTATCCGGTAAATCTCTCTAATATGCTTGACACAATTTTTTTTACACAGAAAGTACCAAACATCTTTCTGTTCTCAATAGATAATCATACTTGTACATTGCAAGATCAAATCTTTCCTATGATACAGCAATATGTAGATTATTAAAAATTATACAGATTTTTCCAAACATCTTTCTATTCTCAGTAGATGATCGAACATTATCAGATCAAATCGATCACCACGATAGAACAATGTGTAAATCATTAAGAATTATGTTTATTTATGCCTAAAGAAGATATTGTTGGATCTCTGTTTTTAAGTAAAATAATAAACAAAATTGATGGTAATGTAAATAGTCATATGAATTGAGAAGGTTGGGAAATCTTTTAATTAAGCATTATTAACAGTTTTTTTTATGTATTTGTGAAATATTTCCTGCAATTTTAGGATTACATGGAAGCCCAAATAACTAGCCAAACTTATGCTAGTCAACTACCAGACAAACGCTTCCTAACAAGTACACAACGTGCGGAAAATGCAAGATTCAGCTCCTACAGTGGTTCGTCCTTCAGCACCACTTTCGACCCTGATAACGTACCAGTAGATCGGGCGCCAGTTTATACTGGGTAAGAATAGCTATATTTCTCTTGAATTGTTAAAAGTATTCGTATTTGTATACAAGTTGACTCCAATAATGATTGTGGATGTTTAAAGATTGATCAGCTCCCCTACATGCCATTCTGGGTGATTGGGTGGCCACATTGGTCTAATGCTTGTGCTTTAGATCATAAAGTCTGTCATTGGTGCAGTTTTGATTTATATGTGACCAGGAGTAGGGTCGTCTGCCTAACCTCTGGGGTTTTCTCTGAATCCTCCAGTTTCTTCTAACGACTAAACACCCCTATGCGCAAGCAAATAATTGACATAAAGTCAACATGTTAGTCCAAAAATGACTTAGTTTGTGTTGTGGACATTAAACCCTATTTTTGTTCATCTCTCTTAGCATGCCATTTTTTGGCATATTATCTAACCATGCGGACTGCAGTGCAAGTTACTTTAGGCTTTGTAACTATTTTCTGATTATTGAACCGGCATTACGATAATATATGTAAAATCAAACAACTGCATCCTCTTAAAGTTTACAGAATAATGTTTTAAATTTGCTGTTTTATTTTGTTCCATGTGTTGACAGCATGTTGATAATATACTAGTTCAACCTGTTCTAGACCAAAAGGTCCTTACTAAAGTCAGCCATATGGTTTGAAATACCTTTTAATTGAAAAAGTTTATATACAACAAAGAAAGCATGGGCTCTTGGTTTAGCATACAAATCCCATTCTGCTCTTCTGTAAACAAATGCCTAATCTCTTCAATCTGTTAATTTGTTTTTACCCCAGTCAGTGTTGTGCAGAGATGGTGACGGCACTGGGCTTCCATTCAAGGAGTGAAATTAAAATAAATTCTTTAAAAAATTTAAATTTTTGCTGTTAACATCATTGTATAAGTTGCCTTTCTTAATTTATATATTTGACCTTTTTTGACATATTTAGAATGTCTTCCTTTCTGTGTACTAGGCCCTGTACTTGAGTCTTGGGGGCACATACAATCAAGGACTTGGCCCCGGGCATCACCAAACCTCTGCATCCCACTGACCCCAGTTCTCGTTAAAATAAAGCATTAGTTAAGTTTGGCTTTTTACCTTTAATTCTAGCAAACTGAAATGGAAAAGGTAATAATTTTATCCTGAATGTTGTGGTTATATGTTTTATAATATGATTTTTTGTTTATTTTATTTTGGTGTATATTCCGAACGAAATCCTGGCCCGATCCCTACACATTTATTTTATATTCTTAGCTTTTGCTTGCAGCTCAGATACATAATAACCCCATTCCCGTTAGACAGGACAGTAATTCAGAAGTTTAATTATAATATGTACCCGCATTTCTTTTCATCTTCTTTTCATGAAGTTTTAAATATTGTCGGGTTTTTTGGTTGTTTTTTTTTTTCAAATCAGACTTCGCTTCATTTTGGTCCACCTTTTCTGCCCCCACCACCTTTAACCTTCTTTCTATACATCAGCTCCTGATTCTCTCCTTTACAAAAATTATATTTTGTATCTTCCAAATAATTACTTCAAAATTTGAGTACACAATTTGAACACCAGGAATGTAATCCCTCCTATTTTATAACCTGCATTAAACATACATTATGCAAGAGCTAAATCTGCCTATTACAGAACTTTCTTTAGGCCTGAAATGTTATATAAACTATTAATTAGACATTTATTAACATGACAAGACCATAATCAACTCTCAATGCCATCTTATGTTACCAATTTTCATTGATGATTAACGGCAAAAATGGATAATTGAAACTTTAATTAACGTGATTTTAAAATAAGAGTAAAGCGATTTGACTGAAATTTTTAGCATATTGCCTTTACATTATCTAGTTTTTTTTTTTAACTAATACAGTGAGAACTGCCAGCTCTTTATCTTATCTTCCATAATGTATCTTTAAGTTGGCCTATAATTAAATCCTGTCTTCATTAGCACAGTTGGTGCAGATAAGTACCCCCATTTATTTTTGTAAGGAAACCCAAAATGAGGCAAAGTCTTTTACAAATGTAGTATTAAATATATGTAAAGAATAAGTGTTAAATGTATGTTTAGAAGATTTGATAAATATTGGTGTGATCTTGGTTTCTAAGGATTTTTTAATTTTCACACAAATGTTTTTGTAATTTATTTTGATGAGTATCTATGGATTGTATGGGTGGTGTACATTGATTTGTGCCTTGTCATTTTCCAAGTGTTGAAACAAATGCATCAGTAGGTCTAGTTAGCAAAAAGAAAATATACAAATTATAAAATTTATATATTTAGTATGGTACCTCTTAGTAAGAATTTAAGAAATACATACAAAATTTAAAAGTGTCAGAACAAGGTATGTACATCAGTAGGCCTAGTTAGCAAATAGAAAATATGAAAGTCGAATTTAAATATTTGCTGAGAAATATATAAAATTTTATGTGCTAACAACTGTACTTCACAAATGACACTTACAGGGTCATAATTTCTTATTTGATGATTACCAAAGATTCTCTGGCATTTAAAACTCTTTCTCTGGAGACCTAAATCATTGTTAATTGGTCATTAAACCATAAGACAATAGCTTTGTTCATGTTCAATGAAGCTCTTCACATGATACACTAATCAAATCCACCCTGATGTAATGGAATGAACTCACCCATATATAAGCTATTGTAAATAATTGATAAGAAGGAGAAAAGATTAAAGTTAGCTAATATTACTAGACACCACAACCAGAAATATATATGTACCTCTAAACTAGCTTGATTATAATAATACAATGAAGTAGGTATATAGTTTATGCATGGTAATAATTTATAATGACTAATAATGTTCTTAAGTACTTTACTGTGTTTAAAAGTAGTGTTATTAGGCAATAGACTCGACATAGCGAATTTAAAGGAGACTTTATATGTAGTTGACCATGTTTTCTTTTGGGGTTGACCTTCATATATATATATGTGACATAAGCATATATGTTGTCCATCATCAGAATTGTAATTTGATGCTGTCTTTTCACACAATAATTCCATTTTGGTTACTCCTCGTTTGCTTCAGGGAGGATTGTCTAAAGCTTTAATTCACTCATAGATACAGGTCTGTCCTCGTTAAGATGCAATCAGTTGAATGCAGCAAGGAGTTGAGTTGTCTGTCTTTATTCTTTAACTTTAAGGGTCTCCTCCAAATTCTACGAAGTTCTATGCACAAGCTAAATAACAATGATTCATATCTGATTATTGAACACTTGGTCCCCATTTTCACTCTCTCTTTTTCTTCTAGCCCCAGGTGTGTAATCAGCCATCTCATTCTATTATTAGGTCCCTGTAATGTTTCTGGATATGTTAATGTACAATGTACATTAATAACTATTAATTAGGCAATAGATTACATAATAGCAATACTAAATGCTGTAGGGAATTTTAAAGCTTAATGGTGAAGGTGCCTAGAATGAAAATATAATGATTGATTATTTTACACTGAATATTAACACTTATGTATCCTTCATATAACCTTATATTGAGATAAATATAGTACAGCTTACTATAATATTCAAATGCAAGATAATACATTTGTTATAATATGTGCATGTTCACAAACAGCATCATGATTTAATACCGAAATATATACTGGTGTACTAGTGATGGTGCATTTATTATACATATTAAAGATACATTAAAGGTTTAGATAAACGCTGGTTGATCGTGCTATATTTGTTCAAAAATAGATAATGAGAAATGAATACCAGTATATTGAACATTTCAGTCAAATTACTTTATTCTGAGTGTTTGAAATTGATGAGATGTAGCATAAATAGTCTTGATTGTCACGTACCATTGCTACAATAAAAAGAAAAGTCTTGATTGTCCATTTTAACATTAAATTATTAATTGTGCAGATGTTTTTAACCATTTAATAATTCAAACATTTAATGGCCTGGGAGTTGATTATGAGTCTGTCATGTGAATAAATGTCTAAATAATGATTTATATAACAATTGAAGTTAGAAAAAAGACCTGCATTTGGCAGATTTAACTTTTGCATAATGCATCTTTAACATACAGGTTTGAAGTCAGATCTTACTGGTTCTTTAGGAAATTCTATATTTCTAAAAAAAGAAGTTATTTATTACCAAACCATAGCATAAACCAAGAGCTTTATTATGTTTGTGCTTCCTCAATAAAAACTGATAGCCTATATGATACATATAGTAAGATTATGACATAATAAAGAAATGACTACAATTATGATACACTATGTGTCAGATGTGTAAACACAGAATTATATGAGTTCTTTTTTTTATGAAATCTGAGTGATACTTAAAAATTCAGATATTTATTGCTAAAACTAGTAAAACAAGAATATTTCATATTGTTTGTTTCCAAAAAATAATAAACATATTTATGTTTTATAATTGATTTAAGAGAAGATCTAGTGTGTTAATAATAGATGACCGGGAGGAACTTATGCATTATAAACGTATTTCTATGAAAGATGTGGCAGCATTTTCAAAGTTCTGGTATTCAAACAAATATTTTTAGATAGTTTTAACAGATCATATATCCCCCATCTGGTCTGTACTTGCACTGTTTCTGTGAGTTGAACTCAATAAGCCTGTTTGTTATTAATAGTACAGTGTGTGGATCAAAGCAGTACCAATGTCGGCAAATGATACTGGATGCACCATATCAAAGCCGTCTTGTATCTGCCTGCTACCTGTATTTTTTATTGTTTTTCCACCTTTGACCTCCCATTTAGAATCAGAAACAGTTTTCTTTAAATAAAAATGGTAACAAAGATTTATTAGTGTGAAAGATAAAATAGATATTAACAAACAAAAAAGAATTGTTAGAAATAGAAAAAACTGAAGTGAATATTTTTATAATCTTCTTTTACCCAATTTAGATCCAGAAACAATTTTGTTTGAATTAAAAATGGTAACAGATTTATTAGTGGGAAGGATGAAATAAATACAAACAAAAACAAAAACTGAGGCGAATATTTTTATAATCTTCTTTTGTCACACTTGTCTGATAAAAGATAAAAGAAGAATATAAAAGATTATATAATGGTGTAAGGCCAAACAAATATAATTTTTTGTTCTTCAGGATCTTGATAAATAAAAAGCTACGTTGAATCGCATGAAAAATGTTTGATTTAGAATATAAAAACTTGAAAATATGGAACTAAAAATTTTGGAGAAGAGCAAACCCAAGAAAAAGAACACCAAATTTGAATAGGTGTTCCCGAAGAACAAAAGTTCAAATTGTTGTGGCCTTAGATTCTAATTCTAACTTTTAAAAAATCACACAGGAACATGGAAAAAGTAATTATGTTTTTATGCGTAACTGATCCATAACAGGAAAGGTTAATCACACATTTTGAGTCATATTGGATAATATTAAAAGTAGATATAAGAACAGTTGATGAGATCTGACCTAAGTAATCAGTAATGATTTGACCCAGACTCTATGAGAAAGCCGTCTGCTAGTTGCCTGTATTATTATTGAGCTCTGTGTTGGCTAGCAGGGTTGATTGAGCGTGTACAGTCTCTTGTTTCTATACTGGTTTAGTTTGTTGCCGGTGGGCTAGCTGACTGGATCAGCATTTGTGATTGAATATATTACCACCATCTACTACTTGTAGTTCTCCCTGCCTGATGTATCTTCTCACCATTTTATATAACCTACATACCTACAACTAATTCTCACTGAGGCTGGATCTGTGCAGTCAATACCTAGAGTATAAAATTGCATTCCTCGTCAATTTATTATGTGAGGTTTAGTGCCAGTGAAACAGCTTGAAAGAAATTGCCGAGTTGTTTAAATCGGTTGAGTTGAAATAAGAAACAAACACGTCTGCCGATCATGTCATAAAAGCACCTGAAGGAATAGTTAAGAGTTCTGAAATTAATTCCACAGGAATGTGTTCTGATAAATGGTAATTAGAGAAATTCATGTGTGTGTATTAAGCTGTCGATGTGAATTTGGATCTACTTGTTTTTGTTTTAATTTGTTAAAGGAAATACAAAAAGAACGCTACTTGAAACAATTAACGTTTTAAGGAAATAACGTGAAGTGAAGCAACTTGAATCCATCCTTTATTTTAACTGGATACTCTGTTGTAATAAATTGTGTGTTGTAATAATCTTGATCGATTTTTGGTCAAGAACTGTTTTGTTGGATTTACAGAGAATTTATTTTTGAAAAGTTTATTTATATTTTTGTGTTATTATATTAGAACTAATATTTAAATAGAAATCAAAATGACACTTCTTTCTCACAGTTTCCTCATCAGTTTCATGGTGGATGCAAGAGGTGGGGCAATGAGAGGATGTCGCCACTCTGGGATCCGAGTTATCATCCCTCCACGCAAGGCCTCCATGCCCACCCGTGTGACATGCCGACTGGTAAAGAAAGAACGACTATCGCATCCCCCACCCCTGATTGAAGGAGAAGGACTTGCAGCCAGGGTTATTGAGATGGGGCCTGTTGGAACCAAATTCCTAGGGTAAGGATTATTTTTAAAATAAAAATATATTAATAAAATTCCAATATACTATTCAATACTCCGTACATGTACTTTACCCCTAAGGTTATTGATATTCTTAAAGAGACCTGTATATGTAAAAACATCATGTTTTAAAGGTCAATTTATACCTTGGGAATGTTAGTACAGTAAGCATATCTCTTCTTGCCAGATAAAACTCAAATCAGACATTCCTGCCAGATCTAATTTTGGCATCATACCAAGTATTGAGATTCCTGAAAGTGACTGGTTTTACTGTAAAGTTTATTTTGTACACTGGTACTAGAAGTTCGAACATTAGATGTCTGTAGTGTTATATATAACGATAAATTTCCAGCTTTGTCCATTTATTTATCAAACTAGCTTAGTTACAGGGTGGAACGTGGGTGAAAACTCTCTGTCATTCAAAAATGACACGATAATCTTTGTCAATTTTAACATATATAATAACGCAATGTGCCAATGATCATTAATTGTCAATTTCATCATTAAATTCGAACAAAGTATAAAATAAATAACACCATTAAATTTCTAATAAAAATAATTGTTATGATGAATTGAAGTTGATATAAGTTCAACCATTTGTTTTCCTATAAAGAACAATATGTACAGGCCTAAAACCATGATTTCTATACTTAGGCATGTTTTCTTAAAACAAAATCATAATTTTAGTATGAATATCTTTAGAATAGTATGGTGGAACATTATTTGTGTTCCTCAATCCAAGAATCAACTTAAACATCTTGATATGGTGTCAAATATCATTTATTAACAATAAAACAAATAAATGACTATACCCAAACTACTATAAAACATTAATCAAAAGGAGCATTATGATTCAACAAAAAATAAAATACATACACCCCTCCCCCCCCCCCCCAACCTATTAATCATGTTGGACTAAATTCAAGCCCCTATTTATGCAGGAGGAGAGCATTGTTAACTTGTTGATTAACATCAAAGCGATTATTTCTGTTGTAGCTTTTGTTGACGTAATGGTGTAAATGCCAACTCATAATTGTATATAGATCTATTATTATACTTAATAAATAGATATGACCTATGTGTTAAATACCTACCAATTAGCTCCCCATTAACATACACAGGATTATGCTACAAAACAATACATGGCTTAGCTCATTCTTGAAGTCGCTAATACATTTTGGCTACAGATCTGGCCTCCGTTATCACCCTCGGTGGAAATGGAGTCAAACCCTACAAACAACAGCAGCTAATACATTCATTATTAATTAAGATATCTATTGTTTGAGGTGGTGTATTTATAGTTTTGTAATTATATAGAAAAGATCTGATCAGATAATAGACAGTGTACATAATAAATAAAACTAGTATTACATAATCTCTATAGATTTAACATTATATCTCCCCCTCATCTAATCAATCAACTTCTATTTCTTTGTTTCTTTAAGGCATGTCATGCTGATGGATTAGATAATGAGTTTTTGTAATAGAATTCTAATTGAATTTCTACCCAATGTCATTATAATATAGAACGAAGAAATAGCTATCTTCTCTATTTTGACTGGTTTCCATTACAGAAAAAAATACTAAAACCAATTCCAAAACATAATGGAAAGCCTTTATTTTATAGAAGAAATGTGCTATATAGAATCATTTTATAACCAAAATTCATTTGTAAAATAGCACAAATCATCACAGGCGGCTATATGATTATAATAGTGACTGGAATAATGTGAAGATATCAAATTCTTAAATACTTTCAAAATAGTCCACACCCTACATATCATTTTAATGACATTTTATGCTTAAAGGCACACTATGAGTAATTAAAATCAGTCTCTAAGTTTCTCATATTTTTCAAATTTCAAAGATTATTACATATTTGGCAACAGAGAATATCAATGGGTGACTAAGGAACCTTTTGTTGAAGTACACCTTTGATTGATTTCATGTGATATATTAAGTATTAAACCAACATACATTGATTTTGGCCATTTTTAAGATTTTAACCTTTTTAATGGGCCTTTAATATGTATGAGTTATTCATTTCTTTAAATACTTCTGTCATGTTTTGCTCTCCTGCTGTATAACATCTATTAAAATGATACTGTAGATAATTTCAGTTTCTCTGATGGCTAATACTTTATATTTAATATTTTTCAGGCCTATAATTATAGAGGTCCCCCATTTTGCCTCTCTCCGTGGAAAAGAGAGAGAGGTTCAAATTATTCGTAGTGATGACGGTGAAACATGGTATGAACATCCAATGATCGCAACAGAAGAAGCCGTCAATGATGCTCTAGGGGGAAGCCTCGAAGGTCTCAGCACCCAATCTATAGCCAGTTCCTCTATTTCTAGTTTGTGGAGTGAGCATGTTTATATTTTGTTGCATTTCTTCTAGTTTTAGTTTATATCTGGATAAACATGTCTATAAGCCTGGAAATAAGTGACTTGTCATAGTTTAAATCATGCATTTATTTGGAAATATTTCTACTAATTTGTTTACTTCCGGCAGTAAGCGCCGATGGCTATAATTTATAAACTCTGATTTTTGATTAGTAAAAATTATCTGGAGTATTTCGTGCAAACCTCTATAGAGAATTATATGCATTTAAATCTCCATGATAAATGGTCATTACATATGTCTGATCTGAATTGATTTTTAGACCGTTTGTTTTAACAAGTTATTGATCTGATACTGGGATCATCCTTGATTGGCAGTTTTAAATTTTGACATGTACTTATTACAAGGCTGGTACATGAATATACAGAAAGAGAAAAGATTAGATAAACCACAAGTATTTCTATGTTTACAGTAGATAAATACATAAGAAAACGAAAAATTACATCCAATTAAAAAATCAACCACGTTACTGCGTCATTCCGATATTCATCAAATCATAAGTTAGCTGGCTGCTCTTAATTGAGCATCTTCAGATGTTATAATTATATATTAGTTAAATTTATTCCAATAAATATGAATTGAAATATGCATTATTTCGGAGGCATTGAAAAAATTACATTATTTGTATTTACTGTGATCGATTATTAATTTTATAAAAAAGATATTACTATGACAACAAGCACATGCCCAGGTAATATTAGAGATTATATTATCGTTTTGTTTTGTGGTTTTTATTTTAAAGTACAGATATCATATATAGATGTATTTAGTTTTAGTAAAGTAGTATGGGTATGATCCGTAAGATGATTATGTTTAGTTTCAAACCCGACTGTCAATATTTAATCAAGAATCAAACCCTGTTTTACATGTCACCTTTTTGCATTTTTAAGATGGTCACAAACTAAAATGTCCTGGCTGCGATTACTGGCACTGACCGAAAAATACCTTGGTGATATTTCAAGTCTGCACATGAAATGGAAATTACCACATTGTCATTTGTTTGAAAATGACTAATTAACCCGTTAAGTGCATAGGTCGTTATATAACGTCCTGGACAACTGCCACTCACTGTGTGTAGGGCATAATATAACGCCTTGGAGGTATTTTCCCCAACCTATTCTTAGAACATAGTACATAGTTCTTCGTTACTTCGTCAAATTAATTTCTCAATAGGGGGTAGTTAACGTTTTAAAAACGTCACGCTTAACGGGTTAAAGTCCTGTGTTGATGAGACATTAAGCCCCATTCCAACGTTAATCTGCAGATTAAGTCAGCTTGTTTGCATGATCTATATTGCACACACTGCATAGAACGATTTGTATAAAGAACATACAATTCTTTTTCATTTCAAGTATGGCACAATTGTAGCTTTCTTTTAATGTAATAAATACTGTAAATATTATGTCATAGCAACAGTAGGAGAATGATACCTCTAAAAAAAATTAATTGAAAAGAAAGAGGAAGACATAACGTTTATGTAGGATTTTGATCAAAAGTAAAAAATTATTCTTTTTCTGATTGCTTTATGACGTAATAATGTATGTCACCCAAAGTTGTGTTTGAAACTGTGATTTCCCTACTGTCGATGTCTCTATACTATACTGCTTTTTCAGATTATGGGTTATTCATTTATTAAACCTATTAGCAATCAATGTAAAATGAATGTATTATTAGAAAATAGATGTTTTTTAGTTTCTATAGGTTTAGTTTTCTTTGTAAGTATTCTTGGTGTCATATTTGTGAGGTAGCCTCATCTGGCTCATTGAGAAAGGCGGTGGCTAACTAAAACACGATATCCCAGTTTCCTTCCCGGTGTTTGCCCGAGAAAGTTCCCTGGGATTTTCCAGAAAAGCATCTGGTCACTCGGATGAAATGAAAAACTAAGGGTCGGCATTTAACCCCTGACAGTTTGAATTCCTCATAGCACAATGCATGGTCTATTATTGCCTATCTTCATTAGCCTGGTTGGTGTAGAGAAATAGGACGTTAAACCCCATTTCATTTCATTAATATTTGTTACAATAGAAGGATATTGATAGAACTAAGTTATATACATATAAAAAACATTATATTAACACACCAATTAGCTTACACAATGATTGTTATAATTATATCGTCACAGTTATAGATATAAAATTTCAAATATTCTGAAATTTGCATAATGGATTAGTAATGGATATTTTTTTATTGTACAGAATTAGATCAAGAGGACGATCTGGCGACTAAGAGAATAACACGCATTCTGACCACAGATTTCCCACAATACTTTGCCCTGGTTTCTAGAATTCGTCAAGAAACCCAGAATATCGGAGAGGAAGGAAACTTGATCAGTTCTACAGTTGTTCCTCAAGTACAAGCTGTCTTCCCAGAGGGCGCTCTCACAAAGAAAATCAGAGTAGGTCTACAGGTATGTGCAGATTTACTTCTTATCAAACTTTAAATAAATAATTTTGGCGCAGGATAGCCGGTTGGTGCTGGCGTGTCATAGAACATTTAATTGATTCCTTCATTATATTGGTAATTACAGGAAATGTAACGGCTCATTCTGAGAATGACAGATTGGGATATATTCTATTCTTGTAGAAAACAAATACATGAGCTACCATGGCGTTAACACAATAAATAATCATCATCATCTTTAACTTCTTTGATAGGCATTTAGTAATTAAACATAACACAAGGTACAATATTATGGATACACAATTACTGGATTTATTACTATGCAATGTTTCGATGAGGATATTCTCATTTGTTTGATAAAGACAGGAGTATGTATAGTAATAAATCCAATAATTGTGTATCCATCAAATTGTACCTTGTGCTATCATCATTATAGTTATCATCATCAATGTACAATCATCAATTTGTAATGTCTTGTATTCTCTGTGCACATTTTATTCAGTTTTATAAAATCTTGCGTCACATTTCTATTTTTTAGTTTTTTATCAATCAACCAACCTAAAAGTGCTTAAATCTTGAGACCCAAATCTTTTCAATCTATGGCAGTCAGTGTAGAGAACTATACAATTTCTCTCTCCTTTTCATTTGTAGCCTTCTTCCGGGCCAGCAACCCTAGCGAGGCTAGTAGAATGTGACCTATCTGATGAAGATTTTTAGTTGTTGCTCCTGAACTTGACTTTTGTTTATATTTATATATATATTTTTTTAGCGTTGTTGTTGTAGCTGTTAAGTAGGCCATATAGCATGTTACATTCCTTTTATACGTATTCATTTTGTTGTGAACTTTGCAAGATATGTCATGTGACACCTATGGTTTTGGTTTTTCCTGTTGATTAGGCACAACCGATAGCACCAGAACTTGTTGCTAAACTCCTTGGTAATCGTGTGGCTGTGAGTCCAATCGTAACCGTGGAACCAAGACGCAGAAAGTTTCATAAACCTATAACTCTGACCATACCAGTTCCTGTAGCTTCGCAGAAAGGAATGATCAATCAATATGGTGGAGAGCGACCAACTCTGCGTCTACTGTATAGCATATCGGGTAAGTAGGTAGCACTCTCAAGTTGTTGCCCTTATTTGGATGTATGACATGTTTGTTATTTTTTGTTCTGGTATACTTAGAGAAAACGATTGTAAAATATTAGAGAAAAGTTAGCTTGATTTAAAATATGGCCTACAAACATAAAAGTAGATACTTGTAAACAGTGTTATTGTTTTTCTTGAGCTGTTAAAAACCTTCAGTTGCTGTTCTCTTGTGTTTAAATCCTTACTGTTATTGGAAGCATGATGGTTATATTATAAAATTTCATTTTAAAAATTGTAATAAAATAGCTTTGTTTAAAATATAGCAGTGCAATAATCAATGTGGAATACTCTTTATGGCACGTTATATTTCTTATTCTTTATTAATCTCAATTGTAGCCCTTTAAAGCGACTGATTGTCATTTTAGGTGCTTTGAATCCCTTGCAAACTATAATATTTTGAATGTTGATCTCTTAAGTGCATATCATTTCAAAAATGGTTCAATTGTATTCACTAACTTAGACATCCTCTACAGATAATATAAACAAGCCAGAACCGCGTGTACATATTAAATGTCTGTATGAGTACATCTTAGCATGGATTAAGCTATGAAAAAGGAAATCAGTTCTGTTCACTATTTACAAAGATAATAATAATATGATGAATTAAAAATTTTGCAAATTTAGACATCCTCTGCCAGCGCACCCTTTAAGTGTTGGGTAAAATCTGTAAATAGGTCTCTTTTTAATCCAAGGCGGGGAGATTATTTACCATTGATATTTTGATTTTATTTTCTTAATTAGATGTTAAATAATCAATATGAATACATTTTATCGTGGATTAATTCATGAAAACTAGTTATCGTTTCAAAACTACAAGTGACAATCAGCTGCTTTGAAAATGGTAGATTCATGAATAATCATTTAGTTATTCAGTTAAATCATTTAGTTATTCAGTCAGTCAGACTTTTTTGGAAAATACTGATCAGAATAGTGCCATAAGGAATTATGTTCAACAATATATTGCAGTAAGGGTATATGTTATAAGTAAAAATTTAAACAAAAATATTCTATTCATATTATTGTAAGTTATCATTATATGCTGTAGTTCATACACTATACTCAAGTTATAAACTAGTTTATTAGATGTCCTGAAGTCGCATTACTTCAGGTGGGGTGGGTGTAGGGGTCAAGTGGTCTAAACCATGCACTTTAGATCATAGTCTGTCATGGAGTCAAGTGGCGTGGTGTCGACCCCCAGCTTGTACAGGACAGGGATGAGGATCGCCTTTCCAACCATATTGGTTTTCTGTGGGTTGTCCAATTTCCTCCCACTTCTAAAGACCCCTACAGTGAATTAATGAAATAAAATTTACAAAGTGTTAGTCCCAAAATAACCTAGTTTTGTGTCAAGTGGACATAAAATCCCATTTCTCTCTCTCTATCAGTTGTATAAAAAGTAACGTATAATCTGTCCCTATTTATAATCTATATCGTATCTGATCAAAGACGAAATAATCCAGAACTAATTTTAAGGAACAAATACGTTTTGTGGGTTTGATGCATTGAATATGCAATTCTCCCATGTTCTGTTTGCCATATTTACAAAATTAATAATGGTCACTATTGTTTACTGATCAGAATTCTGAGATCAGACCACTTTTGACCAGACCTCAGGCTATTTATTCTATATAACTCAGCAATGACTTTGTTTGGTGATAAGGCTATCAGACAGATTAAGCCGAATAATAGTCATTGCATTTATATATATAGTTGACTAGTTTAGTTTGAATATTCGAAAAAATAGAAACATTACTAGTAGTAATACCTTGTTCGTTTAACGTCTGCTTCCACAATAGTAATATAGCAGACAAGACAAACATTACTTAGCCAGCCCATCCACAAATAATATAGTAAAAGTAAAAGGCCTCACAAAAAAAATTCAGGACTGTTGTATTATATGTTACACATGAAATGTTTGTAAATTATAATGTTTATTATGGTAAAGTATGTAAATTTGTTATCATTGCACTAACCTTGTGTTTGTCTTGTTACTTTCTTGCTGCATCATCATCAGGTAACAACTCTCACAGCCGAGGTAAATCTTCATAACTTTAATCCAACATATTTATTTACTGTGATACTATAATATCTATTAGAGATTCTTATTAATACAGAAATTATATAGATTAAGCTTGACAATATATTGGTCTTGTTGTCATAAACATTTGTACATTGACAATTAATTAAAAGTTCTCCTAAATTCTTCTTTTATAAACAAAATATATTGGTCCTGTTGTCATGAATATTCGTACATAATTAATAGTTCTCTTAAATTCTTCTTTTATAAACAAAATATATTGGTCCTGTTGTCATGAATATTCGTACATAATTAATAGTTCTCTTAAATTCTTCTTTTTTGAAAAAAAATATATTGGTCGTGTTGTCATGAATATTCGTACATAATTAATAGTTCTCTTAAATTCTTCTTTTTTGAAAAAAAATATATTGGTCGTGTTGTCATGTACATTTGTACATCGACATTTAATTATTTCTCCTAAATTCTTCTTTTATTAAAATATTTATAAAGTAGGAAAATCTGAGATGTCGTTAAGACAGCTGTACATATATATATATCTCACTGTATCCATTGTTTGTTGTATGAAGTCTGTCTACGTGTATGGTCCTAATCAGTATGAATAAAATGTAAACCCTCTCTTTTAGTCTTGATCAACCTGTACTATTAGTCTTGATCAATCCAGCCTGTTAGCCTTGCTCATCTCTGCCTGTTATTCTTGATAAAAATAGCAGCCATGTTATAATAACCCACCATGCAGCTATATATCATTGATCTTCATTAGCCCAGTTGGCGCATAATTTAGTTACAAGGTGAAGGTTATTTTCCCTCAACATACAAGATTCTCTGTATGACCTTTGATACTGTAAACAAATCATAAGTCATACAAGAATCTCTGTATGACCTTTGACTTGAATCGTAAGACATACAAGAATCTCTGTTTGACTTTTGACATGAATCATAAGGCATACAAGAATCACTATTTGACATTTGACACAGATCGTAAGATATACAATAATCTCTGTATGACCTTTGGCACGAATCGTAAGATATACAATAATCTCTGTATGACCTTTGACACGAATCGTAAGATATACAATAATCTCTGTATGACCTTTGACACGAATCGTAATACATACAAGAATCTCTGTTTAACTTTTGACACGAATCATAAGACATACAAGAATCTCTGTTTGACATTTGACACAAATCGTAAGACATACAAGAATCTCTGTTTGACATTTGACACGAATCGTAAGATATACAATAATCTCTGTATGACCTTTGACACTTAGCGTAAGACATACAAGAATCTCTGTATGACCTTTGACACAAATCATAAGACATACAAGAACCTCTGTATGGCCTTTGACATTGTATGCAAATTAAGCACTTTTTGGTGCAGATTATTTTCTGTGTTATTTTAAGTGCAGGTGAAATATGTTGATATGATCAAGACTATCTTTCTATTAAAACTCAATAAATATCATGAATTTTGATGTATTGATGAAACCTTAATTTATTAATGACGATTGCCAGTGAAATTTAGGCCATTAAAAAGAAATAAACTTATAAGATTAAAAGACAATCTTTGAAAATTTTATTTAACACTATTTCTAACACAGTAAGTAATTTGATTTATATTCTGATGAATTTTGAATAATAATTTGTGTCTGTTTATAGGTGAGAAGGATCCAGCCATATGGGAAGATATAACTGAAAACAAACCTATGAGCCTGGTCAATGACTGTGTATCATTTACTACAACTGTATCAGCACGGTAAGTAATATATGGTCTGCTTAATCTTTTTGGAACACCATTGACAGTTTCAATTCGAAATAAAGAGTAGGTCGTGGTGCTGCTGTCCGGGCAAGATTTCCCTCATAGCACACTGCATGGCATGTGCTTGTCTTCATTTCCCCAGATGGAGCTGAAAAGCTGGACGTTACACAAAATTTAATTTCTTTCTAGAACACTCGATATCATTTTGTTGTTCAGTTTAATTTTAATCCCTCCTGTGACAAGAAACTTTACAAAAAAGATAACAGGATCTGGGTCCCATTTTACAAAGACTTGTTACTCTTTTCAGCATGTACAAACAACATATAACTGTTTAGTTTCAATTGACATCCGTGTACGTAACCTTACATATAGACCACGGGGTTACCCAAGACCAGTTTCTTATTTGTCAGGGATCAAGTCTAAAAGCCAAGGTGCTCCTATGTACCCATTGGTGTGTACGTAAAAGAACCCTTTGATAAAGAGTAGGTGGAAACAGGGCTGTCCAGACAAAATTCTTCCCCTCATATTGCGCACGTAATCATTGAAATCGAAACACACCATGTTACTTTCAAAATGATCAAAGTGTCGTTTTGACGAAATGGTAACCTGTATTCCCTTCCTGATCCTAAAAATACCTGTAGTAGTAACATGAGGTAAAACAATTTGAATAGAAATAGACCCTGTATGTTTATTAAATTTTTTAAATGATGTATTCTTTCTTTTAGATTTTGGTTAATTGACTGTCAGAATATAAATGAAGCCACCCAGATGGCAACCGCATTATACCGCGAGGCCATCACTGTGCCATATATGGCTAAATTTGTAGTTTTTGCCAAGAGAACGGCAGCAGAAGAAGGCAGATTAAGAATGTTCTGTATGACAGATGATAAGATTGATAAAACATTAGAAAAACAGGAAAGATTCTCCGAAGTGGCCAGAAGTAGAGACATAGAGGTAAATTATTCTTTGGCATTTTTAAGTCTCGATTATCTATTTTAAATGGCCACGATGCTCTAATCTACTTAAAATCAGAGCCATCCAATGGCTCAGAGAGTTGGTTATGGTCTTGGCAAGTTAATAAATCTTTAGTTAATAATTTATATAACATTTGAAACCAGAAAAAGAACTGCAATAGGCAGATTTAGCTCCTACATGTCCATCTTTAATGTAATAAGACAAACTGAAGTTAATACGAAAATTTAAAAACCCAGAATCACTGAAATGAATGACATTTTGTTTTATTATCAATATTTTTAGGTGCTTGAAGGACGACCACAATATATTGAAATGGCCGGAAATCTTATTCCTGTTACAAAATCGGGTGACCAACTGCATGTTAATTTTAAAGCTTTTCGAGAAAATCGTTTGCCGTGTACAGTAAAGATACGCGACCTTGACCAGGAACCATCAGCTAGAGTAGCCTTTATGAAAGAACGTAAAGTCGGGCGGGGAGAAGCGCCACAAATGCCAATATGCAACCTTAATATTAACTTGGGAGATACAATTAAGGTATGTCTTCTAATTTCATATATATCATAGTATTATTTGATAATACTGAACTTTGCACATACAATTAACTGTTATGTATTTCCAGAAATTAACTATTCCATATTCCAGGAAGTTTGATCCTTTTCTGTATGATTTTTTTTTTACCAAACTTTTGTCCTTTGTTTTACCAAACTGTATGTGCTATCATACAAAAAACATTTTAATTGCAGTCTGATTCTATGGAACTAAACACAGCAGCAGCATTAGAAGCCAACGAGAAAAGAACAGAATTATTAAGAGTTGGGAAAGGCATTAGTTAGTATATTATGTTCATTTATTGAAAGAAAATTGGGAAATGCATTAGTATCTTATTAAGATATTTTAATTTTATGTTCATTTATTTAAATAAAGCTTAAATTTGTAATGACCAAGAAGTTACTTTTTTGAAACCTTTTTTTTATATGTAAGATACTCTTTCTCAGCAAAAATGCAAGAAGTTTTTGTTTGCATATGTAGCTTTATTTTCCGATCTATTTTTAGTTGTAAAAGACACAATAAGACGAAGTCAGATGCGATTAAATGATATTGCTGATCATGTTCGAGGCGACTGGGTAGTCTTAGCACAGCAATTAGGTATTCGTATGACAGATGTGAATTCTATTAAAAATGATTACAATAATGTCAACGATCAAGCTCTTGCCATGTTACAGCTGTGGGTTCAGAGAGAAGGGAATAGAGCAACAGGTAGGCTCAGTTTAAATACCACATTTCTAATAGCAAATCTCATTATGTAGGACATCTTATGCATAAGTCAATCGATGTCCAGAATACCCCTCAATACTACAGTTGGCTACAAAAATATAACTTGTTCAGATGCTTATGTTAAACTGGTTTAAAAACCCAGGCGATCGAAAAACAAGTTTTACTTTGTTCTTTAAATGCATTTGTTGGGAAAATAAACCAGTTCAAACCCCCCAACTCTCTACCTGTCTTTGAGAGGCTTTTCTTCAAAACTGGCTTTGGGCACACGCATGAAATTACCTTCCTGGCAAAATGACATCATATGCCCATGCGAAATGAACTCTACCCTTTAACCAATGAGGTCAAAATAGTTAAACTGGTTTGGCTAATATTACATGAGAACGCTACACAGCCCTGTGTTAAAAAACCTGCATTTTTAAACTAGTTTGAATATAAGTGTTAATGGTCACATGCTCTTAATCATCCTTTACCCTTAAATGGGAGGAATGCAACATTTTAGTTGCCTACAATTTACTTTAGAGATTGACACAAATGTTGCTTTAGACATTTGCCATATTATTAACAAAAAGTTTCACAGCAAGATAACAACATGAATATTGATTGAAATTGATCAATATTGAATTCTAATTTGTGTTTTTAATTTTGATTATGATGGAAAATATTGAGTTAGAGACTTAGCTCCTTTAACTGTACTTATATCAATAATATATTGATAGATTTCGAATAAATTGAATATTATAGGTAATGAATTAGAGAGTGCCTTACGTTCAATAAATCGTGAGGATGTAATTAAGAGTTGTATGTATGATATAGAAACAGTAGATGATGAAGTAGAAGCAGCTGCTGCCCGGGTAGCAATGGACCAATCCGGTAAGTAGTATTTTGGAGAATATCACCCAGTCTTAAGTAGTAGTAAGAATAAAACCAACACATAATTCAAATAAATTGTTGAAATGGTATTTAGTAATTGAACAGGATAGAATTTTATGGAATCAATTACTGTTTAATACTTGTTACGTTTTGACTAGACTTCTCTAGTCTTTATTAAGCGTCAAAACGTCACTTAGTAATATACATTAATTCCATAGAATGTGTGTATCATTCATGTTGTTTGTATTTACTTTTAATCATTCAAGAATTTAAGATATTGATGTCAGACAGTTTGATGATGCTAAGACTATGGTTAAAATGAACATCATAATAAGGTTATGGTTGAAATGAACATCGTAATATAGACTATGGTTGAAATGAACACCGTTATGATATAGGCTATGGATGAAATGAACGTTGTAATATAGGCTATAGTTGAAATCAACATTGTAATATAGGCTATTGTTGTAATGAACGTCGTATTATAGGCTATGGTTGAAATGAACATCATAATATAGGCTCTGGTTGAAATGAACATAGTAATATGGGCTATGGTTGGAGTGATATATGCTATGGTTGAAATGAACATTGTAATTTCAGGTTTCGATACTTTTAAAGAAGAGATTGGTATTTCGAAAGACTCCTTTAAACGTGGTATGTCCTTAGATGTCCAATATGACGAACAAGATATGATCAAGGTAAGAAATTGTGGCTTTGGTGCTTTCATAACATAATCCTTCAGTTGCTATAGAGATCCGTGTATCTGTGATGTCCTTATCTAACCAGTATGTAAAATGTAGGCTTAGTGATAACAGTGTTTGGTACTTTTGTATAGTATATGGATTTGTAATTTGGAAGCTAATATAAAAACTATCCCAGCTTGATAGCGGTTCAGTCATGTATAGATTATTGTCAATGATATAATCAGTCACTCTAGGGCTCCACTCTAGATCTCTTTATTTTGTATTTTTGGTTGCCTCTTGTCACTGTCCGATGCTTTTAATTATGCACTATTCCAGCCTATCATTCAATTCATTATCTTTTGCATGCCCGATGCCTGTACCTTATTTCAGAGACTCGAGGATATTAAGGTGAGCAGTTGCCTCCCTTTAAAATTCCTATTTTTACTTCTTGCAGAACTTTTGTAGCTTTTCTTATTAAAAGGATGTTTCTCTGCACTTCTTCAAATTTCCGACATGTGCAGCAATTTCTTTATCTTGTGTATCTTTTACAAAAGTCAAAAATGAATGGTTCAGTTTTCTGTTAGAATTGTTTTAATGAATTTACACTAAATCTGCTCATTTTGTGTTATAGTTTGCATGTGGCATGTTAGACTCAATCTTCATGTAATTAGCACTATTAAATACTTCGCTTTATCACCAGCAAAATGATGGTATAGAATTTATTATTATTTATCTGATTTCCTAAGAAGTTTCAATTGTTTTTTAGCCTTTTGTTCCGACTCTAAAAGAAATGTAAAGAAAGTATATTAATTCTTTTTGTGTATTAAAAGTTAAAAGATTTGTGTCAAGTGCGAGGCGGATACTTGTAGTTTCATTGAAAGAAGTTTTTATTAATCTGTGAATTGTTATCCATGGCTGGGATAGGTGTATTTGACAGTTGTGTTATTTTTTGCAAAAAAAATTTGTAACATTTACAAATATAATGGAACCAATGAGTTTGAATTGTTTCTTGTAACAAAACTCCCCACCCCCACTATCAGTGCGTTTAGAAAACTTTTGTCAAGTGATTATGACAGACCAATCAATTTTAATTTTGTTGTTTACACTCATTTTTGACAAAACTGTATTCTGATAATTATGATTCAGAGCATGGTTAGCTAGCCCTCCGTTCCGCCACACTCCTCCACTATCAATGCATTTAGAAAACTATTGATGAGTGATTTTGATAGACACCTAACTTATTACACTAATTGTCCTGCGTGTGTGTTAAAATATAGTGTATGTATGTAACAATATGTAGTCATCTTGTAGACAAGCTAGAATAATATATATAAAGTAGTACTAATAGCCAGTTTTCTACTAGTAGACTTAGATCATAGGATATCCAATATTTTACCTATTATCATTATTTTTTTATCCAGAATAAATTTATCTTCATAAAATATATTATTAGTATTTATCTTTGGAATGTGGTGTCTTGTTTTGATTAAATAATAATACTGTATTTAAGATTAAAGATTTACTTTCAAGCCACATCTTGTAATTTTGATCTAAAACCATGCACAGTTCTGCACCAATATTTATGCAATGAACATGTTTGTTAGTGTAGTAATCACAAATTCACAAACTTGTTTAAACATGTAAAGGCTTTCTTTTCCACGATATCTTGTTGAAGTACGTGTAATGTTAAATTTGTATTGTTAATGTTGATATTTTAAGTGTCCTCTTGACATGATTCACTTTACACCGTGTCACTTCCTACACTTGGCTAGTTGATGATTTTCAACCTGTTATTAATGTTTAATTAAATATCATGTTATATTTGACAAGATTTCTACATTTATTTGAAAATGTTTTGTAGGAATCTGAATCAGCTGCTGAAGAATCTAGTCCCGGTAGTGAACGGGGTTCTATAGTGGATAATAGTGATAAAGCCGCTCCACAAGCAGTAGCAGAAGAAGGTGAGACTAATAGATTGTCTTTATAATAAACAGTAAGGCCAAAACAAATTTAATTTTTAATTCTTTGGGGGCATGATAAATAAAAAAAGCCACTTGAGTCTCATGTAAAATGATTTATTTTAGAATTTAATAAACTGAAAATGTGGAACTCAAAGCTTTTAAGAAGAGCAACCCAAGTATTTGCATTTCTTCCCCCCCAAAGAACAAAAGTTTAAATTGATATAGGCTAATAATGTATTATCACAGAAACAAGTAGTCATATATAATTTGGTTATAATCTTTACATTTGTGTATTTATAAGCTGAAACTAAAAGAAATGCTTATTCTAAGATAGTATGTTAATGCCAAGCAAATGGCAGCTAAAAAGCTATTAGATAGATAGGCATACATAAAATGAAGATGGTTTCTAGAGCTTCACTGCTTTAATGTACTTGGCTTATTAGTATATATGAATTGTTTCAATGGTATTTAGTAATTGAACTTGAAACATACAGGTTACAATTCTGTGGAATACAATTACTGCTTATTAGCATTGATTGATAAAGACTAGAGAGGCCCAGTCGAACAAAGCTCAGTAATAAACAGTAATTGTATTCTATAGAATTGTGACTTGTGTATAGATTATGACTAATTAATAGATTTAATAATAGACACAATAATAAACAGGTAGTAAAGTTTTACAAACTGTCAAATACATAAATATCTAAGTAAATCACATGACAATTTTACAACCAATCAGCTACTGGATCTCGACCTACATCGATAGCAGAAGACCTCACAGTATTCGTAGATCAAAGACGTCCTGTTGCTAAGGTAACAACTCCAGAAGAAAGACAAATTATATCACAAAAGAAGAAGGAGGCTTATGTTGACCTGCTCAGTGAACTCGATAAATATGCAGATGAAAAAGAACGAATGCAAGCAGCGCAGAAAGTAGAGCAAGGTGTGTGGGTAGATGGCATGCTGATAGTTTCATCCTAATTTCCATTCTTTAATATCATCATCACTATCCATGTTCACTCCTTCTTTGAGATGACGTAACTCATCCCAATTCTTAACATGGTTTTCACAATTCTTAAAATGGTTCACTTTATTCACCCAGTTCATCCCATTCTTAATATGGTTGACTAAATTGGCTGTTTTCATTCAATTCTTAAGCCGCCACTCACTTTTACTCACCCAATTCTTGATGTCACGACTTATCATTGGTTACTTTCACCCAATTCTTAATCACTATTAACTCTGTTCACTTGATTCTTAACATCACCTTTGACTAATTTCCAAGCATTTCAAGAGGGCATTCATTCACTTCTTTGATGGCTTACATAAATCATGAAATTAGACACAAGGTACTTACAACTTGATAACATAAGGGAATTACTTAAAGATACATTATGGGAGATAAGATAAAGAGATGGCAGTTCTCGCTATAATAGTTAAAAACTAGATAGTGTCAAGTTAATTTGCTGAAAATTTCAGTCAAATTGATCCACTATGAGCCGAGAAAGAAGCCGGTGACATTTTTGCATAGTCTCGGTTATCATTACTAAAATCATTAATATAAACAGCATAGTCTCGATTATCCACTTTTTCTGATTTAATTATCTTTGGCCGTTAGCGGCATATAGGAATCAAATCCAGCCTACATCGAAGGCTAGCCTTGACATCGAGAGTTTATTATTGTCTGGATAAGTTAATTAATGTCTAATTGATAATTTAGATAACATTTCAGGCCTAAAGAAAGACTTGTAATAAGCAGACTTTGCTCTTGCATAATGCATGTTTAAAGGTTCTTTCTGATATTACATGGACATTCTTCCTGTTGACAACACAATTACTAATATCATTTATCCTGAGGATTATTTCTTGAAATATTGAATCAAAATTAAAAGTTAATTGTAAACATGGTTATTAAAGCTGATATTTAAGGCATTTTACAATTTTAAAAAATAATCCCCAGATTTATAAAAATTGCACTAAATGTACATGTGTCGATGTTCAGTGTTATTATTATAAGATATGTCATTTGAAATCGTATATATTAAAAAGAAATAATCTAATCGTGGGCAAAGCTTATTTATTTTCATGTGGTAATTGGTTCATGAATTTTTTTTTCTCATATCATTCATGTTTTTAGTTTAGGTTTCAATAATAATTTTTGTATTGTGTATCCATATCGTAATTTCTAATTTAATAATCAACAAAATCTTGCAATGGTAAACTCTAATGTATAAAGTAATTAGAAAATATCTTAATTTCTAATATCTCAATAATCGACAAAATCTTGGAAGAAATGGTAAACTCTAATTTGTAAAGTATTTAGAAAGAACATATAAATGTGTTATAATAGAACTAATTCTGTGTATCTGTTCATTTTATTGGTTGTCTTCCATTTCATTTTTTGTAATTAAATGAATACACATCTTTCATTCATTCCGGTCATGTAGAAACTGTAGTCTATACTTATATCTATATATTCTCCTACTCTCCCTGCTCTCCAGGAATCGATGACCGTATATCTATCACAGAAGAAAAAATTACCCACGCTTCCAGAGATCAGGTGGATATGTTTAGCAGACTAGATCAGCCTTCTTCCCAAACAGTGCCCTCAGCATATGACAGAACATCACAAGAAGGTACACACAGACTGGCATGATGTCACCCTAGTTCTCTTTGTTTTCACCTGCATGGGAGAATGATCTTTTAGTTGTTACCTGCATGGATGTTATTTAATTTTCATTTACAGATACTGACATAACCTTTATTTATTGTAAAACTGACACTTTACTTTCTAAACACAGTAAAACTAATTGTGAAATAATCAAAGAAACAACCCATTAATATTAGATGATGCTACCTGTTTACTTTTTGCTTTGTGTACAGCAGTGGCGGTGGGTAGAGGGGGGGGGGACCCAGGCATCCATTTCAAGGTGGGGGGCATCCAATCAAAGAGTGGAATTAACATTAAAAAATTTGAAATTTGAAATTATCGCTCTTAAGTTTGTTGTACAAACTGCTCTACTTGATCTATTTTTTTCTGTTTTGACAAATTTAGCATGTCCTCCTTTATCACATTTCTTAGTACTAGGCCCTATACTTGAGTTATGGGGGTATAAAATCAAGGATTTGTCCCTAAGCATCACCATTGATTTCTTGTATTACCAAAAGTCAGTTTTCTGTGATTACATATTTTGAAATCTGGATGACTGGATGACAATGTCTTTTGTTAATGCTGGACAATTGATATATATATAAAATTCAAACCCACAAGTTTACATGTACTATCATCTTTGCACAGTTGTTGTGAATTTAAATGTTGTTTAAAAACTTCACCACACACACATTGAACAAATACATTGATGATCTGTCTCACTTTGCACCATTCAGTTTTTATGCTTGAATGTAACATTATTACCATATAACAGTATTTTGGATTTAATATATAACTATATTGTATCTTGGACTAATACTCTCAACAGAGAGAGTGGTGTTTAACATCCTCTCAACACAAACTAGGCCATTATGGGACAAACATCTGGCATATCATTATTTCAATTAATTGCTTGCGTGTAGGATCTTTTGGTAGTGGGAGGAAAAATGAGAGCCTTGAGAAAACCTATGAGGTTGTGTAAAACAAATTCAATAAAAAAAGGGGTATTCGACAAACCCAGTCCTTTGACAAACTCTGTATTTGCTTCAAATATTTCTGGGCAGCTATTTTGTAAGAATTTGTTACCTCCAAAATAAGACTTAGGCCACCTCAACTCAAGTACATGTACTGTAACTCATATTTATAGTAAACGAACAAAACATCTTGCATGTAAGATATTAGCACTTAGGGGTGAAATTTGCTGTGCAAAATAGACCAGTGTACATGTACAAGTTATATAGCCACTGAAAGAGTTCAAAAATTTGGCTAAATTATGTGTACATTGACTAAATTTTATATTCTGAATAGATATGAAATCAATTTCTAGAAATCATTATTCGATGTTGTTCTACCTCTTTTATAATCAAGTCTCTTTGATATTGTCATTTCTGTTTTATTTTCACCCTTTTAAATTGTCTATTTGATGTTGTCATTTCTGTTCACTGTATTTATGGCTTTACATTCTTGTGGCAGAGATGGTTGGATTTCTGTTTCAATATGGGTGTAGAAAGGCTTTGTTTAATTAAAGTTACTGATTGTTAATGATATATTTCAGACAATATCTAATTTTTAATGGCTTAATCCATGCTAAGATGTATTCATATTGATTATTTAACATTTATAGTAATGTCTGCAGGGGAGTGTTGTCAAATCTCTGTTTCATCATTTGTAAATACCGAACTGAATTGAACCGTTTTTAGGCTGCAGAGATTCGACTTGCACAATTTTGTAGTTGTTCCTAAAATAAGAAAAAGACCACTGATCATATGTATTTTTCAAAAAAAAACAACATAATTATGAAATTTATTACATCAGTTTTAAGTTGTAACATTTACATTTAACTTGGGTTTTTTAATGTTAATTGAGCACATATTTTGATTATTGGACAGCTTGCATTGACTTTATGCACAATAAATTATATTGCCAAAAGTTTTCTGACTTAAATATAAACAACCATGCTAATTGCTTTATTTGGAATGGCTAATTGCTTGCAGGAGAAGGTGATGATGAAGTAGTTAAAACTCCTCCCCCTAGTCCAACGGAAAAAACAGCAACAGGTATTTGATTCGACACATTTCTAGTTACCATACTTGCGGTACATATTTTACAGTAAACTTAGACAAATTAGTGTTTTTAAGATGTATTAACACAATTTATTAACTTGATGAAGTACAACAAAAAAAAATGTTTTCAAGATATGTTCACATAATAAGAAGGTGAGCAGTAAAATATACTAGATACTCTCACATAGTTATTAATCCTGTATTATATCATAAAGCTTCTATACACCCCAACGTGTCATGAGACTTGTAGATTATTCACAAGTGCATCATTGTAAGAATTATGGAGTACATTTTACCGTGGGGTCACGGTGGCTAAGTGGGTAAGACGCTGGTTGCTAGCCTGGAGATCTGGTGTTCAATCCCTGCATTGGCTGAGAAAGTTCATCCAGATTTTCCAGCGTGGTTCCCCCTTGTCAGTGATGCAGGACGGAGGGCCTGACAAGGACAGCTGTCTAGTCGTTCGGATGGGATAAAAAAAAACAAGGTCCCGTGTACATATTGACGTGCATGTAAAAGATCTCTTGACAGTTGGAATTTGATATAAGAGTAGGCCGTAGTGCCGCTGTCCATGCAAAATTTCCCTCATAGCACACTGCATGGCGTATGCCCGTCTTCATTAGCCCAGTTCGGAGCAGAACAGTAGGACGTTAAACCCCATTTCATTTTGTCCATTTTACCTCCTTGTCTTTCATATCCTCGGTACCCCTAGTGGTCTCATTCCATTCCACTCCATTAACCCCTGGGTTCATCCATGGGGGAGACATGTATTCAAATTATCTGCCCTTAATGACTGTGCTATTTTTATCAAAGAATATCATAAAATACAAAGGAAGTTGGCAAAGGAAAGTAACTCTCATCTTGTTGCCACAAACAAGCCGCCATATTGTTGTGAACGTAGGCAATGAATGTAAGACTGGTTTGTAAACTGTTTTTGATTGGTTCGTAGACTCATGCTACGATCGAGGGCAGATAATTTAAATAAATGAATACCCTATGGATGAACCCAGAGTATAGTGGAGTAGAACGAAACAAGACCACTGGGGATACTGAGGGTGTGTCTCACTGAAATAAACCATACCAAGCTAAGGTTGCAAAAGTAAATCTGTCCATTTAAGTAACTCAGAATAATATGTTTGTGATTTTTCTAGCATGCTTTCTAAATTGTGAATGCTTTCTTAGTGAATTTGATAGCTGCCTTTTTTTAGAAACTAGACATAATTTGTAGAATTGATTAGAAGTTAACATATTTAGCATAGTAACAATTTTTAAATCGTAAAAAAAATTAATTAATGCTGCAATAGAGGATTATTATGATGAGGAACAGACGACGGAATCAACAGAAATTGAGGAAATTTATCAGGTGTCAGACGATGGTGAAACGTGGAAAACTATTCGTAAAGTTACCACCATTACCCCGTCTGGCACAACAGAAAGAGTTACTGTTCTCAAAGGTAACCATGGTGATCAATAAATGTTATTCTCAAAATTTTTTCTATTTATGTTGTTAAAAAGCTCTGTTTCTATTTTCTTGGTGTACTCTTTCTACAATTGATTACATTTAGAGCAATTTTTCATGATTTTAAATAGGATAGTTTTATATTTGATATCGAGATCAAATAATATTTATTATAGAATTTGAATACTATCTAAAACCATGTATTAAGATTTTACAAGTTTTAAAAAGAAAACAACAAAAAAATCATGTACACTTTTATATTATTCTGTTTGTGAAACATTTGTTAAAATACGGAGTGCTGTCAGTTTGTGAAGTATTGAATTTGAATACAGTCTAAAACTAAAACCATTTATTAAGATTTTACACGTTTTAAAAGGGAAACAAAAAATGTATCATATACTTTCTTGTTATTCTCTTTATATGACATTTTAGAATACAGAATGTAGTCAGTTTGCAAAGTAACTTTGTCAAATTAACGTATTGTTTAGAAACGTTACCTGCATATCAGTTATGATCGTTTCCTAAATTTCAGTTTGTTTTCAACTCTTTCTGTTACATTTTTTGTTTATAGCCATATTTTGGTGCCATTTATTTTATGGTTTCTATTATGGATCCTTTTACCAGTTGCATGTATCTTATTATTATTTATTATATTTTTTAACAATATTGGTTATTAATAACCTAATTATATAGTAACTTTATCATATTAATTCTCTGCTTTAGCTGTGTATTTCCTCTATATTTATAGCCTTATTTTAAAACTTTATATTATTATTTTATTTTAATATTTAATTTGTAACTTTATATTGTAACTTTGCTAAACCTATGTTTACATATAGGTTTAACTAAATTCAAAGTATTCATTATAACTTTTATAATTTACCTTTCTGGGTCATATGGTCATTAAAAATATGATCTGAAAGCCCCAGACCACAGTTTCGAACTGTGCTGAGCAGAGTGATGTGTACTATTCCCCATTGCAAAATGAAGTGACCACAATTTGTTTCTAAATTATTGTGTTACTGCTGCCTTGACTAAATTATCACTATTATATTGGCATCCATAGAAATAAGATATATAAAATCTGTATGTCTAATTACATACTGTCCATAATGCTTTCCCAACCACCTGTATGTAGATTTTTGTTCACAGCAATCAATTCCATAAAAATCCCCCATCCATTGGCTTTACCTAGAGATGTTTAACGCTTGGGTTTGCTGACTTCGTAAGTCCTTACCCCAGACCACATCAAACATACTCAAAATGTTAAACATAAGGCAGTGTTTTTGTGGGAGAATAAACTTGTATCGGGCATCTTGTATCCTTCTACTGTTCCAAATAGACAGACCAAAATTTCTGTTTCCAACAAAGTGCCACCTGAAGCAGACCACCCTCCTCACCTAACCCACTTCCTCCCTAAATTCTGCTACTGCCCCTTCCCCACCTATAACTTTTATATCACATTTAAATATATTATGCGCCAATCATGAGAGTAGTTGACCAGTTGATAAGACCTGATCCATACTCATTTAGGTATAACTTTCCACTGAAAGCTCCTCAGAAATTTTAATAGGGTACATTTTCTATGACAACAAGGCTTAGATAATAGTTTCTGTGAAAAAGTAGTTCCTATGCCTATCAGAAATCTAAAACAAGTGTATCTCTGGTATATCAGCTAACAAATGTAAATGAGCAATGAGCTGTTTGAATGTCAGCCAAAAATGAGTTGGCATATCAACAAAACGTTGTTTACCACATTCATAATACAAGGTCATCCTCTTACATGATTGTCATTTTGTTATTTCATCACTGCAGGTACTGATATTTTTCTAATTTTATTATATTTTTCAGAAGAAAAGATGCCTCGAGGTGCTAATATGGCTGAAGCAGCGGCGCGTCTGGCAGCTGTTGGTAGTCATGGCGATGGAGGACAAGAGACGGGTGTGTAGATATTACCATGCCGTGTGTTCCCATGACATTTTATATGACTTGTTTTATTGCTTTATTTCTTACTACCCTGTTTCAGTTTGAACAAGGCATGAATTTCTATTGCCACCTTTACTACTTACGATTTATACTTACACGTTGACCTTTTCTTATTTGTTCTTACTTTATATCTACCCAATTTCTGACCTTCTCCATTGATCTAAGATGTGATTGTACGGCTGACATGTATTTCTAATACCCTACTCAGAATTACAATCGTTTGATGTGGCGTGCAGAGATGGGTGTTGGGGTATCCAGGGGATCCATTCCGGGAGGAGGGGAGTGGGCATCCAATTAAAGAACGTGATTAAAATTAAGGGTTTTTTTTAAAATTCAAGTCATCGTTCTTAACTTTGTTGTACAAGCGACTCTACTTATTGTTAATAAAAAATCTGCGTTTTTACATATTTAAATGGCAGAATACTAGCCTATATATTATATACTTGAGGACATACAATCAAGGAGTTGACCTGGGGCATTACCAAGCGTCTGCACGCCACTCAGCGTGTGAATAACAGGACTTAGGTAAAAATAAAATTACCAAGCAATTAAATTAAAAAAGGTATGCTCAAGTAACTTATATACATGTATTTGCGGATCATCTGACCTGAAACAGGGTAATTAGGAAAATCCATAGCATGAAATATGTTTGGTTGTAAAATACCCAAATTGTGCATGATGATAAATTAAGCGGTATTACTGAAAGTATATTGATTTACAGACTACGTAAAAACTTCAACTTTGTGCTATGTAATATTTACTAAATGCTCATCCTATAAGAGTTGCAAAACTCAAATTAAATTGTTTTATATTAAGCTTATTTTGTGTAAATTGGCCATTTATATATTTAATGGTAACGGTTATTGTTTTTTTTTATTGTTAAGTATTAATATTATTATATATATGGAATGGAATAATGTCCAATATAACGACTACTTTATATATCTGCCTAGAATGTAGGATTTACTGCCAGGACTGCCATTAATTGTGTAATTAGAATGGCAAAAGTAGCATATAGAACCCCTATATATAAAACCCTTTTCATTTCATTATTCTCTTCAAACTCATTAGAAAAATCTAATCACGTGATTGTCACCTCATTAAAGAGATAATCAAATAGAATTTAAATTGATCATATAATGTAATACATGTTCTTATTTACTTTGATTTTATAATTATTATTTGATATATTGTTATTAGCTTTTTTTTGCCTTTCTTATTGCAATTGCTTTCATTACTGTTGTCAAATTTCTGTTGTCTTTGAATAAATGTTCTATCTTTTAAGTTTTGGTTGTGGTATTTTTAGTTCACACATTTGGTTATGTTTCCATTTAAATTTTGCTGGAAGTTAATTTTCAAATTATTCACTACTAGAAAAGTTCAAGACATACAAGCAAATATACAGTAATGAAACAAGAAAGTTCTTGTAGTGGTGAAACTATACATTCTGACTAGTTACTCCTCGTGGTTGAGCTCCGGGGGTGGGTGGAACAATTCACTAATCATTGCATTTCAATCATTGGGAATGTTTTTATCCGTTATGTAACAAGATGCCCAGTGCTTATCTAGACATCATTTGGCTTCTAGAAGAACTTTTTGCTTCACAAATGTAATATCTCAGCCCTTTTTATGTAGATCTGCATGAGTTTTTCTCACCAAATTACTGTGACACTTCTGCTTATTTCTATATATTTTAACACAAACGCTACTTTCTGTAGTATGCACTTTAGTTATCTTTCATTTATGCATCATTTGAACTTAGCTACAGTAAAAATAATCATACTTATAGCTCTTAAGATAGTGTTTGCGGTTAAGGTTTTCTGTAGAATCTAGTTTCAACAACTAACCGTAAGAAGATTGCACTTTTGTTTTCTCTGTCTTTGCCTGGACTAACGGAAAGCATGGCATCCTTTCTGCGTTATGCTTTATATTCTTGAAGACTGATGTCTGCATGCAGTACATATTCTAATCCTACCAAATTTCAGACTATATGAGGGAGACTGAAAGAGCAAGTAATTATGGGCAGGGATATGACCAAATAGTCACTGTAGAGGAAACTGAACAGGTTCAAACCACATCATCCAGTGATATCGGAGGTGCCAAATTATCTTACAGACAGGATGTCCTCGAACAAATGACCAGTCCTACATCTGATGGCTCTTACCCAGAAGAACCATCATCAGTCCCAGAACCAACTATGCCTGCTGACTTTAAAGTACATGGGGAATTTGAATCTCCTTCTAGTGAAGGTCGTGGCTATGATGAGTTTACTAGTAGACTAGATGATGGACGAGATGGTTTTGATCAGTACAAAGGCACCGATATTGATGATCATCAATATAGAGACATTTCTTATGGGGATAGAAGTACAGAATATAGGGACAGGAGTGTGGAATATAAAGACTCATATATTGAACGTGGGGACAGTAGACCTACTGATTATAGAGATTCAGATGTAGACTATAGGAACACAAACAGACCATCTGATTATGGGTACGATAGTGGGACAGTTCAATATGGGGATACTAGCATTGACAATAGGGACTCCAATATTGACTATGAGGATAGAAGTAGGACATCGGACTTCAGAGATGATGATAAGACTTATATTAACGAAAGAACTACTACTGTTAATACTGAATATAGAGATTCAGATGTTGACTACAGGGATTCCAATGTTGACGATGACAAAAGTAGGACTGACTTTGAAGAGAAAACCATCACAACTACTACTACAGAATACAGAGATTCGAACATTGACTTTGGGGACGAAAGTAGGTCTACAGACTTTGAACAAAGAACTACTATTGAAACAGGAGACTCAAGAACTGACTTTGAGGACAGAAGTAGGACTACTGAATATAGGGATTCCAATATCGACGATGACAGGTATCAGACTGAACAAAGTAAATATGGTTCATCTATGGGTTATCAAGGCACTGATATTGATCAAACCATTTCTGACACATCTGTTGACAGTAGCAGGGTCACGACACAGTACGATCAGTATAGTCAGCAGGGACAACGTTATCAGAAGGATGTAGATGGTCAGTATAGGCAAGGCGATACAGATATCGACCAAACAAGCCAACGTTATGAACAGTCAACGGATACTACAACGTATGATAGGATGCCTCAATATGGTGGAGTGAAAACTGATGATAACGATGAAGGGTTACGTTATGGATCCACGGAAGAAGGTACATTAGTTTCCCTCAAGTTTAATCGGATGGGAGATTTCTTTAAATTAAGTTAGCACCAATATCACATGAGTCTACAAAAATCAAAACTCGAGCTCTGAAATCGTCTCCCTTTTATAATTTAAATTATCTAATCCAATTGACTAATATTGAATTCTACATTAACTGATCACATTTGAATAATTATTTAACCGAGGCTCAAGTGCATATTTAATTTATTTTATTTGCATTATGACCACATTAATTTATTTTAAATTATTAAACATACAGTTTTACACAAGCTGTAGGCATGAGACATTCATTACGTACTGCTGCATGTATATAGATATATATTATGTATCTTAATTTGCCTATTGTGTTACCTATTTGTTTTATGTTGTTTTGTGATGTTCTTTGTATTCTCTGTCGTCCATTGTTATCATATATCATAAAACAATTTATCTGCGAAGATAACCCTTTGAAAATACTTGGTCCCAAAGTGGTTGGTTAACCATCGTAGATCCATGGGTTTAATTTTTTTTAATTCACTTAATAGCTTTTCCTAGGAGATCTGTAATTTTGACAGATTTAATAACTGGACTAATTTCTAGCTGCACATTTTATTCTTATTAACCACAACCTTGTGCTTCAAATGAAAATAAAGCTGAAATTGGCAACATTTGGCCAAATTTTTGATTTATATAGAATGTGTTCTTGGGTAAGTGTGGGTATCATTGATCAACAAATGTGACCAGGATTTTATGTCATCCAAAGTTTCATTTTCTGTTTGTTCTTGGATATATTTCATGGACTTTATTTGTGAAAAACGCAGAAGTGTCACATTACGAAGGTTATCAGATTAGAAAATGGGTTGAGATTTATTATGTGTTTCATATTTGTTAATCACTTGTTGTGTCTATAGTTTGTATATTATAATCTATCACTGTATCTCAAATCTTAATTGAGGAATATTAGAGAAGCACTGGGTTTTTCTATTTCTTATTTATGGCTGGAATGGGCATTAGCTCAGTTGGCAAATTAAAAACTACCTAATCTAATTCTAATCCAATTTATTTGTGTCTTGTGTACTAATACTACTTTTATTAATATTACTACCACAAAACCACTAGCTACTACTCCAAATCCAAACATCGACATTAAAAACGATAACAAACTAATATACCATGACAATGTTTTCTACTTGCATAAAACCTAAAAACAAATTAATACAAGTATTCTAAAGCTTGAATAGGAATCGAGGTAGAAATTAATATTTTTTTTCATATTAGCTGATACATGTATTTTGACATTTAGACAACTGGCTATCTAGGACGTTATTTTGATGTTCTCATTCCACAATTTTATCATCTTAGAAATACATGTAGAACTGCTTTTAGATTCATAAATCATGCAACGGGGAGTGATCTAAAACTACAGTTTGCTGTGATTTTTTTTTAATGCTTCTTCTTTTTTCTGCTTTGGTATTCTGCTTTGCAGTTTTCGACCCTAGTGTAGATGCTGACACAACCGTTTACGAAGAGGTTTTAGCAGACGGCACAGTAGTCAAACACAAAAGGATTCGTTCTACCCCAGGGGTGGGTTCTCAACCAAGCGATATTGAGATAATTGAAAAAGAGGGGCCTGTTAGGGAAGTTAAAGAGGTAGAAGAATCACAGAATGTTCTTCCCGATGGCACTGTTCACAAAAAGCAATTAGTTAGGAGGCATTCACTTAGACAAATAACCAGAAGTATTACTATTGATGAAGGTGATGAAGAAGTTACAGAAGAAGTAATTGAAATACCAGGAACCAATATAACTGATGTTAAAGATGTTGAGGAATCGGAAAAGGTTCTACCTGATGGCACAGTGCACAAAAAACAACTGGTCAGGAGACATTCAATTCAAAATGTCACAAGGAGCGTCACATCAGATGGTGGAGATGAAGAACTGATTGAAGAAACAGTGAAAATACCTGGTACTGAAAGAACTGATATTATAGAAACGTATGAGATGCCTGCAGAGATGGTTTCTGAACGGGATCAAATAGAAGAAGTCTTGCCTTCTGGCAATGTTGTTAGAAAAGGTATTATTGTAAATAAACTTGTACATAAATTAAAGACCCACCATGTTTCATTCGATAGTGAGCAGGGACGGACGGAGGAAGAATACGAGGTTGAAGAAATTATTCCAGGAACAGTTTCAACTTTCTTAGATGATTCTTCGTCGGAATCATCCTATGATGATGAGGATGAAGATGATGAGGATGAATATGACGTGGATGAAGATAGGATTGAAGTGTCTGATAAAGAGGAAATTCTTGACGATGGTACTGTACATCATGTTCACAAAATCAGTCATCATACAAGCAAACACACTCCAGCTCCTGGTGTTGAAGATGACTTGAGGTCCATAGAAAGAATAGAAACCTTTGACCAGCCACCACACCCAGAGAAAACCATTGTCGAGCAAACCAAACAACAAATAGCAATGAATAGACAAGTACATAAGCTGAAAACTCACCACGACTCATTTGATAAAGAATCTGGCAAGGAAGAATCTGAAGATTATGAAATAGAAGAAGTAATTCCAGGCACAGTGTCAGCCTTCATTACTGGCGAAGACTCAGAATCCTCAGAAGATGAATTTTTAGATGAAATTACAGCAGATGTTGGTGAAGTCAAAGAAGTGAAGGACGATGGATCTGTTGTCACTAGTAGGTTATTGGCAAGTGAAGAAAAGAGAACTGTAAGGTCACGATCAGGGTCTATCGATGAATCAACTCATTCTGAGATAGTTACAGAATCCCTTGAACCTCATGCTGGTGATTATTCTAAACAAACTGTCCGTACATCTGTTAAATCAACTCATATTGAAGAAAGTTTGTCCTCTGTGGACCATCACTCAACAGAAAGTCATGGTTCGGAGATAACAGAGCCAGGTAAATACTAAGACAGTTGAGATAGTGTGGTTAATTGCTTGCTGATGGAGAAATTTGGGTTTATCTGTTTTATTGCTGTGACCCGTTGGTTAGACTTTAAAGCTTGGGTAACCTGTTTATTTGCTGATATTTATCGTTAGAGAAAAGTGGGTCGTAGGAATGAATTCTATAATCGAATTAGTAGTATTAAGTGGAACCTGTTACATTTAACTTTGAAGTTAACTGGAATTAACTAATTAAACTATTTGCAAAGTGGTATGAATGAATTCTATTAAAAAAAAGTAATAATATAAAGTAAACATCTATAATTTTTTAGCTTTGAAGCTTAACAAGAATTAACTAAGTAAATTATTATGGAATATATTCATAAATTATTATTATTTAAAAAGTGATTTGGAAAAGTAGACATTTAAATATGCATGGGTGCATGGATAGCTTATAGATAGAAATATTAAGTCAGGGTTAGGGTCAAAAGAGAGGGTGTAGTTAAATAAAAGTGGTATTTGCGCGAAATGGATATACATGAATATTAGATAAGCAAGGTTACATCCAAAAGATGGTGTGTAGTTAAAATAAAAGTGGTATTTTGCATGAAATGGATAGACATCAATATTATATGAGTGAGGTTTAGGGACAAAAGAGGGGGTGTAGTTAAAATAAAAGTGGTATTTTGCATGAAATGGAAGTGGTTCCCAAATAATCATTAAATATAGTTCACCTGTGTGTGTTTTGTTGTTTACACCGAGTCTTTAAAGTATAATGTAAATCTAATTAAGCTTCTCTTTAAAACATTTCAATGGTGCTGTGTTGGGTTATGTGTGTTTATATGAAGTCTTGTATTGTTCTTAATATCTTTAAAATTGAGGCAAATGAGTTAACTTATGGAAAAGGGGCTATTTTCATCATTGTTCTTGATATCTTTAAAATTGAGGCAAATGCAAATGGGTTAACTTATGGAAAAGGGGTCAGTAATAATCTTTGTGGAGTAAATTATGTTAGAATCTTGGTTGGTATTGATTGAATTTTGTATTTTATGTTATGTTTATTTATTTTTGTGTACAAATTATTTTTTCGATCTCTTAGAATGGCGAGAACTTCAGGATAATGGTTTAACAAAAAGAGCTGTTTCTAAAGTGACCTATACACCAAGTGGATCAGGTGGGCTGTAGATGATAGTGTTCTAATATAGTGTCGAGCTTCTTTCTAACATTTACCGTGTGTCTTTCATTGTTTCATCCAACATCCACACTTTGTTTTACTAAAACAAGTCTTAGCATAGTTTGAATTTAAAATTGTTAAATATTTGAACTAAAAACCTGTTGAATACCTTGAACTAGTTTTTTTCTGTGCTATAATGTGTGTTTTCAGTAGCTCATTACTTGATAGTTTCTGCTCATTGATGATTTCATTACTAATATCTCAAGTTGATTTGTCTGTTAACATTGTATAATGTAGCATTTCACTTTGTCAAGTTTTTCTCCTTTCTATCCCTAGTATGGTTCTATTATAACAGTAATTTTAATTTTCTAGCTATTGGAAATAGTTCCAAATGACTTCCAATTATAGAGAAGGTCGATATGGAATTTGCATCCAATGGCAATGGTCAATGTCTAATTATTCAAATTTTATCGACTTACCTCATATTTGACCAATTTTAGACTATTTGTTGGTTATATTGGAACTGTACTTTGGTGTGAAGTTGTGTTTAGTGATACTAAGACTTATTTCTTAATTACATATCAATATACATTACCAATGGGAGTTTGTGGATTACATATGAGCTTGTCCTGATGATCATGACATTGAACATTGCAAGCACAATTTTAGTTTGAGGGTTTGGATGTTAAGGTTTTTTTTGTCTGAAAATTACATTCCATTTTCAGAGGAATACTATGATAACTGTCCTACTATTACGATAACGGAGGATTTATCAGCGCCGATTGAAGATGATGATTATAACTATGCTCGATATTATGGGATAGAGTATCAAGGTTAGGATTCGTATTAGGTGTAGGGTTTATCTTGGTGAAAAGTACCCTTGATGAATTTTACTATCACAGATTCTATCAAACTATAGACAAACTCTTGACCTCCACAACTCATTTTCAATAAATATTTTTGTTGTGAAGACAGGTTCACACTAAAATTATAGTAGCACACTGTTTTTTTTTTTAATGGGCGTTGTGTGATTATGTTTATTCAGTTTTGGATTTTATTTGTTTTATCTTGAATTTCAGATTTTCATTTAGCTTTAGCATGAAGCACTATATTGTTATTAGACTTTTTGTTTTGCTTTTTTATATTTATTTCACTACGTTTTAGCTCAAGCATAGATATTATGAACTGTTAATGTCAGTGGTGCCAATACATATTATTGCCTGGTAGATGAGAATTATATTTATTAAAGAAACTAATGGAAAAACTTGATTTTATTTTTTTTTTCAAGCAGAGCAGCCAAGATATGGAGATGATGAAGGTAGCATTGCTGTTCTATAGTTTCTGTGATTTCAGTTTACTTTTAGTTGTTGTGTTATTATAAATGTTACAAGATTTTGTTTCAGTGTTCATAATTTGTGTTAAGAAAAATAATCTGATGTCTTGTTTCAGGAAAAGTTAAATGGATATTATTAATGTTATATATTCTTATGTTCACCATATATAAAAGTCTGTTTACTCAGTTGTCGATTAAAGCATGTGCATGATAAAAATTGATGTAAAATGTCACCCAAAATTTCTATATATATGTGGTTTGTAAATAGGTTAGGCTGCATACAACTGAGATTAAGTAATATCCATCCGATAAAAGCAAAGATTAAGATTTAGTTCCTTTTTCTCTTTTTATTAAGTTTTCAATGCATTAAATTTAACTAGAACCCATGGTCTGGTTTTCTTATGTTACACTCTTAATTAATTTCATTTCAAAACATTTAACAAATATAAAGGTATTCTTGTAAACTAACCATCCTATCATAACTTTTTTAATGCCTTCTTTCCTTTGGATTGGTATGTGCTGGTGATCAGGTAAAACAAGCGATGTTCCACAAGAGCAACCAGGAAACTATAAACAGGATACCCCAGAAACTGCTGATATTGAACAAGAATTAATAATACAAAAAGAAACAACTAGCATAGAACATGCACCACAAAATATTCCCATGACAAGCGAACAAACTTATTCGTCAGTACATGGTGATTTTTCAGATAATATTCTTTCACGTCAAACATATACACAAAAAATTACCGAAGAGCATGTGACAGAAACACAATCTGTATCATATCAAAGTCAAAACTATCAATACTCCCAATCTCAAAGTCTGTCTGAGGGATTTACTTCTTCCATTCCAAGTCAGAAGCATGGTGATATCGAAATTGAGCTTCAACTGGACGAATCTCCCACTGATGAAACATTCCAACCCTCTGATTTCCTGGTCACTGAAACTAAAAAGGTAACTAAAGTTTATGATGACATTGTCGAAACCACCGACTCTGCACCAGAAATTATGGAATCTAAAATAACCACTGAAATCTGTGATACCGTTGATCAACCTTTAGAAGGGGATTTAGTAAATACAGGGAAACAGACCGGAACCACCTCTACCATGGCTGATGATATTTCTGATTCTAGGGACCAAGCCTATATTGGTGATTTTGACCAAGCAGCAGGTAGTGATGATGAATGGGAAATCATGAGCCGTGGTGAACTTGATGAAAATGAGCTGCTGGCAGCTCAAGATGAGAATTTAATGATGGTAGTTAAAGAAGAAGAAATGTATGAAGAAAAACAGGAAAAGGAATTTTTGGATGAACCTATAAAAGAAGATGAACTAATTGAAGATAAAGAAAAGACTGGCATGGAAATGGTTCCTCAAGTAGAAGATTTGGATGAAGCAGAAGGATCTGGAGAAAAAGAAATTAAAGAATTTGAAGAATCTGAAGAACAAATAAGAGAAGAATCAAAAGTCACAGAACAAATAATTTATAAAGCTGAAGAGATGGAAGAATATGAAGATACTGTTTCTTCACAAAGTGAGGAGCAATATGAAGAAGCAAGAGAGGAAGAAGAATGCATCCAACAAAAAGACCAAGATGTTACTGAACAAACTGAAATAACCATCGATCATGTATACCAAGATGATGTATCATTCCAAAAGAACGTACTAGTACAGGAAGACTACATATCAGAGGATGAAGGTATTAAGGAACCAGAAAGTTATCCAGTGAAGCAAGAATATGAAGATAAGACAGAAGATAACCGGATTATCAAAGAGTCAGAAATTAGTACAGAGAGTGTGGAGGGACATAAGGAAGTTTTCGGGGAACAGCATGAAGTTATTGAGACTAAAGAGGTATATGAACAAGATAAAATGGAAGAAGCGGTAGTAATTCCTGCAAGTGAACAGCATCTAGAAGAAATTAAACAAGCGGATGCTATACAAACTCAAGAAATACTAGAAGTACAAAGTACTGAAGACACATTACAAGAAGAATATATAAGGGATGATGAAGAAGAAGACACAGCAGTCCTTCGACATATGGAACTACCTGAAGATGAAGAAGGTAGACAGGAAGATTATGCAGCTGTCTGTGACGAAACTGTGGAATCAGAACCAGTTCCTGAAATTGAACAGCATCTAGAAGAACTTAAACAAGAGGATGTTATACAAAGTCAAAAAATACTTGAAGTAGAAAGATACCAAGACACATCAAGGGAAGAATATATAAGGGATGAGGAAGAAGACAAAGCAGCCCATGGTCATATGGAATTACACGAAGATGAAGAATCTAGACCGGAAGATTATGCAACTGTCAGTGGTGAGACTGTGGAATCAGAACCAGTTCCTGAAATTGAACAGCATCTAGAAGAACTTAAACAAGAGGATGCTATACAAAGTCAAGAAATACTTCAAGTAGAAAGATTCCAAGACAAATCAAGGGAAGAATATATAAGGGATGGGGAAGAAGAAGACAAAGCAGCCCATGATCATATGGAATTACACGAAGATGAAGAATCTAGACCGGAAGATTATGCAACTGTCAGTGGTGAGACTGTGGAATCAGAACCAGTTCCTGAAATTGAACAGCATCTAGAAGAACTTAAACAAGAGGATGCTATACAAAGTCAAGAAATACTTGAAGTAGAAAGATTCCAAGACACATCAAGGGAAGAATATATAAGGGATGAGGAAGAAGAAGATAAAGCAGCCCATGGTCATACGGAATTACCCGAAGATGAAGAATCTAGACCGGAGGATTATGCAACTGTCATAGGTGAGACTGTGGAATCAGAACCAGTTCCTGAAGTTGAACGGCATCTAGAAGAACTTAAACAAGAGGATGCTATACAAAGTCAAGAAATACTTGAAGTAGAAAGATTCCAAGACACATCAAGGGAAGGATATATAAGGGACGAGGAAGAAGACGACAAAGCAGTCCATGGTCATATGGAATTACCCGAAGATGAAGAATCTAGACCGGAAGATTATGCAACCGTCAGGGGTGAGACTGTTGAATCAGAACCAGTTTCTGAAATTGAACAGCATCTAGAAGAACTTAAACAAGAGGATGCTATACAAAGTCAAGAAATATTTGAAGTAGAAAGATTCCAAGACACATCAAGGGAAGAATATATAAGGGACGAGGAAGAAGACGACAAAGCAGTCCATGGTCATATGGAATTACCCGAAGATGAAGAATCTAGACCGGAAGATTATGCAACTGTCAGTGGTGAGACTGTTGAATCAGAACCAGTTCCTGAAATTGAACAGCATCTAGAAGAACTTAAACAAGAGGATGCGATACAAAGTCAAGAAATACTTGAAGTAGAAAGATTCCAAGACACATCAAGGGAAGAATATATAAGGGATGAGGAAGAAGAAGACAAAGCAGCCCATGTTCTTATGGAATTACCCGAAGATGAAGAATCTAGACCGGAAGATTATGCAACTGTCAGTGGTGAGACTGTGGAATCAGAACCAGTTCCTGTAGTTGAACAGTATCTAGAAGAACTTAAACAAGAGGATGCTATACAAACTCAAGAAATACTTGAAGTACAAAGATTCGAAGACACATCAAAGGAAGAATATATAAGGGACGAGGAAGAAGAAGACAAAGCAGTCCATGGACGTATGGAATTACCCGAAGATGAAGAATCTAGACCGGAAGATCATGCAACTCTCAGTGGCGACATTGTGGAATCAGAATTAGTTCCTGAAATTGAACAGCATCTAGAAGAACTTGAACAAGAGGATGCTATACAAACTCAAGAAATACTTGAAGAAGAAAGATTTCAAAACACATCAAGGGAAGAATATATAAGGGACGAAGAAGAAGATGACAAAGCAGTCCTTGGACATATGGAATTACCCGAAGATGAAGAATCTAGACAGGAAGATTATGCGACTGCCAGTGGCGAGACTGTAGAATCGGATCGAGTTCCTGAAAATGAACAGCATCTAGAACTTAAACAAGAGGACACTATACAAACCCAAGGAGTAGTTGAAGTACAAAGATTCGAAAAGACATCGAGGGAAGAATATATAAGAGACGAGGAAGAAGAAGACAAAGCAGTCCATGGACATATGGAATTACCCGAAGATGAAGAATCTAGACAGGAAGATTATGCAACTGTAAGTGGCGAGACCTTGGAATCAGAACCAGTTCCTAAAATTGAACAGCATCTAGAAGAACTTAAACAAGACGATGCTATACAAAGTCAAGAAATACTTGAAGTAGAAAGATTCCAAGACACATCAAGGGAAGAATATATAAGGGATGAGGAAGAAGACGAAAAAGCAGCCCATGATCATATGGAAGTACCGGAAGATGAAGAATCTAGACCGGAAGATTATGCAACTGTCAGTGGTGAGACTGTGGAGTCAGAACGAGTTCCTGAAGTTGAACAGCATCTAGAAGAACTTAAACAAGAGGATGCTATACAAAGTCAAGAAATACTTGAAGTAGAAAGATTCCAAGACACATCAAGGGAAGAATATATAAGGGATGAGGAAGAAGAAGACAAAGCAGCCCATGGTCATATGGAATTACCCGAAGATGAGGAATCTAGACCGGAAGATTATGCAACTGTCAGCGGTGAGACTGTGGAGTCAGAACGAGTTTCTGAAGTTGAACAGCATCAAGAAGAACTTAAACAAGAGAATGCTATACAAACTCAAGAAATGATTTCAGACACACCAAGGGAAGAATATATAAGAGATGAGGAAGAAGACAAAGCAGTCCCTGAACAAATGGAATTACCTGAAGTTAAAGATGAAGAGCCTAGACAAGAAAACTATGCAACAGGTGGCGAAGAAACTGTGGAATCTGAACAAGTGGAATTTCAAACTAAAGAAACCTTTGGACGCCAGGAAACTTTTGAATCACAATATAAAAAAGAGGTGTATGAAACATCACAATTGCAAGAAGTTAAGGATAGTCAAGAAGAAGAGCAGACTTTACGAGACGTACAAGAAATCACAGCTTCAGAGATGGAGGAAGAAAGCACAATACAAAAAGTCCTTGATATGCAGTATGAAGTAACAGAAGAAGAATTTATACAGCAGCAGGTTGTTACGGAAACTGAAGATATTTCCGAATCTGAAGTCCATGAAAAATTCGAAGAACCTACCACGGAATACGACGAAAAAGATGATGAACATGAGAAAGAAGAACACGTACATACTGATATCGACATGACAGCCCAAAACATAAATCAAAGACAGGTAATAGAGGATCATTCAGTGCAAAGTGTAGAGCATCTCACAGAAGGATACCAAGAGGAAGAGTTTAATAAAATCAATGAACAGGAATTGGTTCATGAAAGTGAAGATCTATATGACGATGAAGAAGATCAAGTGGAACAACATCAGCAAGAAGATGATATTATTCAAAACCAAGAAATACTTAAAGAAGAAAGGACCAATGAAATCGGAGCAATTCATCAAGCTGGCATTGGAATTGATTCAGCTCAGGCTAGCGATGTATATGAGAGAGACGAGAGAGAGGAAGTAAAAGAAGAAGAAGACTACTTCGAATCAGGGGACAGACCAGAAGAAGAAGAATTTCAACAAGAGTCAGTCGATACAGACACCGCGGAGAAACGTACATCCTCCCAGTTCAAAGATGAATATTATGAGTGTTATAAAGAAGAGACAGCGACTGTAGAAGATCCACAAGATCAATCTCAAGACGAAGATATAGATGAAGAATATTATTCCAAATCTCAAGAAACTGAGGAGAGGTTAAAAGAACAAGAAGAAATTGCCAAGGACGAATGTAAACGAGAAGAAACCGAAAAACAGTATGTATCAGAGGAAGACTTGAAAGATCAGTTAGAACTAGATGATACTCTTGACGAAACTGTAATTGAAGAACTAGAACGTGAGCAAAAATATGAATCCAAAGCACAAATGGAAGAGTTAGGAAGTGACGAAGAACAGAAATATTATAAAACACAGGAAAGAGTATCCGACCAAGAGAAGCAACTAGAATCTCAAGATGTGTGTGAACCCGAAGTTATGAAGACTGATGTTGAAAAGAAAGAAGAAATACATGACCAAGTAGAAGAGCGTGACCAAGATGAAGTTAAACAGTTTCAAGGAGACCAAAGCCAGTCTGAAGAACTAAAGGATACGTTGCTACATGAAGTGGAGGATTCGGTTGTGCAAAGTGAATTGGAAACAACCATGATAGAACCCAATATTGTAACCGGGTTTCAGGAAGTTTGTGAAAAAGAAGGTCTTAAAGATGAATTTTATGAAGTAATGAAACCTGAAGAGAAAGTGTTAGATTATAAAGAAGACGGTGACCAGTATAAACCAGAAGAGACAGGACAGGTGATTCATGATGAACAAATTCTCCATTCAGGTCATTCTTATTATGAAGAAGAGAAAACATATGAACAAGAACTTTACAAAGATGACAGTGCAAAATATGATGCATCACTAAACATTGACGAACAGGATTTTGAGCGAAATGAAGAGACTTCTACACATGAACAGTTTGAAGATCAGGCTGAAGATATTGTTGATTTGGAGATGGAAAAAGAACAGAAAATTATATCCCTAGTTGAAGACTCCACAGAAGAAATCTTGGAAGTATCAGAAAGTCTTGACACCCATAAAATAACTGAAAGACAAGAATTTGTAAATGAACAACTTTCAGATGTGGATGGTCATGTTCAAGAAGAGAAATTTGTACACGAAGCCGGCGAGGATGTGGATAAAGATGAATCTTCAGATGAATTACCAATATCAGTGAATGAACCCATACTTGTTAAAGAAACTAAAATTCGTGATGATGAAATAGATTCCGATTTTGGTCTAGAATATGATTCAAAAGATGTAGCATATGAAGCAGACGAAGAATTAGATGAAAAGAAAGAATCTAGTTTTGAAGACCTGGAAAAAGAAGCATTTATAATTGGTCAATCTTCAGATTTGGATGGTCAAGCTCCAGTGAAAAAAGAGGAGAAAGAATGGGAATACATACAGAAAGCAGACGAGGAAGTGTATAATGATGAATCGTCAGATGAAATACAAATAGCGGTAGATGAACCTATGATGGTTAAAGAAACTGTAGAGGATGAAGATGTAGAATATGAAGCTGACGTAGAATTGGAAGAAAAGAAAGAGTCCAGTTTTGAAGATCTTGAACAACAAACCCTACAAAAAAGTGATGAACCAGTTGATGTATGCTCGGAAGCAGTCCTTGGTGCAGAAGAATATCAATTAGATCATAAATCTACTCTCGACGACTATGAATCTGAGGATGATTCAATGCTTGAAAAGGCAGAATTTGAAAAGATTGAAGCTCAGTTCGAACGAGAGGAGCAATTGGCCCAATTCTCTAGCCAACAACCGGAACAAGATAAAATCTTTGGATCGGATGAACCTCAAGATGATATAGTTGGTAACGACATGGACGATAACCAACTTTCAGATTTAGAGGCTGAAGAGGCGGTAACTAGAAAAGAAGACTTTATAGAAGCCCTAAAGCAAGAGAGTGAGTCTTATGAAGATTTCTCTGCAGAAGAACGTGTTCTCCAAGAGGACGATCTTGGAAAAGACAGTGACGCAGACGTAGAAAAACAGGAAGACATCATGACTGAACATTTTAAGAAATTAGCAGATGATCAAGAAAGTCAGGATTCTGAATCTGATAGTGGTAAGGAGGTTGATGAAACATTTCGTTTTTCGGAACAAATACTTCGCAATGAGATTGATGAGTCTGTTAAACAAGACGCTCCAATTCTTACAACTGATTTGGATAGCGATATTTACCCTGATTTGTATAATAAAGAACTGCATTCAAAAATTACCTCAGATTTAGATGATGATGAGACCAGTTTTGAATCAAAAGAATATGTTGAAGAGGCCAAGGAACAAGACGAAAGCTTTGCTGAAAGATATCCACCGACAGAATCCACAGAAGGCTTATCTGAATCTACTTACAAAATTGAAGAGTCCTACAAGGAAGCCAAATCCTCTGGGGTTGATATTTATGAGAAAGAAGTGAGTAAGACGGAATTGATATTAGAACAACAATCCTATAATGTGCAAGTACACAGTGAATCCAAAATTGTTTCCGAAATTGAAGAAAAACATTTTAGTGATCAGCAAGAAAAGGAGGAATCTTACAAAGCGGAATTCAAGGATGATGAACAAGTGGAGACCTATATTTCGTCGTATCAAAAATCTGGCCAAGCTCTAGAAGTGGAAGCGGACGAGGATCTGGAAATGTCTGACGGTTCTGTTGAATCCGAAGATAGTTACAGTGTCGAAAAAGAAATCGAACAAATGGGCGTAATGACAGGCAATTTTTTAAAAGAAGAAACAGAAAAGGATGAATATATAGAACGAGAAGGGAGCTCTGAGAGAGAGATTCCTCTAATAACATTTTCTGAAAGCGAAAAATCAATGTCAGAAAGTATTGAAGAAAAACGAAAATCAGTCTCTGACATTACGGAAGAAAAAACAGAAATCACTAGCTCAAGTCAAGATTTCACACAGGAACGATCTGAAATTATTGAAGAAAAAAGAACATCAGTCTCCGATATTACAGAAGAAAAAAGAGAATTCACTAGTTCAAGTCATGATTTCACACAAGAACAATCTGAAATTATTGAAGAAAAAAGAACATCAGTCTCTGATATTACAGATGAAAAAACAAAATTCACTAGTTCAAGTCATGATTTCACACAAGAACGATCTGAAATTATTGAAGAAAAAAGAACATCAGTCTCTGATATTACAGATGAAAAAACAGAATTCACTAGTTCAAGTCATGATTTCACACAAGAACGATCTGAAAGTATAGAAGAAAAACAGGAATATGAATATACTTCTGAGCTAAAACAGTATCACAGTGAAATTGGTCTAAAAGAGGAAATTGTGGTCCAAGAAACAATAAAAGAAGTAACATGCGTACCCGAAGAAAAGGATGAACAAGCTGTTGATGAAGAACCCATACAGACTGAGTATACACAACCGATTAAAGAATCAATTGTTGAAACAGAATATGTTATAGAAGAAAAAGAAGCTGTTGAAGAATTAATCAAACCAGAGCACATAGAATCCATAATAGAGTCATCTGTTGATAGAACTGAACATTTTACTGTAGAGGAAAGACCAACTGATATAAAGCATTCTGCCGAAGAGGAAGAAGTTTCCAGTATTTCGGAAACTGAGGAAGTGGAAGAAATGGGAACGTTTGTTGACAGAAAAGAAGAATTTTTAGAAGAAGATCTCGAAACAATGGATGCCAATGAGTTCCGAAGATTTGAAGGAGGAACGGTTGAAAAAGTATCAAGTGAAGTAGTATCACAAACCCAGTCTGTGCCATACGAAGGAACACAGGGCTTATCTGAAACTACTTCAGAGAGTCCAATGAATGGATATGGGGTAGATCTTGAGGATAGACAAGTAAGTGAGGGAGATATGATTGAGGGTAGAATTACAACAGACACATCACAGCAAATATACATTGAACAACACATACACTCTAAAATACACTCTGACATATATTCTGATGAAGAGAGTGAAAGCAGCTCAGATGGCGAGGATAGACCGCCATCTCCATCAGACTTCACACTCATAGCGTCACAAGACACAGAGGCGTTAAGTAGACATTTGACACTTAATGACAAACCCACTACATATAGTGACTCAAATAATGAACTTTCACCGGCCATGGACCAGGCTCTAATAGCAAGCCAAGATTCAGCTGAACTTGATCGTGCACTGGCGGATGATGAAGAATATGAATCCGATCAAGAATTAGAAGCAGAAGAACTTGATCAGGATCAGTTTCACCAATCAATGGTAGCATCACAAGATCCAGAAATGCTTGCAAGGGCCCTTGGTGTAGGACAAACTGAAGAAATACCAGAAGCTATGATGGCATCCCACGATGAAGAGGCCATGTCCAGAGCTCTTGGCCAAGGCTATTATTCTGATCATGATTCTGATACAGACCAGCATGAAAGATATGAACAACTAGATGTTCCACCATCACCTTCCGACTTTACACTAGTAGCATCAGCTGATCAAGATGCCCTAAATAGGTCGCTAGGCCTTACTGATTCCGAAGATGGGTATCAGACAGCAGCTCGAGACTACACTACTACTGAACTACAAGATATCACAGGTACTAATAGCTATGCCTAAACTATACAATTAAGCTTTGACTTAAACACTTAGCTTTTGTTCTTTCTTCATTTCTTTCTTAAAATGTATTATTGGTTCTTTATTAAGCACTGTCAGGCTATTTCTTTATTATCATTTTCGGGCGGAAAAGAATCTAAATGTAGTATATTTTGTCTTAATTCGCTAGATGACATACCAAGCCAAGGGGATATCATACACAGGTTAGATGGTGATTATGACCAGTCAAAGTCAAGTGAAGTAGCTTTGATGCAAGGATTGGATTTATCAGTAGACAATACAATGTCGGCTTTAAGCTCCGATAATGGATATCGCCAAGAAATCATCGACAACGGAGAAGATGAGGAGAGAATACCATCAGAAGATATACCAAAACCAATGCTATCAAGTTATGAACGACTGTATGAAGGAGTTCCCATTGAACCAGAGAGCCAACCAGAAATTACAGCGGAATCCCAAATGGATATTGGTGACCGGTTCGTTTCAGGCCAACAAGATCTTCACCTGCAATCGCTTGGAAAGTCTTCTAGCTACGAACACCTGTATGATAAAGATATGAAGGAAGGTGAGTGGCCTGATGAACGTGTTTTGGCTGCTCCCACACTGCTATTCATTATTTTCATCCAAAGAAATCAAATCAACAGCATGGCCATATAGCCTCCATTATCGCATGTAATTCTTATACCTGTGTATGCAAGTTTTGGATTGGGCACTTGTTTTGGATTGCAGAGTGATTCCTCAAATGCCGACATAACCAACCACGAGAAACACGTATACACAAAGGCTATAATTGTTGCTTTGCATGTTGCTTACAAATAAGTGGCATTTCAAAGCAATGAAGTACGTAAAACCAGCCATTCCAGACAATCTTTTCCTTATTTACCTCTTTTATTTCTTTCCTCCCTCTCCCTTTTAATTTTGTAAATTAACGGTAGAATTTTCTGTAAACGATTATACAAGCATGTTTTGTTTAACGTATGTTGTTTATTGATATTGTGCTGCACATTTTTTTAATACGCCTTTTTCAGAGTCTCCAATAGTCTTGATTACAAATGGCTCTTATTATTTAATTCTTTCGACTCCATGTTGAATAAGTATTATTGAAGTTAATAATTGATTTAGATAAAACCTTAGAATTCACATTATGTTAATAGATCCTGTTCACAATTACAGCGTACTTAAATATCTTTTCCAGTCCACTTTCGCCATGAACATTATTGCTTCTTTGCAAATTACATTTAGAAACTGGCTATTTCTTTGATGTGCTTCAGGTTTGTTGTTGATGTGTCTTAACTTTGTGGCTTACAAATCCAAAACAGTTCAACGAAAAAACACATTTGTAGACTCTACTTGTATTTGCAATATTGCATGTCACTGTTGTCTTATTTTAAAAAGTTTTTTAAAGTAATTATGTCACAGTGCTGGAGAATAAATTACTTCATAATTTATTTTTATCTACAATGCATTATGGCAAATAATACTTCAATTAGTGAACCAATTGTGATGTATGCTAATAAGATTAAGTAAATAGTGTTATTAGTTCAAACAGGAACATATTTCCAGCACTGCAGATTGTTCTGATAAAACTTTTACTAGCTTTATTGACTAATTCTCAATCCCAACAGATGAACAAATAGTTCTTGCTGAGCAAATTAAACCTGAAGATAAATCCACATCGTCTAGTTCTGAAGTAGCACAACTTGAGGACGTTGCTGGAGAAGAAGGTACATATCAAAAAAATAGACTTTTCTAGCTCTATATCCTATATGTGGTAATTTAGCTCTTTTCACTTATTCTCAAATGATATAAGTTAGTCACAAGGAAAACAAAGTCTCTTTCAGGTTTATTTTGCATGAACTTTTCTTTGCCTCATAATATTTTATTTGCAGTCTATTTTTTTTTCATTATTATTTTTTCTAATACATTAAACTCTTTCTCTTTAAATTATGTTGGTATCAGCCACTATCTGCTTTAATTATAAAATAACAAATTTTCTGATATAATCAACAGTTTACTACTTGCTCTGACATGATTGATTAGAATCTTAAGGTAATATTACATGATTGGATACTAATTATTCTACCATTAGTTAAAAGTTAATTTTAGATAATGTATCCTTTGACTTACCACTTCTATTTCTATAGATGCTGAAATTTGTGAAATCCAGGAGGAAAAAACTGAGGAGACAGATGTTGAGGACCAGTTTTCTCCCCTTTGCAAGACCTCTTCTGCTAAGCATGGCTTGACACTTGATTCTCAGAAAAGATCCTTTGTATTTTCTGATACCTCTCCAGACTTACCGTTAGCCCAATCTCAAATTAGCTCTTCAGAATTTACTTCTTTGACTGACACTAAATTGCGCACTGAATCAGAGACTTCCAAAGACGGATTAGAATGGACTGAACAACATGAACAATTACAAGACCAAGAAAACGTTTTTGAATCCCAAGTTAGTGAAGTTAACTACGATGTTCATGAAGAGGTATGCGAGCAACTGGAGGAAACAGAAGAGAGGACATTTGTTGATGACCGTTTTGTAGAGACCTCAGTAGAATTTCATACAGAACAGATGGATTCTTCCGCAAACGAGGAAATGATTGATGTTATCCCACCTGCTTCGGAAGAAAAGGCAAAGGATGACTTGATAAAAGACCCGTATGTTGAAGCAGTGGCAGAAGAAGTAAGTTGCATGGTAGAAACTGAACCCCTTTATCCCGAAGAGAAAATAGAAACCATAGTACTACAACCAGTCATCGATGAACATACAATTCTTGAAAAATATGACAGTCAACTCGTAATGACCGACGAACTGTCCGCTTTAGAAATATCTGATAATGCTGAACTAAAATACAGCGATGATGTACATCAGGAAATAGTAGAAACCATACAAGGCATACCAGATTTTACAACACCGCAGTCGAGGGATGAATTGTTATTCACGGCAGAGCAACGCTTTGAGGTAGAGGAAGCAGCAGTAGAACAAGTAGGGGAAATAGAAATCATAGAAAGGTTAGATGTTAAACATGAAGACAAAGGAGATGCATTGGCAACATATGATGAAGGAACACAACAAGAAGAGGTGGAAGACCGCTCGGCAGTGACCTATGATAGCATGGCCCTTACAGAAGAGAACATTGTAAAGGAGGGTCCAACATATCGTCCAATTCTCATGAAACAAGACACAAAAGACATTTCCCCAGAAGACTTGGAAGAAAAGCCGTTTGTTTTTGATTTCCCAGATGAATATGCAGAGGCATTAAAGCCAGCAAAACATGAAGAAATAAAAACTGTCACTTCAGAAGAAGACTATAACCAACCTAAAGACCAACATCCAGTTACTTCGTTGGCCTATATTGAAGAAAAACTACCTGGAACAGTTGGTGAAAGTGATTTTATAGAAGCACCCAATGTGCCAACAGCTTCAACTGAAGACATAGAGGATAATGTGTCTGATGTCGAATCAGACGAGAATTTGCAAAGGAGTTCATCGGAAGATAGTTCTGATGAAGATCATAGAGTTTTTGATGATAACAGTGGAACATACGTAAAAGTCCCATGGGAAATAGCGCACCAGTTTAAGCGACAATATTCTGAATCCTTCACAGAACAAGAGAAAAAGTCACTCCATTCTAACAAATCAATCGATTTGGGGGCATTTTATAGACGGGATAGGGAAGCCGACGACCAGAGTAGGTACCAAGTGAGTGGAGAACCAGAAATAGCAGCCCAAGATAGCAAAACTATATTTAATGAGAAAAATAATCAAAAACAAGTAACATTTCAATTATCTGAACCTAGGGAAGAACAATCAACCACAGAAATATTCGACCTAACGATTGAGCCATTTGAACAGATAATATCAGTTGATGCGCTGGGTGCAAGTGAACCCCATGAAGACATACTTGATACACACACCGAAACGGTCCTGAATGCGATAACTGAAAGTAGGCAGCACGTTAAACAAGAAATATCGAGTCAAGAAGAATCGGTTTATGAATCTGCATACTTCTCATCATCAAAGGAAATGGACGGACTGCAAGATGGTGCAATATCGGGACAAACTTACAGAGATATGCTTTATGAGAAAATGGAAGATTCAGATGCTGGCGAAGACCTGATGTCATCTTATATGACTGCCAAATCATCATTAGACGGTTCACTTGTTCAATCATTTGAAGGAGCGTGTACAACTGAAACATTCAGTCATGAAGAAAGAGAAAATATCGTTAGCCGAGAATCACGAATTGCTCATCAAGAATTATTACAAGAAATGAGTGATGAAAAGGACCGATCCGTCTCACCTTCGGGAGAAAGTGATGAACTCTTGACAAAGCTCGAAAGTCATGCCGAATTACAAGAAGAGGGTTCAGACGAACCAGAAGACACACTTTTGCGTTTTCCAATGGCAGTGCATACCTTAGGTAAAAGCTTGGCAGACAATGAAATATATGAATCGTCGGAAACTGAACGCGATTCAACAGAAGAGAAACTATCGCCAATTGAAGAAGCCCCGGTATTGATAGGTACAATTGACGCCGTAGAGGAACACACCACGAAACAGTCAGAAAAAAAGGTAACTTTTCAGTCTGATACCTTATTTGCCAGACCCCAGGAAATGCACAGTGACGATATAAAGACATCAACATCGTCCTCAGAAATGTCCATGGAACCAACTTTACTTGCTGCATCCTATGACTTAGATACTGGAAGCGTCTCACATGTCGTAGCAGCGTATGACCTCTCACCAGACACAATAGAAAAACAACTTGTACCTGAAGCTGCAGCCAAAGCTATACTTTCCAGTCCTGAAGATGATGTGTTTGAAACCGATGGATTGGTATCAAATGAACAGCTTGGAGAAGTGGAACATAGTGCCAGAGATTCGTCCTCTGATTTGTATCCCACGACACCGTTCCCAACGCCTTTGGAAAGCTCCGCGGAAGGAACTGCATGCGATCTTGAGACAGCTAGTTCAATGCTAGAACAATTTCAGTTTGAAGAAATGGATGATCAAGATGAAGGAACTGTTACACTCACAGAAACTCCAGATGACCAAGCCAAATATCCCGAGGAAGAGGAGCTGAGTTCTCCATTTGAAATGATGTCTCCTTCAGAACTTGTTGACGACGAACATATACAAGACATGGCAATATCGGCCGACTCGGTCACCAGTTTCACTGAAGTAAATGCTGAAGACATTGCCGATTTAACGTCAAGCAATGTTGACTTTCATTTACAACAGCCGGAAAAGGAGTCTTTGTTAAATGGGCCCACAGAAGTTGAGTATATGCCAGAGTACGATGAAGAACCTACGGCTCCAGAAATTCCTCAAGTAGTTCGATCGGATAGTGTAGAAGAAGAAATGGAAGTGGAAGGGTTAGAAGAAATGGAACAAAGGGAAGAAGTGGAGGTCGAGGCCAGAGATGTAGAAGGTGATCATGATGACGAACAGCCGTCCGATCGAAATGATTTTGCTGTTCAAGGCAATTTAATTTTACATGCTCCAGCGGGCGAAAATTTGACAGCTTCAGAACAAACATTATTTGGATTTGACATGCCAACAGATGAGACAGCTACGCGATCGCCTGAAATTGAAACTCATCGTGTCGAAGTAGACCAAGACTCAGATCTTACATTACCGCCAACAGAAGGAACATTCAAAACAGATGAAACAGAAAGTTATGAAATTAGACAATCCCACGACGAACTAGAACCGCCTATGGCCGCTGTCGGTGGGGTGCAGGGAATGACAACACCAGAAGATATTGCCGACGAACGATATGAATTAAAGAGTGAGGAGGTTTACCATGGGAAAAGAGCCCTTGAAATGGAAATAAAAGAGGAGTATTTTTCTGAGAAGGATGTATTCGAAGGCCATTTTAAAGATGATGAGTTTGAAGAAAAACCTGAAGAAGAACTAATTGGCCTAGATGAAAGCAAACCTGAATCTGAAATAGATGATGAAGAAAAATTTGAAGAAATTGAAGATGACGGGAGTGTTAAATCAGATTCATTGGAAGTAAGTAGCTTACTAGAAGATGACATAGAAAGGCCTGTATCACCAACTCCTGACGCAAAAAGCCAATTGGTTTTCTCAGATATATCAGCAGCAAATACACCTGATGTTGCAAAAACACCAGATATAATTGCTGAAACAGAGGGTTTGGAGAAGGCTGCGTCTGATCTAGTTGAAAATATCTTAGAGGAAGTTAAATATAAAGTGCAAACAACAAGCAGACCAGAATTTAGCGAAACGATAGACGAAGGTACTGAAGAGATCAATGATGTTGAAGAAGAATCCCCTGAAATTGATGAAACTATTGAAGTTGATAAGTTTGAAATGTTAGGGGGACAAATATTATCATCTTGCACTTCGCTTAAAAAGCAAGCTCTTCAGCCTCAGGTTTCGGAAGACATTCCTGAAATTACTGTAACTCAACATATGCATGAAGAGTTAGACGAAGGAGATTTTTCACAAATGTACCCCTCAGAGTATAATGTTGTAGAATGTGTTCCAGAAGAAGATGAAGATGAAGAAATTGAACCAGAGCCTGATGTAATCCCAAAAGTTGGCAGATTTGATTCACCGGATGGTCAATATACAGACGAAGAAGCTTACGAAACAAGTGACCTTCCGATATTACTAGAACCCGATTTAAAACCTGATGTCATACCTTCAGATGACGATTCATTCGAGTCCGATGAAGAAGAAAAGTATGCTTCTCCAGAAGACAAGGATCATTTTTTAGTGAAGGTTGACCCAGAGTCTGCCCCTGTAGCCATTGAACAGTATGAAAAAGATACAGGGTCAGATTCTGGGTCAGATACCCCAGAAGAAGACATTTTCCCTTTTGAAGCAGCTGGCTCTATTGTAGCTGAAATTGTAAGCCCAGAAGATCATGGAGATTCATCTAGTGTAGACAGCTTTGCTACTGTCGTTGCAGCACACATGGATGAAGACGATGACGACTATGAACATGAACAAGAAGATAGACTAGCTGAAATTGCCTCTATGACCTCTTCCATACATTCAGATTTTCAACCTACTCATACCAGTGACACCGATCAGCATACTGGTGATGAGTCGGAGCAGATTTTAGAAGAAACCCCTACTAAGTGGACCGATGCCAAAGAAGAAAGAGATGAAGTTGAATCGCCAATAGATGACAGTCGGTATGAATTTGTAGATAGAACAGCTTTATCTGTGATAACTGAAATATCAGACGAAGAAAGATTTGAATTAGTTGATAAATACGACTTGGAATCTGATATAGGATCAGACTTTCGACACTCTCCAGACAGAGTTTCGCAATCACCCGGCGTAAGCAGCGGTCGATTCTTTGGTAGAAGTGCAGAAAGGGATGACATTTCAGTAACTTCATCACTGCTCGAGTTTGAACGCCTGGAAAGGGAATTCTCCAGATCTGGTTCCCTAAATTCAATAGATGTAGTAGATAGAGATGTAATGCCCGGAACAGGCAGTCTTCCCAGCTCAGTTGATGATAAAAAGTTTTACGGGCGTATGGGTGATAAAGATGACAGATCAGTAACTTCATCTTTAGCAGAATTTGAAAGATTAGAAAAGCAAACTGCACATTCTGGTTCAGGAAGCTCAGTTGACAAAGTTACTCCGGACAGTAAGAGTAGTGGGGGTGATGGGTCAATGTCATCCTTATCAGAATTTGAAAGACTTGAACAGGACTGCCAAGCTGAAGCTGAAGACCGCCGAAGTTCTGTTGAGAGTTCAAGTCGCCGCAGCGAAGCTTCTTCGCTCGCTTCTTTGGTAGAATTTGAAACCATCGAAAGCGAAATTGTTGCATCAGATGAATTAGAAGCAGAAGCTAGGAAGATCGTCGACATTTTAGAGAGTGGCGCACTCTTTGATTCACAAATTTTTAAAAGTGATATAACATCAGGCGATGAAGCTGTACATACAAAACGACGTGATTTAGACAAAGATTCTCTTGATGGTCGAGATAGCATTGAACGAGATTCATTAAGTGATGGAGAGCATGCCCACTTAGGTGATGGAGATTCTTTGGATGGAGATACATCCGAAATGACAGATATGACCTCGAGTGTAATATTTGCTGGTCCTGGCCCAAATGGTACGCGAACACAAGAAATGGATAATGATTCACTTCAAGGAGACATTGGAATAATGCACGTATCAACCGACTCGTTAACTTTGGAACAACGTTCTGAACAATCCCGACAGGAATCTGGTCCATTTGATGTAGACTCTTTGCATGAAACTGATGGCATGATGGAACGATCAGCAGATTCACTGTATGGCGTTGTTATGCAAACATCAGCAGACAGTCTTGAATTTAATACCATGCAAAGATCGATAGACTCTTTGCAAGACAACACCAACAATGTGGAGAAAAATGCTTCATCAAATCAGGCAGAATTCCGGGGATCAATGGACTCACTTCAAGAAGTGATGGAGCGATCAGCCGATTCTTTGGAGTTCCCTTCAGCAAAGCCCGAAACAACAGATAAAGATGACCAAATGAAAACCTCAACAGATTCAATAGAAATTCAGCAAGAACACAGAAGTATTATGCTTATGTCAGTAGAATCCGCAGCATGGTCTAGTGTTGGTAGTTCTGATGGCATGGTTAAATCAGGGTCTCATAGCGATTCTAGTCTCATGCAAGTATCAAATGAATCAGACGGATTTAAGGATAAGGGGGCCAAATCGGAAGCATTCCAAGAAACAATTTATGAGGAACAAGTAACTGAAACCCACACTCAAAAAAAGACAACCCGCTCAAAAGTTAAACGCTGTGATAGTGATGAAGCCAATACCACAGAAAAGGCTAAGGAAGAAAGATTTAAATTTGGATTATCCGAAGAGGAACCACAAAAATCATATAGATCCAGTATCCCTTACGAGGAAACAAAGAAAGTATACACAATGGTAGAATGGGAAGAAATGAAAAGGGCTAAAAAGGAAGCGTTGGACAATGCCAATTTAGTGTCAAAACAAGAATATTCCTCGTCCACGACTATAACCTCCTCCTATCCCACCCCTGACCCACTTGATCATAGTGTAGGCCATGCCAAAGCTGACACACTTAAAACTAGAGGTACTAATAATGATCAGCTATTGTCTCAGTAGTGCACTCTGTCTTTTGGTTCAGCTGTTTGCATGCAACATCTATATTCTGAGTACTTTTTCGTTTTCATTTCTACTCTGTTCGCTTTTAGTTTATCTAATTTCAGTTGTTTTACGTTACAGAATTCTATTCTAAATTGTGTCTTGTAAAATGTGTCTTTTATGTTGCTGTCGAGCACTAATTACTTTGCTGTTTTCTTTCCTTGCAGGATGACGATACGATAAGCGCACTGGCTAGCGCTGCTTTAAGCTTGTAATCAGTATTATTTATTGTATGTTAAATGTACTTTTTATTTTAGTAAACTTATCACTTTCTTTCAGTATGTTTCGTTAATTCATGTATTGGCACCATTGATATGTTAGCACTTAGTGTGATTTATAAATGTGAAGGTGTAGACGTGTAGTGTTAGACTTGGTGACAATTCTTGTTGATATGTTAAGTGTAGACCATCATTTTATATATTAATATCAAAACCGGGCTTGACTTTGATTAACAATCATTTGCATATAAACTTAATAAATAAGATAAATCCATTTTTCTGATTTTCAGGATTTACTAATTCTTAAGAGTAATTTATAAATTTTATTAATATTAAGATAATTACTATGTTCAATGATTTAACAACGGATTTTGTTTTCAAATACTAAGTAACTTGTATTTGCAAAATGTTTAGAAAAATTTGTTAACCAGATTTTATTTGTTATTAGCTGCTGAAGGGGAGGATGTATATGAACAGGAGTATGATTCAGGTAGAGTGTAAATGTTGTGTCCGTGAAGAGTTGTCTTCCCAATCATTGTATGTCACATGCTTTATATGGCTGAAAGGCAATTTATTATATTAGTTAGTCTATATGTAGTTTTAATTTGTATATTTGTATGAAGGAGTAGAAGTGTCTGAACGCTTAAATTCCTTGGCTGAGTTACACTGCTGATATATTTCTTTAGTTGATTTTATTTCCTGTGGTATGTTTTATATTATTTTATTTCGTTCTACATAAGTTCTTATAAGAACTAAATCGTATTGGGATATTTATTAAGCTCAAGAGAATCTGGTCGTTTAAGTTTTCTATTGTTGTTTAGTTAATTTTTAGTTTTAAATACGTACTTTTTAAGTTTGTGTGATGTTTCTAGAGTTCGTGTGCCGGTAGATAGAGATCCGAATGATTTTGTTGGCGTGTTTTTGAGCTCGTAGTCTGAATGGCTGTTTGGAAGCTTTCTGAGCTTATATGAATCCCAAACTCCTGTGGTAGTGGGTTATTATTGATATGACATTTCTATATCCTTTATTGATCAAATAAATAAACAAATAATTAAATAAAAATTTCAATAAAAACGTAAAATAATTTTTGATGTTAAATACCTCTTTTCGAAATTTCTTTGTATCTATGAACTGCTTATTTGACTAGTGCTTATTCCTATAATGTTTTTTTACGCCAGATTCAGCTCAAGAGGGTTATGCTATGGGCGCTGAAGGTGACGGAGACAAAAGTACCAGGTGAATAAAGGATTTGATTCTTTGTTGATTTTTTTTTACAATGTCCAGGCACACGAATACATTATCAGACTTTGTTACACGTCACTTTCCTTAAATTCGAATTCCCTATGATTTATTCATCAACAACATACTTCATGACACTGTTACCGACGTCTGCAGTGCGTGTAGATCTTTTAGTCAGTTGAATCCAAGTTTTACCTTTATAAACGAAAGTTGGCCGCCATGTAGTAGATTTTACTTATCCTGATATGGATTGTATTCGTCTTTCCTGTTGATACCCTTTTATTACAAAATCTATATTTGTAGGCTCCTAATGAAGAAAGAAATCCACAGCAGAACTGTTATCGGTAGAGATGGACAGGAAGAAACATTTATTCTCGAAGATTCCCAAATTCAACAAGACCATAACCCACCCGAAGAACTTAAAGACAGCATGCAGCAGATTATCAGTCAATTTATGGGTACACAGCCCCAAGTGGAAGAAATTGAAGAACCCGCCTATTTGGAAGATGATGTTTAAATTATGAGAACGTTGATATCTAGTATAATATCGTGTGCTGATGTGGCGTATATTTGGCGCTTGATATTTTTTAAAACTGTGTATACTTGCCATATTTTTGAAAAGTTATTTTGACAAGACTGGTGCATTTCTTTTCTCCCAGTATCCGCATTTTTACCAGATCTGAAATTGTGTGTTTGCAGACTTATTTTCGATTTTGCCGACTTATTACGGTTTCGCAAATGATTGTAGAACACTACTAGTTTAGTTGAAGATAAATAATAAATTATCAATAATATTAGTTTTACATCCAATGCTTTGATTTTTCAATACAAATCTTCCATATTTATCACTGTAATGCGTGTTCTAAGTGACTTGTATTTGCACAAGTGGTGCAATTTTGATTATTTCATTTAAGCATTTTCCACCTTAATGCATTCGATCTTGTTTCATTGATATATTAATGTTAAAGATGTTGAATTCCTATATATGTGAATTATGGAGATTAAATATAAGTAATTAATTATTTAAATAAAATAACTATGTGTCCTAGGATTCGGACGCCCCATCTTGAATCCTAGGACACAGCATTATGTAATGTCTTTATATATTATATATTTATCATTTACCATAAAGAAAAATATTAAAAAAAATATATGACGATTGTTATTTATCACAGAAAATATTCGAATGAATTTGCATTTTTATTACTCAATAGTGGTTTAAGGGACAAACTAAGACTAACTAAGTTGCTTTTTTGTACATTTGTAGCATTACGCGAGAGCCTTTTTAAGTCACCACTACGTGAAGTAGCCTGGAGAATAATAGTTTATTAGATGTTATTGTCATTAGTTGTCTTCATCTTGTCATTATGTTATAGTTCTCTATCACTGTTAATATAACGTATATTGTATGAATACCTTGGCTGATGCATAATGTTGTGAAAATTGTGGAAAAATTCCTAACAATATTCAATAAACGCTTAAGTATGCTCTATAATTAAACATATAAATGAAAGTTTTTACTTCTCATTGATTAACCCTTGAAATCACAATCTTTGTGTTTAGCACGGGGCTTGTGTGGTAGTGGTGTGAGTTCGTGGTGGTCGCAGGGGTCTGGATCTTACTTTTATTTGTGAACGCATCGAGATGCAGAGCGTAGGAATGGTGTCTAGTCGTTCGGATGGTACATTACACCGAGCTCCCGTTTACACGTCGGCGAGCAAGTAAAAGAACGCTTGACAGTGGAATTCGAAATAAGAGTAGGTAGTAGTGCAGATGTCTAGGTAAAATTTCCCTAATAGCTTACTACATGACGTATGCCCGTCTTCATTAGCTCGGTTGGTGCAGAATAGTAGGACGTTAAAACCAATTTCACTTCACTAAATACAAGAACAATTTCCTTTTTGTCAGACTTCAGCAACAATTGAACACAACTCTATATTTGTGACTCACTCTCTCCCGACCAGTTATCGACCTGGGCTAGAACCAGAGACAACAATAATCCCAATTCTTGACACATTCTCCATTTGGCTGAATCAATCGGCGCCAATGAGTGGACACACTAGGTGAATCGTTCACCCAATTCGCCAGTCGATCGTATCACCTTTCAAGTCACATGATTAAACACATGATTGGCCAATGAATTCTATATTGCGGCGAAGCGAACATACTGTCCCTGTAGCTTGATTTGTCAGTACTGGCAGACCACAGTTCGGCAGTTTCCGCGCGAGCTGACTTGATTTCACCGGAAGCGACGACAACGATCACCGGCGCAAGATGGTGAACATGTCAACGAGATAAAAATTCATGTTATTTATTAATGCCATAAAACACATTTTTTTAAAAGCGTTAAAATTAAACCAAATGTTTTAAAGTTGAATTGAAGCTTCGTAAAACGAGATATTCATAGGCCTGCGTCATTTATTTTGCTCGGTGATATTAGCCTACTAATAATATTTTCTACTTATCTTGTAGTAACTGAATAAAACATGTCGTGTAACCGGTTTAATATTATCCGACGCCATATTGTTTATCAGCCGCGGGTCACTTGATTTGCTTCGATACAGTAACCTGACGGTCGTGCGCCGTGGTGTTGGATCTGCGGACAGATCAAGCAGGCCCACTAGGCGAATATAATTCGGCCGAATATATTAAACATGTTGATTCGGACGAATGACAGTGGACTCAGGCGAATTTCGGTGCCGATTGATTCAGCCTTGGTGGCTGCCATGTTCAATCCGTAACGTGAATCGGGCGAAGGATTCGCATAGTGTGTCCATTCAGTCGGTCGAGTCTCATTCGCTGCAATTCGGCGCCGATTGATTCGACCGAATCATTCGAAATGTGTCCACCGCTTAACTGTGAACGGTGCTTCCCTTCGAAGTGTACGTTGCAAAGGGTACTTTCACTGAATTGCAAAAAGGTCTCCACCGAACATGCAGTCCGTGCAGATTAGCCTTCGGGGAACTAACTGAAAAATAGCTGAATATCCTACGATCTTTTAACGGAAAATTCCTAGGAAACAAGGCCAAATTTATTTTAACTCTTTCGCCATCTATCTGATATAGCCGAAAACTGACTTAGGGTAACGAACATATCCTGGTAATTCCCTATACAGACACAGAAAAGTGAAATTACCGTTAGTAGCAAGATTTTAAAAGGCAGGGTATGTGTTGAATACAATAGCCGCAAGCCCCAAATTGGAGTTCGAAAAACATGTGTATTGTCCTCTTGCGTGGACGCTCTAGAGACACAGTGTTTATGTTCACGGGACGAGGAAGTACCCGGTATATTTGTTGTTTTCATCAGGCAAGAATCCTATTGATTTGCAATAAATACTTCCAGAGTTCTTATCCTCGACCTCTGTAATAATAACTTGTGGATTCTCAAGATGATAAGGTATTTCCGCGTACCTTGTATTTAGACAATGTTTATGTATGTTAATTAAATGTAGCGTTTATAATTACTTTCGAAGTTATTGACCTTGACCACATTTTAAGTTTTTATAAGGGTATTTTCGGATTGATTGTCTACGTTTTCTGATAACTTGAAATCCTACATGTGAGTCTATCATCTGATTACATTTTTTTTACAATAATTGTTAGCATTAGGGAGAACTAGAAGCCAATCATATTTTAATCTTTTCTGATAATTAGTTAATGGACTGATACTCTTGAAAAGTTTCTTGCATTGGCCGAGAAAGTTCATCCAGCGTGGTTCTCCCTCGTCTGTGATGCAGGGCGGAGGGCCTGACAATGACAGCTGTCTAGTCGTTCGGATGGTACGAAAAACCGAGGTCCCGTGTTCAAATTGGCGTGCACTTAAAAGATCCCTTGACAGTTGGAATTCGATATAAGAGTAGGCCGTAGTGCCGCTGCCCGGGCAAAATTTCCCTCATAGCACACTGTATGGCGTATGCCCGTCTTCATTAGCCCAGTTTAGGAGCAGAACAGTAGGACGTTAAACCCCATTTCGTTTCATTTTTGAAACGTTTCTATCGTCCTGTAAAAGAATATGCGACTACCACACGACTTGGCTGATGAACACATCTAAAATTTTAACAGCCTTTGAAATAAAAAATATTTTATTTATAAAAGTAAAATGTAAAAATATACAAACATATGTGTTTCGAACAGCACTCGAAGAAGTTGAATTAGAGATAAAATCACTGCTGGGTACAAAGTATATAAATTATTTCTCAAATTAATAAATTAACTTAAGAACATGGATAAACAGGGAAAGTTGGTGGTTTAGGAAACTCAAAATACTAATAGGTGGGTTTTTCTATATATTAATAATGTCTATCTTATTTTTACACATTTCAATCAGAAGAAACTGTTTACATAGGTACTGCTATGATGACCCTGTCGTATCATTTACATTGAAAAATCTGAAAAGCGCAAATCAAACAACAGACCTACAGATTTTGGTTGACATTCATGAAGCGGATTAGATGAAAATGTCTAAAAGCGCCCCTTTACAGTGCACCCGTCCCATTTCAACTGCAATGAACAACACTCAAGCAACATACCTACCGTGGCTGAGAACTAATACTTTGCAAACTGCAATAGATAAAACTACTCGTTGGAGGAATGAGACCCTTTGGAACAATTACAGTCAACTTCTAATACTGGCTTAAATCAAATCAACCGTTTTCGAATCATGTATTTGACCGCGATAGACACAGACTCTTTGATTAACGTAAAACACGTCCTGAAGTGAAATATACATGTAGTACTTGATTCCGAATAGCTGTTTCAAGATGAGGAGCCGAAAGTATAAAAAGTTAACCGAGGGTCATGGTAGTGACATAGGCACATTGGCTGGATGAGCTAAATATGGTCTTCAGAAAATCAATCGTAGTTTTGACACCGTTGATGTCAAAGAAACATTAGTATGTAATTAATCCACAGATAGAAATGTTTAATTGTATCGATATATCTATAGCGATTGAATGCTTAATTAATATTATATATTTTGTGGAATGTAAGCATTATATGTCTCTATTGATCCATCGAGATTCCCAGCTGGTATAGTGGTTAATAATGTCTTCTCGGATAGCAGCACGAGGTGATCTTTTTCCAATTCCTGAAACAGATAACACATATATATACTTACTTTAATACTTCAAAGAAATTTAAACGAATTGTCTAACGCGTGCGCGCTATATCACAAGGTCTGTCATTAAGTCAAGTGGCGTGGTTTCTATCTCACAACTTGTACATGACCAGGAGTAGGGTTGCCTGCCAAACCTCGTGGATTTTCACTGGTTTCCTCCCACTGCTAAAGACCTCTACACACAAGCGCATCATTTAAATAAAATTACACCATGTAGGCCAAGTCTAGAAATGACCCTTTTGTGTTATTTGTAAATCATTCTTCTTATTTATGAACATTTTGTGCAATTATTTGTATCGATATATACTTACCAGAAGGCATAGGTAAAACGTCTGAGGGGGCAATGACCTCACGTGTATATTTTGGGCAACCGATGCTGGACCAATCAGCAACATAAGTCTGGATAACATTTTCTACAGCATCACGTTTGCTGTCTTCATTCACAAACACTTGGACTTTTGTTACATTTTTATTGTACAGCATGGCGACCTAAAATACAAATTTAACGTACATATTTCAAGATCAGCACCTTTAACATACAACATGGACATGGTTGGAGGGGAAGGGTTGTTCGGACTTTTATCCACGTGAACTGATAACAAGAGTAGATGGCAGAGGGACTCTATGAAAACGTCACTTTAAAACAGAGTATTAAAATCGCTGTCGTGAGAAAAGAGAGCGAGCGGTACATTATAAAACAAATTCTAAATTATTCCGTAGTCAATTGTTTTATTTGTTTAGGGGATTAAGGAATCAGCCAGGCGTTAATGAATACACACGCCGGCTGTATATAGGTAATTAAGGAATAAACATTCCGAATATGCATTCGGTCACTGTGACGTCTTTTCGATAATTGGCAAAACCGTTTTTACCGGAGCGCTATTTTTACGAATTTGAGTGAAGATAGCTGAATTAATTTCGATCAGATTGGTGTGAACTTAGCTGAATTAATTTCAATCAGATTGGTGTAAACTTGACGTAAAGTGGATATAGTAACCATTGGCTACACGTAGCGAAAAGTTCCCAATTTCACTTAACCTACGTTCCTTTGCTCCGCCTACTGGGAATATGTACCCACCCATACAACGCTCCAATTCACGGCTCCAGTATTAATTAAATGTCTGCTCATAGTGTACACTGAACGTTCACATACCTCCAATGGGGCTTTGAGAGACAGCATATCATTCTCATCTCTAACCCAGAATTTAACAATGCCAGAAGCATGGATGGCATATAACCTACTCAACAATTGGAGTACTGGACTGGGATTCTCGGCTTGTGGAAAGAGCTCATTTTCCACGCTCGCCTTGGGATCGGGTCTATAAATAGCTTCAGCTGCATGAACTGGAAAAAACAGGATAGGAAAACATCATACTAAAAATAAAGATTAGGTTTATTGAACAATTACACATAGGCGTACGAGCTGGGGGGGGCGCGCCCCCCCCATTTTGGGCACCAAATGCTGGGAAAATTTGGGCACACAGTTGTATAAAAAAATATTGTGTTCTTGAATGTGTCCAATTTAACAGCAAATTTATTATTATTATGTAACATACTAAGAACCTAACTACATTTTTGGGGCACCAACCACCACCGCCCCCCCCCCCCCCAGTCAAAAATTTCCCCGTACGCCTATGCAATTACACCCTCGTTCTAATCGACAACACCCATTAAGATGATAGCTACGTAAAACCACATGACATTATTTCTTTCCACCAAGTGCTACGGAAATAGACATACGATAATAAAATGTAGCAACGAGAACAGAACTTTCCAGAGCTTATCATGAAGGCACAAATGCATTGAAACCAGAATGTGCTGTCACGCAGCGCCAGCGGCCGAGACAGAGATAATATATTTGTAATGGAGGAGCAAATATCAGCCGACAGCAGTGAAACATACCAATGAGATGAAACAAGGGAGCGTCTTCTATACAGTGACCAGATCTACATGCTCGATGACGAAGCTCCATAGAATCTCTTGGGAAGATATTGGTTACATCTGGACCATAGTTCATGAGATCAAAATTAACCCAATGTAAGAAGTTGTTACAGTTTTCACTCTTATCATCATAAATGTTCCCTAAAATAAACATGTAGTGAATAAAAGCCATATTAGTTATTTCATCAACAACATAAATGTAGTTATTTTAATGGGTTAGATGAATGAAATTAATGGGGTTTAACCACCAAGTTAGCTCCATATGGGCTAATGAAGACAGGCATAGCCATTCAGTGCATTATGAAGGAAATTTTGCTCGGAACGTGATGCTACGGCCTACTATCATTCCAACTGACAGGGGTTCTTTTACGTGCATGCCAACTGACCCCTCTGACCGATTATTATTATATTTGTAAGTAGTTATTTTCATCTATTCATCAATAGTCTCTCAACCATGAATGGCCCGTCAGGCAATATCATAGGTAACATTTATCTGCGATATCACCACTGATAAACCGTAAATATATTATACATTTAAAACATCTGTGCACACAGTGGGTGGAATTTTAACGTAAGTTTTTACCTTGCAAGCATGTTCCGCAAGTGATAAAGCATCCTTCTAATGCCTCTTTTACCTCATCGCGGTTGTGGTAGAGCCATTTTCGCTCGACTTCTTCCCAGATATGAGCTACCTCGGTTTGTCGGTGGACTAAAGTGTTTTTACAAAAGGCTGTGTCACTGACCGGAAGACAATCATCTGGATCTCCTGCTGCACGGCGACGTCTTGTTACATGAGATGGATGAGAATGTACGAAATTTGGTGACTGAAGACCAGGATGATTAGCTTGCACACAAGCTTCTTCCAAATTATCAGGATCGACAATACGGTTCTCTGGAAATACATTCATAATACAAAGTTAGAAATTAAATTGTGTGATAGCTACAGATGATAATCTGTATGCTTGAATATTTGAGCTGTTTGACATTTAATAAGTCTGTAAGATTTCAATATTATATGCTAAAATACGTTGGTATACAATAAATCTCATCTATAGTCGAGTAACACTTTCCAAAATACCAATTGGGACGAAAGAATGCTAGTTAGCCTTAAAATGGGAGAAAATCCCATTTGAAAACGGCAGACATAGATCGAATAGTGCATGGCATTTGCTCTTATTATTTAGATTATCACTGGGCGCTATTAGGATTAACTATCGAGACGACCATATATTTCTTTTTTAAATGCAGACATCAGTGGGGTTGGTATCCTTATATTAGCATGATATATGAAGGAACAGCCTCTAGTCGTTATGTTTACAATTGGCATGCAGCTAAAAGAATGATTGTGTCAGGGCCAAATTTCCCTCATAACACACTGTCCGTATTCATTGATCTAGATGTAGCAGAAATGTAGGACGTTAAACCCCATTTCATTTTAAATTTTGATTCTCATGAATACTTACGGACAGCCAGTTCAAATCTCTGTAACATATCTTCTCTATAATCAGCCAGCGATTTATATTCAGTTGGCATCTGTTCGGGGAACTTAGTCCAAACATCGAAATCAGTTCTAACATCAATAAATATTCTATCGCTATATAAACCAATACCAATTTCTTGTTTATCAGACTCGTGGAATGTTGGACCACAATATTCAACGGCCAATTTTACTAGAGTATGTAAAGGTCTTGTTTTAGTATTGCTTGCAGAATAGCGAACTTCGAAACCTGTTCCAAGGGTCATAGTGTTGTAACGTTTATCACTGGGATCAAACTTGAGTAACTGTTCTTGGGTAGACATAAAACCTCGCACAACTTCTAATTCAATTCTTGGATCTGAAGAAAATAATATATTTTAATTTATAGTAGTACCGTTTCCCAGATTTTAGTAAATTATATTTGTGTACCAGGAACTGGGTCTTAAGCGCTACTCATCTTGTTCTTCTTCAGGGTGGCACTCTTCGAATAAAGCCTAGTGTTCTGCCAATTCGAGTACGATTGACATGACACTTGGCATGTTTGTTCTTTGGACATTTGCGCATCGATTTTGGGTATGCAGTTACAATTCCAAGATGGCGTTAAAGACGTCATGCTCGGTTCCTGGTCCATAAAGTACTATAGTACTTGTCTTTCAAGTTAAGAAATTTACGCCAAAACTGTAGCTCTGTTTAACCTGGACGTCCCGGGATCAATCCCGGTGTTGCCCGAGGAAGTTCCTCGGCAATTTCCAGCGTAGTTTCCTCATTAAATTTTACAATGGAGATGAGGAATAGTCCTTGTTATACTTTTAAGAAAGACAGAACCTTTGTTAATGCCGGAACATTTGATACGAGATTCACAAGTTTCGTACCCGATGTTACTAAACAAAGAAATCGAAAGTATCTTCTTGTGGTAATCTAAAGGAATACAAGACTGTAACCACGTGTCAGTTGGCTCTTATTAATTTTAAAAAATATAAATACCTCCATCCTTGTTATGTTTGTTTAAATTATAAACCATCTGGGCATAACAACTAGCTACACGTGGTTCAAGACGGAAATAACGGATTGATGGATCCTTAGATACGAATAATCCTAGTGGTGTGTCGTCTGCTAGTAGTTCATCATGCTGAAATTATAGATGAAGTTAATGTAGTTATACTGCTTTTCTGGTCATACGATTCACTGCAAGTCATATCAACGCAACTAGACAAATGACATATAACTGGTTTAAAAGAGATGGGGCTTCACGTCCCTATGTCATATTGGGACTAACACATGGTCAATCTTATTTCAATAATTCGCATGCACGTAGAGGTGGGGGGGGGGGGCGAAACCCTACGAGATTGGGTAGGCGAACTTACCCCCTGTTACATACAAGCTTGGGATCGAAACCGCGCCACTTGACAGACCTTTGGATCGAAAGCACACGGTTCAAAAATCGACCACCCAACCCCACCTATATTGGTTTGAAACCCCAAATGGTTTTCATGCGATAATTCGCCCTCAAGTAGATCATTTAAGTAATTTACCTGATTATTTGAATCCATCAAAGGATAAGTGGCTTCGTCATCTTCATCAAAACCTTTGGGAAGTGAATACAACTGTTTATCAGCTGCTGGAGGTTCAACTCGGAGGAGTTCAATATTAGGGAAGGCTATTTTTTGGGCCGTGTTACCATACATCTTTTTTACAGCAATTATTACCTTGTCACCTGTAATGTTATCATTTAAAAAATTGAAAATATTCTCAAAAGTTTGAAAAATCTTTATTCTCAAAAGTTTAAAAATCATTAGTCACAAAAGTTTTAAAAAATTTTAGTCTCAAAAAAGTAAAAATATTCTCCAAATGTTCTCAAAGGTTTATAAACATTCTCAAAAACATGATGTTTTAGAGAATGGTCCAAAGAAGGTGTGAATTTAAGCTCAGATATTATATTAGCATTTGAGGATTCAATAATATAGCTAACACATTTTGTGCTTTACAATATTTCATTGGGCTGAATAACATTTCATGGCTAGGCTGACTAAGCGGAACAACCGCTAAAAGCAAGTCCTAAGACAAACAACCCAAAAGAATTTTTGAAAAGAACTGAAATTCAGTCTGATGTACAGTTTCTTTGAATGAACTTACCTTCATTTTTCACAAAGTCGGCCTTAGCACATATTGCCAGCTGGGCAAGTTTCTGTATTTTTGCTGGATCTACCCCAGACGCAAGTGTAGCTACAACCATTCGACCCTCGGTGTGCAGTGAAGTTACATCAAAATCTGCTTCATGACCTTCATACTTCTCATCAAAGGCTTTTTCAATCTTTAGTTTTTCTGAAATTAGATGCGGTTTTGAAGCATGGATATTCCCCAAAGAAGACAATAACTTTTAACACCAGTAATAGAGAAACATTAATTCGAAATTTTAAAGGTTTTCTTGCTGTCGTTACCCGATTTTACCGAATCCACCTACTGGATTTTGCATTTTAACTACCGATAAAGATTGATTGCGTTTGATTTTAATATTTATCTTACCATTATCTGCTCTCACCATTTTCTGAAGACGATTAACAACATTATACATTCTCTGACTCATCAACCTAGCCGTACACCTGGAAAAATAAAATAAAAGTAGTTACAGGTGTTGTGTACGAGGTATGTTATGCTTCTTAATATTTATACAACGGCTCTTAATTTCTCCTTTCTTTTATATTTAGATGACAATATGTTCATGCTCCGAGCCACTATGTCTTGATGAGTATGGTGCTGGCTCACTAACCAGGAATACACTGGTTCGCACACGGTGTTCAGCGAGGAAGTTCCTTGTAGACCTTGTAGTTTTCGTTCCTGGTCGTTCCTGCACGTAATAAAACAACCCTTTCATGACGTATACCAGTCTTCATTAGCCCGGTTGGATTTTAAAGACTATTTCTGTTCACTATTTTGAAAAGTTGTAATAAACCACTTGGCACTTAAATTTATTTTAACAACCCAATCATTTTATCAGTCAAAGTTCGCTTTACTTCATATAATTCTTACATATGGTTCTTATTGGGGTTACTCCATTCAATGACTTATAATTACCTTTGGTTGAGAGAGTTTCCCACTGGTCCAGCTCCACAGTCAACACATGGTGTTCCTGGTTTGCCACACCATGCAGCAGACTTTTCAGCATTGACAAAATCTATATTCCTTCCTTGATATTGAACTAGACTGAAATATACACCAAAGAATAATCTAGTCAATTTAAGATGACTCATGAATAAAGAAGCAATAATATGTGTCCTGTTATGAAACGTACAAATTAGACAGTTTGGTCTGAAAAAGAGGGCCTTTGCACCACGGGATTGGGGGTACATATTGTTTATCTCACTTTGTTGCGTCTCGTTGGTTCAGTGTAGTCTGAAAAAAGAGGACCTTTACATGATTGAATGTATATATCATGTATCTCCCTTTGTTGCGTCTCGTGGTTTCGGTGTGGCCTTTGCACCAAGAAATTGCATGTACATAATATTATCTCGTAGGTCGAGAGTGGTCTGAACAATAGGGCCTTTACTTCGCGACATGCAATTTACATATAATCAATCAAAAACAAGAAATAGGACTTGCTAACGATAGGCTACGGACATGCAAGAAACTAAAATACTCACGTGGAAAAGTCAGCGTCCGAATCTCTGGTAATAGGAGCATCAACATCACCAACAACTTCTTGTGGTGTAGTCACATCAGAAGGGTAAATCTGGCCATTCTGTAGAACCTTTACTTTACTACAATCGGGTGAACCGATTGGATCTGTAATAAAAATAACATTAATCACCCAAAACCATAATAACTCAATATTCTTTAATTTGCTTGGATGTAATTGTTACTTGGCCATCCATTTTAGTATCTCTCTCTCTGGTGATTTTTGTGCAGACATCTATGATACAGTTAAGTGAAACGTATGTACCTGACCCAAGAATTTTGTTAAGAATACGAAGCCATAAAGAGACACTGCTTACATTGAGCTATAGCACAAATCTATATACATGTAGATAAGATATTTACCAAGTCCTAGATCAATCTGGTCCAGACACCAAGATTTAAACACTTCCAATGTCATGCGCGTGTAGCCGTCAATACCAAAAAATGGAGCTGCATTCTGTGTACTCGTCATATGAAGATGTACAGCATTATCGCCGACCATTACAACGCCGAGACTTCTCTGAAGACGCTATAATATAAAGTAATAACAGATTAGTATTTGTTATTTATATTTAACCGAGAAAAATGAATGATTCGAGGTGCATTGTGAAAAAAAACTACATGTGGATTTCTGAAATCATTCAACAGTGTATGAGTCAGTGCTAATAATATTTAATTATTTCAAAGAGCAGGATTCTTTTAATCTAACGGGTTCTTTTAATCTAACTACTATTATCACCATGTTGGAAACTGCTGTTAAATCATTACTCACTGCTCATAGCAGTGGAGAAAGCTTATCATTATCGTTAATAATAAAATTGTCAACATGATGAAGAGAGTATTTGACATCTCAAATTTAATCAGACCAAAATAAAAGTTGCAAATTCATTACATATAAAAAAGATGTTAAAAAATATAAAGGTATCAGCACTTCTCTCTAGTGTTCATATTGAATGCACATTTTACTTTTGAAACTGATTAATGTTTTGACTAGTTTAATGTTTTCAGATTTCCAGGAACTGCGAATCTTACAAATCAATATATTTTTATTTTATGTGTTTGTTTCTTTTTCAATAATAAATGATTTTGTTGAATCAATATTATCAAATCCCCCCCCCCCTCCTCAAAAAAAAAAAGATTAGATTTAATTAGCATCGAATTGCGGATTGCAAGAGATCAGTTCGGATAGCTTCGACCAAATTTGTGTGAGTACTACACTTATTATTATGTGATCGTGTATTTGTTAAAATGTGTGAGTAGAGTACAAGTGAATCTTACTTCAAACATAACTGGACAATGTTTTAAAGCTGCTGTGGCTATTTGTTCAGTTTGTGCTCCACCGACACCAGGTTTAAATGTGAGGGTAACACCAGTTCCACTACGACCATATCTCTCTTGTTTGCCGTTTCTGTTACCGGTATCAGCCTTGGTCAGAAATCCATTGTAGACCATCAACTAATTAACATATAAACGCACATGGTAAAAACATAACCACTAATCAAATGTATTCGACGATTCTATTTAAATTAGACATTCTACAGACACCGTTTAGTAAATGAGTCAAATTCCTGTATATAAATATAGTTGCTTCTCATGAATAAAGTATTAAAGATTACATTGCCAAACCAATTAAATCGCCAGGACCAGGGCCCTGTTTTGTAATAATATTGCTAGAATTTTTGCTCTTGAAATTAATGGGAGCAGTATATTTCATTAATTAATATCTTTGGTGGCAAGTTATTAAATCCACATATATGTAGAATTGTAATAAAATCAACTTAGTGAGTAAGTGACAGTTGACACATAAAAAGAGTTACAGAACCAAAACATAGCTGGCTGTATGTGTCAATAAAATACCACGAGATTACACGTGAGTGGAAATATTATAATTGCATCATTTGGCTTAATTTAACCAATCATATCAGAAATTGCCCAGGTTCAGGGCCATGAAAAGGCTTTCTGTGCGTGATATGCATGAGCTCTATAAAAGAAGGGGGGTTGGGTGGCTGAATGGTTAGCACGTGCGCGCTGTATCATAAAGCCTGTCAATGAGTCAACTGGCGTGGTTTCGAATCCCCGGTTGTACGTGACAAAGAGTAGGGTCGCCTGTCCAACCTCTTGGGTTTTCTCCGGGTCCTCGTGGACGTTTAACCCCATTTCTCTCTCTCTCTCTCTATATATAAAAAAATCATAGTAAACTTTTAAGTCAGACTTTCATTAGATTCCGGAGAGATTACCATCTGGGTGCAGTTTCTATTCAGCAGACTCGCCTAAATCGAGTCTGGCTGAATGAAGTTTGAGAGAATGACTTTATTATTGTAATCTATATTATGCTTATCCATGTATCCAGCTGATATATAAAATGTAAAAACGAACTGTTGCATTGTTATTCCTGGTAAGACAAACGTCTTAAGAAAACAGTAAAAAGTAAATACACAACGTGAAGCAGAAGTAAAGACGGCTAGAGGCAAATTCTAGACGATCACAAGGCTACAGAAATATGTAGTAAGAAAAGATGCATGGGCCGTATGTAAGATGTGGCGACCGGTTTGTGTGGTCCGCTCTCCACGTCTGACGAAAGGCCCATGGTGCTACAGTTTCTCGAAATTTTAACTAAAGATAAAATCCAAATTTTGGTAGATACTTCAATTTTGATTGGTTAAGCACTAAAATCAATCTAATATCCAATCAAATTACTAAAATTTAACATCATAAAAGTGCCCCAGGGCACTATCATGATAAAAACTTGCTGATCGTCATTTGAAAGTAGTTTAATCCCTTGCAAACTACAATATTGTAAAAGTTGGATCTTTATACAAACATGGCCCAATTCTGTTCAGTAATTATAAAGATATGATACATTGAAAGTGTGGCAACACTCAGCATCATATAATGGCGATATAAACAGGAATAGCTAGAGCAAGCAAGCGCCACCGTTCAATCCTCGAGAAAACCTTTGATAGGCCACTTTATAACCCGACTGAATCCAAGGCGGGGGATTATCTAAGGTTAATCTTTTGATTTTTATTTCTATATTAAACATACATTATGCAAGAGCTAAATCTGCCTATTGCAGGTCTTTCTTTAGGACTGAAATGTTATCTAAATTATTAAATAGACATATATTAACTTATCCAGACCACAATCAACTCGCAATGTCATCGCTAGCCTGCGATGTTTATTGGATTAGGTTCCGATTTGCTTTTCGACTTCCATTATTGCACACGTCTTGTTAAACACACAAAGGCTAATATCTTCGCTCGCAATAGAGTAATTTAAATGAAATTTTCAAATTATTCATTTTACATTACCTATTTTCGAACTATTATAGCAAGAATGACTAGCTCTTTATCTAAATCTTACATAATGTATCTTTAATATTAATAAAACCAGATGTCGTAGGCCTATGAACGATAAGATTTTAAAAAATAAATGGCCATCCTTACTTATACGCTTTCGTCTTGATTTTGTAAATCACCCATTACTTTTTGAACACATGATATAAATGCTGGGTGTGCTACTTTAATATTAATAAAGCCAGATGTCGTAGACCTATGAACGATAAGATTTAAAAAAAAACATGGCTATTTTTACTTACGCTTTTGTCCTGATTTTGTAAATCCATCATTACTTTTTGAACACATGATATAAATGCTGGGTGTGCTCTAAAATATCTAGAATTAGCTGATTTAAAATCTTGTACTAGAACACTCAATGATAACCTCTTCTTCTCATTACCATCAACACCAGCATCAAACAAATAACTACCTACAAATATAATAGTAGTCGTTCGGATGTGACAAAAAAAAACGAGGAAAAGTGTCCGTACAAATTATCACCCATGGCACACTGTATGGCGTTTAAACAGCATTGAGTTACATTGAAGCCGTTATTGTTTTTAATACCATTTAAAAAGAGTCGGATGGGCCACCACCGTGAGAGTAACACAACGAGGAAATGGTACGGTGACATTGGCTCAGTGAGTAAAGGCGCTGGGTCACTAACCTGGACGCCCCGTGTCGGATCCCTGTGTAGGCCGAGAAAGTACCTGTGGATTTTCCGGCGAGGTTTCAATTTGCCAGTGTAGCAGACAAGGAACGTTGTCTAGTCGTTCGGATGGAACGGAAAATCGAGGTCCCCTGTAGATAAGAGTAGGCCGTAAAGCCGATGGCCGGGAAATATTTCCTTATAGCACACTGGGTGGCGTATGCTCGGTTGGTATAGAGCAGTAGGGCGTTGAATCACATTTCATTTCTTTTCATTCAGTAGAACTCTTACATACCTGTATTTTCTACGTCATCATAATCGGAAGGATTGGGCAATGCATCTTTATTCACCGTTTGGAAACTTACTCCAGATTCAAATACAATTTCTGAAAAATAAAGATTTTATAACTGTCAATCACAGACATCTTAACAACCTTACTTGATTAAAGACAAGATGACAGGGTTGTTAATAACACACTTCATTATTATTTTATCTTCTTTGATCTTGGATGGTCTTGGTTAAGAAATTCCCCGGTACCTTCCATTGTGTTTTCCTTTTGTCAGTGGTACAATACTGAGGGATTGACAAGGAACAGTGTCTCCTCGTTCAAATGGGACGAAAAACCGAGGTTCCGTGTACATGCCGTCAGGGCACATTATTCCCCTCATAACCGTCTAAATTAGCTCAGTTGGTGCAGAAAAGTAGGACGTTAAACCCCATTTCATTTTATTTTTGGGTGGAGAATGTACACTGGCATATAATCGTCTAAATTAGTTCACTTGGTGAAGAAAAGTAGGACGTTAAACCCCATTTTATTTTAGTTTTGGGTGGAGAATGTACACTGGCATATAAACGTCTAAAGTAGGACGTTAAACCCCATTTCATCTTATTTTTGGGTGGATAATGTATACGCTGGCTGCATATACATGTATTTTCACATAAAGATAAAAACTATAGAGAATCCTAGTATTATAATGGTAATAATATTGAGAATTGTTGGTATTTCGTTCTTTCAATATATCATTCGTTCATTATTCATTCTTTCATTTAAACATTTCTATTTTTCTTATGTTTCTATTAATCCTGCGTTGTTAATTAGACGTTAAGCTACTTATCTAATGACTGATCGTTGACAGCTGACACATTAATGAGTTTAATTACTATCTTATTGTTTATTTTATTGCATTGTCTTGTATAGTTTAATCTCTCCTCTTTCATTGTTATTAGTAACCTTGGTGTATATAAATACCGATTTGTACCCTCTATTAAGGCTCATTGATACAGGTATACAATTATATTATATTACTTTAAATCTATTTACACCCATGAGTGTCAAGGTCGATTTAGGCTTATTAGGGAATTATTCATTTGCCGTCTTTAATAAACATATATACATTTAAATAAAATATACATTCTTTAAAATACAAAAAAAATAAAATATCTAAAATAAAATATTTGTGCATATTTCGTCAATATGCACTGTTACAGTATAAACATCGCTCAGAAATAAGCAGTAATTGTATTCAATGGCATTCCGTCATGTTTATATCCAGTTAATTTACCAAATACAAGTGACACAAAAACATAACGGCCATTTATATGAAATACAATAATTCTTCGTTAAAGGAACACTTTGGAATCTTAAAATAGACGAAAATGAGTATAAAAGCACACATTAATGGTATATTGGATATAAAGTGATTTATATTCAATTAAAAAAATGATAGTAATTTCTGTCAATTATGTTCGGTCAAATACGTGAACAGTCCAAACTGAACGGCAGTAGTTTACGTCTGCTTAATCCGATCTCACGTTTTTATTTTTTGTTTTGTCGTTTGTTAATCAGCCATTAGGCCTACTTCGGCATTGTCTTGTAGGATACATTCTTCTCTGGCACCCGAAAACATAGTCTACACGACTCGTGTAGTGATTTTAAAATGTTCATTGTGTTTTAATTATTGGATATTGGGTTCCTATATTTTCACGTCAAGATAACAACACCAATATTGATTGAAATCGACCAATATTTAATTCTAATTCGTGTTTTTAATTTTGATTATAATAGGAAAAATTGTCTGTGAATTGCCTTAAGTATAGCCTGTCGCGTTCATATAAAACTTGTCACCGTTTCATTAAAATCAGAAGAAACAATATCGATTCAATTGCTAAATAAAAAAAACAACATTTGTGAGATATTTCATATATAGAATGAAATATAAACCCAGACATAATAATACTTTATAATATTAGTCTCCACCCATTTATTTCATGTAACAATTGCTTTTGACAAGTTTAAAAATTGTCTTGATCGTTCAGAATATAATTATATTTATAACCAGGAAGAAGAAGTGTATCTCTTTGTGTTTCATTTTAAAGGGAGTATAAAGCTTATACTCGGTGGGTAAAGCCTTGGTTAACTAACCATAAAGAGGTCCTGGTTTCGAATCTGGTGATGGGGTGGTTTCCCTTTTCAGTAGTGAAGCTAGGCAAGGAACAGCGTTTAGTCGATCGTTTGGGATGGAAACCCAAAGCCCCCTATACACTTTGGTTTATACATTAAAGGATCCTTGACAGGTGGAATTCGATGACGAGTAAGCGGAAGGCCGGAAAGGCCACTGTCCGCACAAAATTTTCCCAATAGTTCAACTGAAATAATAATCTTTCTATATACATGAAACATTTTGAAAGTTTACAGTTTTATTACTAATTACTATTGCATTGTCTTGTAGGAGATGTTTTTCTTTGTTCATTACAAATGGCCCCCGAAACCATAGAAATAAACGACTCGTGTAATAATTTTAAACTGTTTATTATGCCTCAATATTGGATATTATGGTCCCATATTTTCACGGTAAGATAATAATATCAATATTGATTGAACTGGGCCAATATTGAATTTTAATTCGTGTTATTAATTTCGAATTTTAAGGAAATTATTGATTTTGAGGTTAATTAGCTCCTTAAATAGAAACATGAAAAGGCATGTCATATCAGGGTAATTCATATATTACAGTTTGTAGTTTATAATATGACAAATGAAATGTTCTTTTACATTTTATTATAGTTTCTAGTTTATAATATGACAAATAAAATGGTCTTTTACATTTTGGTCGATCAACTAATATTGTTAATACCGGTCATTATCTATATCCCAGTTTTACGCTTTGTATATATTTAATGTGATTGATATAATACCCCTATTGTAAGCGTTTAGACTCTGTTTTTGTGATCGTGAGTTCACGTACTCAGGTACCACATACGTGTACACTGTCAATATAGTTACACAATATCAACAAACGCTGTTATTGAGCAAATATATATAAATTTATTTACCGTTTAAACCATGATAGATACTGAAAATAAATCAAAGGTTCAATTCAAGATCCCATAAATTATAGAGACCTCCGCCTTTCAGTAAAAAAAAAGAAAAAGAAATAAAATGAATAGATAGGTTAATAGATAGATATTCACAAACTCCATGCTTCACTAAACATGGTATCAAATGATTTTTTAAATCCACCCGATGTTTTTTTAATAATAGGCACTGCCAATTATATGTTCGAGTGGAGAGTTTTTTTTAAATGCAAAATTACAACAAATATTGTTATGTTAGATAAGGAAGAGGTATCATGTGAACAAAAAAATGCTAAGTATATCCTGTTTCGTGCACGACACAGGTCACCACCATTGAAACTGTCGTGATGTTTGACATAAAAATATGAGGTTATAAGACTTATAGTGGTCAACGGTAAGCTGCCATGGAAATCAACACTAAAGAAGAGATATACACAGAAATGTAAATTATAATTATTGTGGTGGGGTGGATGACGCTTTGTATAGAAAGATCTATCATTTGGTCAAGTGGCGTGGTTTCGATCGTGTGCATGTACGTGACAGGGAGTGCCCCCCCCCCCCATTCCACACAAACACTCGTAAAGATATTGCTTGTTAAAGCAAAACCACCAACGTCATAAACGATTTTGGGCTTTAGAATTAAAAAGAAAACGTCGATTTATATCATGGTTTCAATAAGTATGTAAGAGCGATCATATTTAGAATACCATGTCAAGTAGATGTTATTGGTGCGTTGTTGTAGTTAATTTAATAGACCATGACCGATCGCACCTACTTCTTTTTACTTATATACTTTTTTAGTACTGTTACACGAGTATATACTAATAGTTTATATACAGTGGAACGTATATCCGTGTACATATCTTAGCTTAAAGTTGGTCCATTGTACTGTTTTTGTCAATAAGCTTTTGACTCACTGGTCGATTTTCTTTAACGAATATACAGCATTTAATAAGGAATAATGCGTTGTATTGTGAGTTTACATTCCTCTGTTGTATTCTTTTATTTAGTTCACCTACATGTAGAAATATATATTAATGTTGGTGTACTTAAGGTTATAAAAGTTCGTTTTTGTCAATACTTTTCTCAATTGACCCCCCACCACCACCCCCGAATCACCCTGTAACTCCAGATCACTTGTCTGGTTCATTATATTTTGTATATTGTATGCTGTCTTCAAAGGACGTTTCGATGCAATAAAATGCTATTCAATTCTACGGAATAATTAATTCTTGTAACGTTTTCTATAGACGTCTGTCTTTCCTTTATACTGATCTTTCAACATTTACCACTCTAAATTTGGATAATAAATTCATTTATATTTCGTACCCCGTGTTAAAGTGCCGATACACTTGGAAATTCTGAGGATTGTAGAAAGGTACGTATCATGACTGGGAAGGCTTAAGAGAAGCTGGGTCGAAATAGTGTTATTTTAGAATAGCTCAGACAATTTGTCTTGACTACGGCTCATTTCGGAGAAAAACAGTAGACTATATTCTCTATAAATACTTCCTTAAATGACATAATGGTGACGGTTGTATAACTACTATAACATCAATCCACAACAACAACATATTAAAAGTTTATAAATAATATACATTATACCCTACCTTCACTATATACAATATCCAATATTAAGAGTAAAATAAGACAGATCCGGCTAGGATCCATGTTGACTGTCAACTGAACTAGGATATAAAAACTAAATAAACTACGTAATGCGAGGTGTGTGTATATGTATATGTAAATAGCTTTAATAAGAGCCCGCGGTCAAGTGTCGACATTATCCAGTCACAAATAAGAACACGAGAAGATGTATCCTGTTTGTGCTTGTAACGTTGTTCCGCTTGACAGATTATATTGTCTCGTGTCTTAATGTAATGTAATCGTCACGCCCGACGGAATGTTATCTATATTGTTTGGGGGTGGGGGCGATCAGCGTAGCGACCCAAATTGGGCTCCGGGACAATTTAAACTGATAAAAACATATTTGGGGTACTTTTAGACTCATCGAACCCCCGCCACACCCTTTTTTCCCACATTGATACCCAGACCATAACTATGTAAAATCTGTTATTTATTTTTAAAAATATGGGACAGTAATTTGACCGAGTTAAACGCGCGGACCGGCGTAAACTTTTGTCAAGGCGGGGGGTCTCACTGTTAACATGCCTTATAGTCGTTTTTTTCTATGGATGTAGATATGAAAAGGCTCGCAATAAAATAAACGGAATAACTAATAATATATAACTTAAATTACAAATAAACGGTCACAGCAGACAATATAGAAAGCAATTGAATTAAGGAAAACGTTTGGCGACAAAGTAAGCAGTCAGGATAATATCAAGCCGGTTTTAAAGATACATTATGGAAGATTAGATAAAGAGCTGACAATTCTCACTATAATAGTTAAAAACTAGATAATGTAAGGATAATATACTGAAAATTCCAGTCAAATCGATATATAGTGTTTGAATATAAGGCCTAGTCTAGATCATCATTACTAAAGTCGTTACGATAAAAAACATAGTCTCGATTATCCATTTTTGGATTAAATCATCAATGAGCGTTGAGCAGCAAATCAGATTCAAATCCAGAGAAAATCCGACACATAAGATGACATCGAGAGTTGATTAAGGTCTTTTCATGTTAACAAATGTCTAATTAATAGTTTATATAAACTTTCAGGCACAAAGAAAGACCTGCAATAGACAGATTAAGCTCTTGCATAATGTATGTTTTATTCACCTGCTCTATCCAGACACGCATTTTCTTTGTACGAAGCACTGGTGTAACAAAAATGTAGTCATTCGTTTGAAGCAATCCCGAGATGGACTTTTAATATTTCTAAAATAAATTACACAATGATTGCATACTTATAGAATTAAAAAAATAACAGGCGTCATCGGACGTTGACCTTTTAAGTGGATTACAGGTATGATGTCCTGTTGGCATTTTCCAGTGTTTGTCAGAGCAATGGTTCTCACGCGTTACCAAAGTCACATTGAAAAGAAAATTGTTACCAGTAGCCAATGACGTCCATTGACATTTCTTCTGGAATATGGGGTTTAACGGTATGATTCACTGTAGATTTCTGAAAGGCAGAGATACATTAAATGTTTGCCAGGGCGGCGGTTCTCAAGTGTTACAGGAGTGACACTGTAGATATTAACCAGGGCAGTGGTCTCTTATGTTTAGAATGAGATTACAGGTGCAATAGATTTTGGCCAGCTCAGTGGTTCTCCAGGGTAACAGAAGTCACACACTATAGATATTTTCCTGGGCTGGAAACTAAAGGAGCAACACACTGCAGATATCTATGACCGACATATAAGTCATATGATTTCTATATATTAAAAACCAATGTTACTTTTCCCATTCTGGTAAACATATCTTTGACAACATTAATATATTTTAAATATATTTTATTTACCTAATTATTTCTCAAGTAAGATACGTGTTGAATTAAACAGACACTGGCATGAGTGATATATTGTTCTTATAAAAACACATAGTCACTATGTTTAAAAATAAAGCTGAATATTTTACTACATCAACCCCCTGTGCAATCCTCTGCAGAGTGGATCTTTTTATATCACTATATTCAATATACTTGATGGTTGGGTTGTCTTCATTCCATTGATATTAAGACATACTTTCTATCATGGCTTCTATAACTTTCTTAATTGGTTTGATGATAGAGCATGGTATCCATTGGGTAGAATTGTTGGAGGAACGGTAATTTATTCCAATTTATATTCTGATTTAGATTGAAAAACATCAGCAAAATTGCCAATTAATTTGTTTTCAAGGCAAATATTACTCATTCATTGTTATATATGTCCACATTGTTGTGTAGATAGATTTTATCTGCTTTTGATGAAACTTAAAATATACGTTTTTATAACCCAATAATACATTCTACAGTAGATATGGCTTGACATCAGTTGCTCTTATTTTTTGAAAAAAATTTCACAAGTTGTTTTCCTTTATTTTGTTAATGTAGAATGGTAATGAACTGCTCTTTTCATTTTCTTTGTTTTATTTGTTTCGTTTGAATTTGATTTATCTGTTTAGTTTTTGATTGTTTAATTTTTGTTAATGAAGCTGATTCTTTTAAACTTCGTTTTTTATTTTTGAACTCTACTTGGTGTAGGTGTTCATCAGGTAATACCTCGACTGAGTTCAATATAGAGATTAGCCGGTTGATTTGTTGGATATAAACCTTTGAATAATAGCGCCTAACAGGCAGCTGTGTTTAATTATGTTCTCCTGATTTTGATTGTTTCTGTGTGTTTGAAGTATATGTTTGTGATATGCGCTTAGAAACACTTCACGTGTAATGAAGCGCTATATAAATCGAACAATAATAATAATAATAATAATAGTCAATTAGCTCTTTACAACCAAATATCAACTGGCCCCTGTGTTATAGAACCTTATTAAACCAGCCACTGGCTATTAAGCCAGATATAATTTAGACGAAGCATTAAAGTCTAAACAATGGAGGGATTAAGTATTGGTCATTAACCAAACTCTCTATAAAACGAACTATTGTTTTAGATTTCAACTTAGAAGCAATATTTTATAGTTTAATTGTCAATGTGTCATAATTGTCTATTATATATATTTTGTAGAATTGTATTTAAAACATAGAGTGAGCTATGGTTAAGAACAGATCGGATCTCTCTCTTTCTTGTAAATATTTGTTGATTTATCTATGTTTAATAAATCACATAGAGGTTACTTGGACTTAGTCTTAATTTTATAAGTGCTTCTTCCGATTCTCAATGTTTTGGGGCATAGCTTCAACGCGGCAAGAATGTTCATTAACTTTGAATCACTCACTCGGTTCGTATGACACCTCCCTCTCCGGCAGTCTATTTCTCAAACTATCGTGGCGAAAATATTCATTCACTTCGTTTGACACTTCACTCTGGTCGGATAAACTAGCGTTCAGTCGACATGCGGTATCTGACAATATCTATTTATCTCAGTGCCTGAAATACTGCCAGATTGCATTTCCAACAGTCTGTTTTTCAAACATTTCTGGGAAGGCCCCCCATACCCCTAGTTAAAGCTCGCGCCTTTGGTCCCTAAAGCTTGGACTTTGCCCCTGCAACCACCGCGGGTGGCACTGCCACTGAAAATAGGCTTCTGCATCTCACTAAGGTCAATAACACATAAATATTATGATCACAGGAAATTATGGATGATAAGCAGGCAGGGGTAACAAAAATGTATGATAACATTTCAATGTGGGTGTAAAAAAATTAACAAAAATTCTCAAATACATCTTTTATTTGAAAATGAATGAAGCACCATTTTCATAATATAATTAACAGAGCAAGATTTTAGTATATAATTTTGTTATATCTTCTGTGTATCAGAGCTCTCACCACAAATTTTTTACCTGATCAAGTATCTACTTTACCTGGGATTAGACAAAAATTTGTTCAAAGAATATGCCAGTATTATTTTAATATACATATCAAGTTTTAATTATTTTTTACACCAAATAACAACAAATTTAACTGGATTTAAGTGTTTTAATTTGAATTTAAATTGATAAGCAGGTAAATTCACCAGTTGGTCAATTTCAATACCAGTCAGTCAGAACTGGCAAATATCATCCAAATACAGCCCTGTTGTGTCTAAAATTTTAATGTCTTAAACCAGTTTATGTGTCCAAGACAGCACATAGACATCAATTTGTCTCAGTCCTTATTCATGAAAACTAAAATATTTGATAAAATCCGACTTTTCATTGGCTAAGAGCGAAAAATTGTACTAGTATTTCAACTAATGCTGGGTATTGGCACAGCAGTCACGATACATGACATGTTGCTATCCAGGCGCTACAATACGATTCATAACTAGGTCAACATTTACCAAGAAAACAACAGGATAAATGAATAATTGATATTTTTAGTTTTGCCGATGTCGAAGAAATAAAACCAGTTTTATATCACGATATTGATATGGATTCAAATAAAGGACCACAATTTAAGAGTGTTTGTGTACTTATGGATAATGTGTGACGTGGATAATTAAGTGTGATGGGTTACTTACTGAAGCGAAACAAAAAAACATAAAAAAAAGAATTGTGATACATTGATTCTGAATCTCTCGATTCTATACAAGAACCATTAGAAGGTATCGCATTAAATCGATTCAATGATATATCGTGCCAGCACTAATTTCAACTCTTGACCAATAGAAAGGAGGAATCCCTTAAAATACATTAGTTTGTGAATAAGGCATCTGATCACAATCTCTAATCTTGACTGATTTTATAAGTATGAATATTTTAACACACAGTGTTGGGATTATCCACAGATTGATAGAAAAAATAAACAATTTGATCGTATTGGCAATTCTTTACAAACACATAAAAGATTATCGTGTCTCCATTCACACAGAATTTAGATAAACTTGAAAGTAAAAATATTAATTTTAAAAATGAGCAAAAGAAATCACACCACACTATATTAATACCCTGAGAATTAGTAGGTCCCCAACATATAGACAAATATAAAATCAAGAGAGACATTACATCTGTCAGCAAAGAATAATAGAATGGAAATGAAAAGCGAGAGACATTAAATCTGTCAGCAAAGAATAATACCACACCCAATGTAAACAATAGACAATGTACATTTAACGTGATATACACACAGTTTATTTTCAAAATGGCTCAAAAACCTTTCTGGGTAAAAAATAAATAAAACATAACAGATTGAACAATGCATAAAAAAAACCACTTGCAAAATTAGAGAAATTTGTGAAAGATCTCATATATAGTATCCAATTCCTTCTTCAGGTAAGCTAATGTACCTGGCCTATATTCCACTTGAGGTAGCACCTCCTGGACTCACAACAAAAGTGTTGTCTAGTGGTTCAGGTAGGTTTAAAGATATGCAGTCAACCTGTCCATGTCAAAGAACCCTTGACAGTTGGAATTCTTCTTCCTAAGTCTTGAAGTAATGAAACAGTTTGTTTTGTATTTGCATGCGTGTCTACTTAGATTTCACCGAAGATTGCATAAAACCCCCCAGATGTTTCTCTATACCCCTACATATACATATTATGTAGTTACTATGGCTTTGAGATAATGGAAAATTGTGTGCATAGTATGAGACTGTGTACCCACATTTAGTCTGTAAGAAATGAAGGGCCAATGAAGATGGGCATATGCCATACAGTGTGCCATGAGAAATTTTCAATTCCAACTGTCAAGGTTTTTTTTTTATTACGTATATGCCAATGTGTACTGTACAGGTGACCTTGTTTTTTTGTCCCACTTGAATGACTAGACACAATCCTTGCCATGCCCTCCGTCCTGCACCTTTCACAAGAGTGAACCAGAGACCTCCTGGTTTGCGAGCCAGCATCTTACTCACTGAGCCACCGTTTAAAATGTGTCAAGTTGTTTCGATGCTACAAAATTTATTGTTTACGGATATAACAGATGATCCATATGAAGACGGAATTCCGATGACGCTCTGGTAGAGTATTAGGACAAACTGAATTCTTAATCACAGAAATAAATTACATTGCATTTGTTTGAAAATTGTAAATTGTGTTAATGAGACAATAGACTCCATTCATTTCAGTTAATTATGGAAACAAAAAATGAAATTAAAATCATACGCAAAATATATGAATATGTCAAATACAAAATGTACAAAAAAATACTACCAGTACTATTATTATTATTCTGCTATTCAAAATATGAAATAGAAATGTACAATTCACTCCATTATTAAGTGATAATGATATTGTGTAGGTGGTAATTGCTAAAGACTTTTAAACAGGATCTTTAAAATAAAATCTGATAAAGTATTAGTTTAAGTAGAAAATAATAACTAAATTAGGCCATATAAAACATTTATTCTGTTTCTCAGATGCCCCAGCATCACTTAATAATACACTGACACTGAAATGTGGGCATCAGATTTTTTTTTTAAAGCAATGTTATTTTTGTATGGCCTTATTATGAATCATTTCCTAATACAACTATAATAAATATACATCTAAATTATAAATTCTAGGTATCTTTACCTTTCTACAAAAAGTGTGTGTTTGGGGTGAGCGGGGGTTTAGTGGTCTAATGGGTGTGTGTTACATCATAAGCTTTGTTAATTAATGATGTGGTTTCGATTCAAAGCTTGTATATGACAAGAGTAGGGTAACATGCATAACCTTTTAGGTATTCTCTTGGTCCCCCTGTTTCCTACACCCAAGCAATTATTAAAATAAAATTGTACCATATCACCTAGTTTGTGTAGAGTGGACGTTAAACCCCATTTCTCTTTCTCCTTTCTGGAAAGTTTATTTGTAGATAGTAATCATTACAACTAACTAATAATGCTGTTAGTATATGCAAGAAGTCCAACTAAGAAAATACTCCATATGATATACACTAGTTACATTATAAAAACAAAATTCCCAAAGCTATTTGCCCTATGCTTGTAAAACTATCACATAAAGAGTTGTGCATAGTGATTTTAACATGATAAATATGATAACTCAACACAGTGTATACGTGTTAATAGATTTCAACATGATAAATAACTTCAACTCAACTCCGATAATAGTCTAGAGACCACATGTTAATAAATTAATAAACTATTCATAATTGAAAACTATACAAACAACATCTACGGCGGACTAAAACTTCCGTTTACGCTTGATGCTTAGTCCTTTCCCAAACCATCCAGGTATTGAGCTCGATGACCGTCTGCGTTTATCTACGGTGGATGGTTTGGATGAATCATCCTCTTTCTTAGAAGGTGACATGGAATTGTTAGTTTCACTTTTTACAGCAGTTTTATTAATATCAGAAAAAATATTGTCCGTATTCACATCTTCTGATTTTATAATTTCAGATTTGTTATTGGAATTTTTCTGTATTTCTTGTTTTATTTTATGTCTGATTTTATTTGTCTTGCTGACCGATTCGACCACTTTATTTTTTATATTGCCTTTGACAGGGGAAACACGTCGGAGTTTCGCAGGTGGCGACTTCACACCATTAAAAGCCTTATAATAACAATGATCTAAACTCACATTAATTGGAACATGACATGGAGCTTTAAGGTCTTTTGGCACAATTTCTTGTTTTATACAGAAAGGACGTTGTTGTTGGTGTTGTTCCATTATGGACGTAAAGCCAGTGTTATTAGCAAAATTTAAATGGTGTAAAGATGTCTGTCTTAGCAACTGGCACCAGTCTTGTTGAGTTAATATATTGCTATTGTGAAACATATTCTGCATAGATGTTTTATCAGGTAATGAGGTAGATGGTAAACCTGATTCAAGATGGTGGTTAGCAACCATTAATGGAGGATAAGGTATAAAGTTTGGTCCAAAAATAGTTCCTGGCATAAATGGAAATATAGGTAGAGGAAGTTGCTGCATCATTGGATTATGAAAGACAGTTGGTGTGGATATGTGTGCATTTTTCCTGAGCATGTGGGAAAGTCTCTCTCTCACTTCAGAAGAAATATCTGACGCTTTTCTTGTTCCTGAGTAATTGTGTTCTTGTGCATCTTTTCCATCGTTATCTGTTTCATCTTCTGGAACGCTATTACTTATCTTAAAAGGGGAGTTGAGTATCTTTTGAATGGTTGTGTGTTTATTTAGCGATTTTATTTTTGGTCGAGCGGTACCAATATTTGACTTCCTTTCCAACTTTTTTATGGCATTTACAGGAATCTGCAATATTTTTTTCTCTGTTGTATCGATTTCATCAGATTTCAAAAGTGTCGCATGTCTGAAGATGGGATCATCTTGTCTGAAATAATATCAATATTAATTAATTTACATCTTTTCAAGCTTGAATTGTTCGTAGTTATAAATGACTTAATTTCTCCCTGGATGGTGGGATTTGTGCAAAAGAAGACATGTATAATAATTATATGGTTTAGTAAATGGAAGTGTTTAGGGTCTCCTACCTGTTAATTTTGCAAAAATCTTAAAACAGGGGGAGGTAATATAATATCGATAGCGAGATTTGTGCTACATGCATGAATATTTATATAATTCTATAGATGTTGGTATGGTCGTTGTGAAGGTTTCAAGGGATCTTGTACCTAATACAGAGTAAAAAGTCTTAAGTAAGGGAGGAGTGTAAGACTATTGTAGAATTTTGCTCTTTAAATTAATAATAGCATTATATCTTTAACTAATTATTGGGTTCACATACATGTATGTTTTGGGATAAATTGAGAATAACAGAAACCTATGACACTTTGATACATTGAATGTTCCACAGGTCGATAAACAATGTGTTTTAATGGGTTAAAATTATATCATGCCGTCACTTGTGTAGGAAAATTCCTATTGCATCATTTGGCTTACCATCCAATCATATCAGTAATTGCACAGATCTGAGCGTGATAGACTTCAAGGTCAATAACAATATAGGTCCTATAAAAGAGACTGCCATTTAAGATTCAGATATTGTTGGGTTCCGGACAGATACCATCTGAGTTCCTAGAGACTGCCTCTAAATTCTCAGACATCGCCTTGGTTCTTTAGACGACCATATGATGTAGCCGTTTCCTGAATCTAGCCATGCTGGTTAGACTTTTAAAGGAGTTGGGGGTTGAGAGAAAGATGTTAATTATAAGTATGCTAATGTAATCTATTATGCATTATAAGCATATGTATCCAGCTTGATATAAAATATAGAAATGAACTGATTCATTGTTATTCCTGGTAAGACAAACGTCTTAACTACTGAGAAGATAAACATCTTAACGAGATAGTAAGAAGAAAATGTGAAAAGGAAGCCAAATACTAGACAATCACAAGGCTATAAAATATGTAGTAAGAGGAGAATGCACGGGTCATACGCCGGATGTGGCGACCTGTTTTAGTGCATGTCCGCTTTCCATTGTACTAGTCTTTTATCGTGGCTACAATGATGTTTGAATCAGAACTAGGCCTGGATTATGTCCATATCCTCAAAAGATTTAAAGCATTTAGAAACCTTGATGCAACAGATGGCTAAAATCTTATTCTTCACTAGCTAACTGACATACAGAAAAAGATGACATCATGAAATCAGTAGAATGTAATGGGAGCTTTAGATACAGTCAGATGGATTGATTTTAATAAGTTTTTAACCAATATTCTTCTTGATAAGATTATTTTGAAGTCTATATTTGATTCTTATCCTGGAATAACGAACATCAATTCTCAACATTCATTCCAGTTTATTTTATGACCTACATGTTGATAGCTACGCACAAATTTTATACTCTATTTCAAATTACCATGTACTTACTTTCTATAAGGAGATACAGTCATATCTAAATATTTCATTACTCTTTCCATTACATCATCACATCGACCTATATCATAAATACAACATAGGTCAATCAATATATATATGTTTATGTTAAATACACTGAGCAGATAATGCAGCAATCGATATCAGCTGTTAACTTTCTGAGTGATAAAAAAATGGGCAGGTTTTTCCTTCCAGTGATATTAACATTTCATTAACTAGAATTGAATTCTTGTTTTATAACTTCAGAAAATATTCCACACTTCTTTTGACAAAATTGACAGAGACCCACTTCCAACCCTATCTTTTTCATTTATAATTAAAAAAATAACGATTATTATTTTACTCAATCTGTTCCACAGTGTCAGCCATGAGTGTATCAGCAGTGATGCCTAAGATTATTTGTACAGAATATGTTTTAAGTCTTTCTGATGACATTGTAACAGCACCATCAATTAAATGGCAAAACAGTTATGCTACTTACCGTTTATTTTAGAAAGAGCACCTTCATCTTTAGGTGTCCATTGAAGGTTTACAATGTAGAGTTTGGGTCTTTTTGATGGCCGTTTATCCATTGCCCACAAACAAGGATATTTTTTCAATACCTACAATTGCAAACATATGGTATTTAACTTTATCATTTATTCCAATTAAATACTGCCAAAATAGTCTTTCTTTTATTAAAAAGTAAATATTGGAAATCGCTGAAAATCAATAGGCTTCTTCGTCTCATGACCTTAAACACTGTATAAATTTAAAGTCAATTCAGATGTTAACTTTGACCTCTGGAGCGTCCACAAGATTTTTTAAAGTGATCAAGGGCCATAACTCAGGCAGTAATTATCTGAAATCGCTGAAAATCAATAGGCTTTTTCGTCTCATGACCTTAAACACTGTGTATAAGTTTAAAGTCAATCGGATATTAATCATCGACAATATACGACCACATTTCAATGTGGGCGTATAATAATAAACATTCTTAACATTTTTCAATAGACATGACTGATTAAATTTAGAATCGTATCAATTTGAAATTTATGTTGTAAAAAGAACTGGCCCCATCAAACCAAAACTCACCAGACTGGAAACATGGAATAAAATGAAATGAGGTTTAATGTCCCCCTTTTCTTCACCAATCAAGCTATTGAAGACCAGAGCATGTCATGCAATGAAAGAAATTTTGAACGGAAAACGGCGTCATTACCTACTCATATTTTAACTTCTAATTGTCAAGGGTCTATTACGAGCATGCTAATGTGTACACAGGTGTATTCAGTGTCATCTGAATAACTAGACACTAATTACCAGGCCCTCTGTCCTGCACAGGTGTAAATCTATTATAATCTTGTGTACACTGAATGTGCAGAGAAATTATAGAATTCAATCAAGAGACAGCACTGTATTCTGATCAAATAATCTACTTAACAATTACATATCTAACCTTCAAACTTGTTCCTAAACACAATATTATATCTGCATTTTGAGCTGCCTTGGCTGCTTTCTTCCAATAATAGGGTGACTTCATTCCTCCCTTTTCACCGAAGTGTACTATGGTATCTTTAAGTTGACCATTACAATCATGACAGAATCTTCCAGTAGCATGTCTTCTCATGGCTGTTTTCTCAGTCACATCAAACAGTCGTATGTATTCATTGGGTTTGGGTTGACAGTTGTAGCAAGTCTATAAAATATAAACAATTAATGAGTTTCATTTCTAGACCATATGAACATTGTCTATTTCAGTTGATAAATGGAATGGGGGTTTAACACTATTTTTCCAGACCAACCAGGCTCATGAAGATAGACAACCATGCAATGTTATATGATGGGAATTTTCCCATGACACCGATTCTAAAGCCTACTCTTAATTTGATTTCCAACTGTAAACTGATCATTAATGTGTTACTAAGGGTTACATGATCTTTTTCTGTACCATCCGAGTAACTAGACAATGTTCTTTTACAGTTATAAACAATAATAATGTGTGCATGATTCAAGAGTACAAAGAACGGTATATTTACCTCTATATACATATTGCCGTGAACCTCTGACAAACATTTCCTGGGAAAACCACTTCTTAGATGAAGACCATCACAATTTTGAGATACAATATACTTGATCTATAAAATAATCAGAAAAATATAATAAAGTTGTTACATTTGTCCTAAATGCACATACAAACGAACATGATTGATTGCTGGAAAAAATTGAAAATCTAATCAGGTCCAATCTAAGATTATTAAAACTTTTTGCATCTGTTGGCTGTAAGAATTCATGTGCTTCTATTGTAGTTGGTTTATTTCACATGTATATATCACAGGTATATTATTAAAACACTATACTTACATGTCCTTCTTTACTTAGTTTTGTTATGCTCATGTGAGTAAATGTTGGTTCAGCATCACTGAGATCTTGAGCACTGGAAGATAGTTGTAAATGACAGTTATTTTTTACACTAATCTCAAAATAATAAATATATGGAAAGATTCAAAAATGGCTGATGAGAACTGAGCTCGACAAAACATGATTACTCTAGAGGATAAATACATTTAAAAGCATATCAATGTATATGGATTCAAACATAGACAATGCAAAGTAACTAAAGAAAATGTGACAAGTCACTGAAAACCTCCCCATAACACATGTATGCCAACAAAATATTCAAGTCCTACTTACATTAACAAACAAACATTTATGTATTTGGTATCTAACCTGGGTTCTCTTAATAAAATTTGTAACCTGAATACGTATGGTGCTATAAATTGTACTGTGACTATAGTTGAATTACCCAGCATTAGTATGCAACTCTGGACTGAGGGACGTTTACATCTAACACTTAATAAATACCTCCAAATTTTGGGCTGGGACATAATAATAATGTTTAAGGCTTACACATGTATCCCATATAAAACCTTTTTTTTTCACATGTACATCTCCCGTCAAAAGGCAACACCTTATAACTCACGTTTTTCTTACTTTGAGAAAACAAAGGAAAACGTAATGAATGAATATTAAACCCCAGCTTATGCAATGATTTGACTATTGAGTTACTAGGTTTTTCTGTGGCATACTAGGCAAATAAATGAAGGAAGTTGCTAGGCTGTGTCATGGGTGTAAATGCTTACAAAATCAAAAGATTGAAATATCTAGTACAACAGGAAGCACATACCCTAGTAACTACAAATTTGGTCCTAACTCCATTTTGATAAAAAAAGTGAGTTACTAGGTTTTGACTTTTGACAGGAGACATGTAGCTTAATCATATATAATATGAAATGACCTACCTTGGTTCTTGACCTTTTTTGAGTAGTGTCCATATTCCATTAGGTCCTCTATAATCTGGTATAGAAGCTGCCTAGAAAATAGAATTAAAAAAATGAATTCTAAATATAACATAATTTGAATTTATGGTTTCTATGTAATATTCAAAATAATGTTCTAAACTGACCCACTCCAACAAGTGTAGAACAAAGGGTAGGAGACCCTAAAAATTTATTAAAAATCTGTCATTCAAAAGGACTAATCGTCTTTTTCTAGTCACTGTTTCATGGTCTATGAGGGTATACATGTAGAAACCAGATCTCCACCCCCCCTTTTCACACCTTGATCTGTAAACAAAATTGCTATATGAAATATCCTCATGTATAATATTAACTTATAAATTATATTAAAATCATTCAATCAATTTGTTGCTCAACTTCATTATACATGCAGGCATAACTCGGTGATCACAATAATTCTTACCGTACTGATGCCAGCTCCAGTATAAACAACAACATTACTACTTCCTTTTATTTCTTCAGCCAGTTGTTTACATTTAACATCCAGTATATCAGGTGGATCTTCAATCTGCTCGACAACAACAAAAATTCAAATAGTTAGATCAGAGTAACAATATTACCACAATGGATATAAGCAAATTTAAATGCGTTGGCATATACTTCTTGTACACATCAAATTACAAATTGGTTTATGCTTACCTTACCATATTCTAGATCTATGTGTGTTGCATTGCGATTCAAAGTATAAATTTGTAGGAGAAAAATTCTGATTAGCAATGACGTTACTTTTGACTTTCAAAGATGAATCTATGAAACTGCCATACTTTTTACCACTGGTATTTAAATGTATCAATGCATTTTGTATAATAAATTTAAGAATCGAATTGCAAAGTTGCTATAATATTGTTTCCCCAAAAAATGAATGCTTACTTCAAGCAGTCTATCCTTTCTTGTCTTCTGAAGTTTGGCTCTCTTTTGCACTAATTTGACAATATCATCTGCTACCAATAGCTGGATATTTTCTTTTTCAGATCGGTCACATTCTGCTTTCTTTAAAATAGATGTAATCTGAAATAAAAAATATTTTCAATAAGTGAATCAATATTAAAATTATACTGAATTTGTTGGGGTTGGTTTTTTTTATCAACCCTTCTGCACTAGAGAAAAGAAATGATTTCTTTCATAGTTATACTGTTACATCCCGGGGCAGAGTAAGAAACACTATATAGTAGTTACAGGCAGTTTACATTCTAAAGGGTTAAATTTACTGCAGATATGGTGCTGTACAATGTATTATTAATATAGTTTACAGAATTTGTTTACAAAGAGAGAGAGAGAGAGAGAGAGAGAGAGAGAGAGAGAGAGAGAGATAGAGAGAGAGAGGGGGAGAGTTTAACATCCACTGACACAAACTAGGTCATTTCGGGACTAACACATGATTCAATTTTATTTTGATAATTCGCTTGCGTTTAGGGGTCTTTAGCAGTCGGGGGAAACTGGAGGACCCGGAGAAAACCCACAAGGTTGAACAAGCTACCCTACTCCTTGTCACGCACAACCGGGGAATCGAAACCACACCAGTTGATTCAATGACAGAGCTTATGGTACAGCATGCATGTGCTAACCATTCGGCCATCCAACCCTCCGAATTTGTTTACAACAATTTAACTTGACAAAAGTAGGAGTACCACTACTACTATATCATACACATGATAAAATCAATTATTCTTTTATTCTGTCAGCTTGTCTGCTGGCAAACACTGTGTACTGGTGTGGATTGACATTGTACTATGCTTAAAAGTTGGATGATTGATGCTGGAAGATACGGTAAAACAAGAAAATAATTGTGAGAAAGAATGCTTTAACTAGACCGAGGAGATCCACTGGATTTATAGTCTTTCTTTGACAAATTTACTTAACTATTAAAGTGCCAACTAGCCATCCTTGAGTACCCACAAGTTAGCAACAAAACAATCAACAGCGATTAATCAAATGGTCATTAACATTGATTTAATTATCTCATAGTGTTTTGATACTTCTATTCCTAAAACTGCACGAAGCCAATGGTCATTTGTAAAAATCAGTATGATCATATGGCAGCTATCTGACTCTGAGCATGGCTTGTCAAATTAATTTTTCAATAAACATTTATATTGCTCATTCCTTTCGGATTGCATTAATTTCATGACATATTAATATTTTATTTTGTAGAAGCACACAAAAATCACATAACATTATACTGGGCCATGATATACGGATTGTTAATCATATTAAGTTAATGACATCATGTTTGGACATGCAATGAAATAGAATAACAACATTGAACATAATTACATATGTTGAATCCACTGCCACTGGCACAATAATAATTATCTTCACATTACTAATAACAGATTTATATAGCAAAAGAAAGCGTTGCAACCTACAGCTAGTGACTAATAAATTTGATTCAATCTTATCTTACACACAATTGACAATATGAATAATAATAATAGATTTGTTGAGTCGGAAGAAGTCTGATGTGTGAGATACTAAGAATAATCAGTTTTGGTTGACTAACTTGGCTCTCTCTACAAAGATAACCAACGAGTATACAAATCAACAAACCTCTTTTAATTGCGCCCGTCTTTCTTCTTTAAGCAATATATTTGACAACATGGAGCATTTTCTTGCTTCTCTTTGAGGTCTATCAGAATTCACCTCCTCCTCGTCAGCCATCTTGAATTTTTTTCAACGTTACAGCCACAAATATCATTGAAAACAAACACTGGATCATTCTAAATTAGACAGTCACCGTGATATTACATCTATTCTGATTATCATTACTTAGATAATTTTCTGACTATATAGTATGGACTGAAGTTTACATTTGTCAAAAAATCATTGTTCAAATGTATTTTGTAATGATACAAGGGATAAAGCATGCGTTTGTAGTCCCAATCACAAAGACGGTTAGACAGAAGACACTAAAGAAACGAAAAGTTCCTGAGTGATAAATTATAATTTTAATCTGCATTTTACGAATTGGCAACCGGTTTATCATGATCTGGTTATCTAATGGAATCCACCAAAAAGTTCACATTTACGGACAATGATAATGAACTTAGTGTAATTATACCGGAGGTATATAAATAGCTATCATCAAACAAAGCATCAAAAATGAAACAGTGCCAATGCACTACGCCACTCTAGTGCCAGGAAATTCTTCATCTTCACATTGTTAAATATAAACAAACCACACCACTGGACTTAGTTACAGACCTTATGATCTAAAGTGCAAAACGTTAGACCATTTGGCTACCCCCCCCCCCCACCCTGTCAAGTATAAAACTAAAAATTAAAATGTATTAAACTAGCATTGCCAACGGGTTTTCAGATACAACCATTGACTCAAAAATGACAACGATACTGCAATTGTGAACTATCTAGAATGAATAATCTGAAAAAATTTCGAAAAAATATTGAAAATTAAAAAAGTTATAGCGTTTTAAAGAAGGCAAACCAGAGGCGCTAAAAAACGGCTTTTTTTAAAAACCGCAAAAAAGTGACCGAAGCCAATATCTCAGTAACTATACAAGATAGGTCTATGAAAATTGCACTAATTAAAGATCTAGATGTACTTGATAAAGCCAAATTGTCGCTATAATATTCTAGTATATACTTTTTATGTTACAGAGGTTCAAAGTTGGGATCCGTGCCGATTTCGCACAAATCACAGCAAAAATTTTTTCAAATTTGTGTGTACTTAAGTTGTAGCGCTTTGACATTAATACAGAGGCTTATTTTTTAATGAATAAGCACACATAAAAGTGTTTTCAGTCTGTTCTGTTATTTATTTTTTGCATGACAACACCTTAAATCACAATTTTTGACTGTATGATGTCAATGTCGAAGAGAAACAAGTTTATGTATGTAATTGGGCACCTACTGGTTCCGAGGCCATTGACCACTGGCCATTCACAGTCATACAACAATTATAAACCGGTTATACTAACGTATACTGTGGATATTTTTAAAAATCATGAAAGTGTGTGGCAAAATGAGAAATAAACCTGTAAGCTTTTGGCAGATTTGCCGCCTTTGCCACGCCAACTGCTTTAGTTGTTTAGAAGCTGCCATGTACATCAATTTGAAATTGTTTGTTTCAGGAATGAAAATTAACAATTAAACTATGATTTATATAACAGCTATATTTTTGTGATCAACATTACTACAATTTCAAATAAAAACAGACATAATTAATAGACATAATTAAAACATTTGAATATCTTAAAAGAGTCCAAATTAAAAGGTAAGCTTATAAAAAGTAAGATATGATCTACATGAAAGAGTATTAAAAAAATTAATTTGTGATACATGTGCATTACGATATACTATATTATAATATCAGTGGTAGAAGTCTAGCTTTCTTGTTGAGACATTATCCCATGAAAATAAAAACAATATAAACATTCAGATGGTGATACATCTTGCCGAGACATTATCTATGTCATAAAAATATAAAAATATTAAAAACAAAATCACAATAAGATCAAAATTCATATCTGTTACTTTTTAATATGAAATTAAAAATGTTCACCCACCGGTTTAAAATAAATGATAAAAAAAAAGAAACCATTATCACATTTATCAACAAATATAAGATTTCTAATACATGTATCTTACAAAAACAAACAATAATAACAATATAAAATAATCACATTATTCATATGCGATATTTTTCAAAATAAACAAAAACATTTGACGCATTAGGCCACTTCTTTCAGGTAGAAAATGTTAAAAATAAAATAAATATTATCACAAATATTGAAATAACAAAAATAAGATTACTAACACTGATTTCAAACATTAAATTAAACTAACTTCTATGATTCATACCAAATTTATAATAATTATGGACTTTCTTGAGAATGCTGAGAAACAGTCAGTTTCAAGCCCCCCCTTTTTATAGTCCTCATGCAAATTGTATGAGTAGGCCAATATATCATCATCATTTGTCTATTTTATGTTGTACCAAGTAATATCAGGGATCGCCTTTGGCTATGTTTGGATTTGGATGAGTATATATTATGTAGCTTACTTCTTCAGCTACAGTTCCTGAAAAAAAAATCCAAGGTGGTCAACAACATTCACAATTTTTATCCTTTGTTAGTGAAATGTCTGGCTAAAGTTTGGTTGGTAGCTTTAGTAACATTCAATATAATAAAAAACCCTGTCCAAATCTAACATCATTTTTTTTTACACTGAAGTCTGTGGGGGGGGGGGGGGGTTAATTATGGTCTGAACCCTGATCAACCACGAGTTACCTCCCTTTAATTCCACATGGTTCAATTTCAGCCATTTTACGAATTCCTACGGGGGATACGGACTTAACAAATGGTCAAACTAAGTAGTTAATGAATTGGGCTTTCCAAATATACCAAAATCTTGAGCGTCGAGGGCCTTTTTCGAAAATTTCTCTCAACTTCAAATTTTCAATTCATGAAAAATATCAGAAAATCTTACCTCAGCTTCTCAAAATCCTACTCGACAGCAAGTTCATCTATTTTTCTCGATGGTAAACATCACGTGGTCAATGTTTGACACTTTGAATATTCATGACAAGGCGTAACACGACGTATACTTTTCTCGGTCAACTTTTTGTGATGTCTGTAAATAGTACAGCCAGCGCTCCTAGCGGCGTTTAGCATCGCTAATTAAACATACATTATGCAAGAGCTACATAGGTCTTTCTTTAGGCCTGAAATGTCAAATGTTATCTAAATTATTAATTAGACATTAATTAATTTATCCAGACCATAATCAACTCTTGATGTCATCGCTAGCCTGCGATGTTTATTGGATTAGGTTCCGATTTGCTGTACGACTTCCATTCACGATTTAATCGTGAAATGGATAATCGAAACTATGGTTTTTATCGGTTTTTAAAAGTCGAAAATTCAATGTCTAAAATCTTGGAAATTTTCAGCAAATTCCATTTACATTGTCTAGTTTTTAACTATTATAGTGAGAACTGCCAGGTCTTTATCTAATCTCCCATAATGTATGGTTAAGCTAAATAATTATTATAAATCTCCAAATAATACCTGAATGAGTTCCCTGACAATTTTTTTTAATATATTGTGGGTGACATCCTACTATTAACTAACAAAAGAGCAATATTGGAGTTACGACAAGTCACATCCAAACATATCCTCAGTTTTACAACTCTATTAATTTCTGTCAGTGTTGAATAAATTACTGGTACTTTTCACTTTCACAATTATGAATTTGGAAATTGTTTTAATTAAGCAGTACAACAAATGGCTGTAAAAACAGATTACGGATATAAGACCTACATTGTTCATTATTTGCAAGACATTTAAAGTCACAATTTTGACAGAATATGAATATTGTGCTAACTGTAATTCTTAGAACATGTTATTAAAGGTACTGATTTAAAAGTTCTCTATTCTAATTTTAGTATGTTGATCCGAAATATGGTATGTACACATGGCCATGTGCCCCTGTATTAGCTCAATACATATGGATGAACAGGCATATTATAAAAACCAAAAAAGTCTTAGAGGTACAGTATACATATATTTATCATCAGACCTAAAGGATAAGGATTAGCAATTCTGTTCATTATTATATTGTTAGCTGTGTGAGAAAAACAGATAAGTATGTATATGATTAGATATTAAGGACACAAAATTTCATATATTTGTGGGGAATGAAACTTTTAAAAATGTTAACACAAACAAGATATCATTCTGTATTTTTTTTTTAAATTAACAGATTGGAGCTGGAACTGCCCTTCCAGGAATTGTAGCTGCTAAATGTGGTGCAGATGTTATTTTAAGTGATTCTTCATTCCTTGATGAATGTCAAAGAAACTGCATCAAATCGTGTGAAGCTAATCATCTAATGAATATACCTGTAGTTGGAATAACATGGGGAGCATTTGACCCTAGTTTACTAGAGTTAGGAAGTATTGATATTATTTTAGCATCTGATTGTTTCTATGAAACAAAAGGTATAGTATATTTTTGAGTTATTTGTTTAGTTTATTTTTCTGAGTAATTCAGAATGTGTTTAGAATACAGTTAAAACCGAATGGTTAGCAAATATGCGTTGTATCATAAAGTGTCATTGAGTCAACTGGCGTGGTTTCGATTCCCAGTTGTACGTGACAAGGATTAGGGTGGCCTGTCCAACCTCGTTTTCTCCGGGTCCTCCTGTTTCCTCCCACTGCTAAAGATCCCGAATTGACCAAGTTCGTGTCGAGTGTATGTTAAACACCATTTCTCTCTTTCTCGTTATGTTTAACTTCAAGGGTCCACTTGGGTAAACCATATTGTTGATAAAATGTTATCTCCGTACGTAAGAAAGTCACAATCTAAATTAATTGCCATAATATAAATTAATTCACATATAGTTATTTAATTATTAAGTATTTTTTTTATTTAACTTTGATAATTGAAAAGGTATATTACGTATATTATTGAATGATTTTATAATTTTGTTTTATTTTTTTAGATTTTGAGGATGTTTTGGTGACAATAAGTTATATTCTGCAAAGAAATAATGACTGCCAGTTCTGGTGTACATATCAAGAAAGGAGGTAAGATAGCATGAATTGTATAATATATATTTATTGTGAAGGTTCTTGTTCAATTGATGCCTTGATCAAGTTTTTGGGGAATGAGTTGTCCCCCTTAAGTCTTCAAGAATAAAGTTACTTTAACTAATACTTTCTTTAATTTATTACCGTATTTGGTTATATTCAGTCAACATAGGCACCATGCGATTTATGCTATCAATGTTTCCTTCTGCAAATTACTCCCTGTTAAGCTTCACATTTTGATTTTGAGTTTGGGAAATACAGCTTATTGTTAGTTTGTTTTCATTTTGAGTGAAGCCTGTATCACTCACTATGGGCTTGAGACTCTACGGTGTAGTGGACGCTTATGACTAACCTCCACATCCATTCATTTGATTAGATAAATATTTATTTTTTGCAGTATCTGTGTATATTGTCAGTTAGTTTGTATTATGGGTTTTGTTTATGTGTGGTGTGGTCCTCCAGCATTTACTGTACATTTCAGTACCGGGTAATAATTATTGTAGTCACTATGAATTTCTCTTGCCATGCAAGATCTTACAATATTTGTGCACCATTATTTAAATAATAGTGTCGGAATAGTATTTGTTTCTCTTTCAGTGCTGATAGATCAATTGAACATCTTTTATATAAATGGGGATTGCAAAGCCTACCCATTCCACTAGAAGAATTTGGAGCCAATATACCCAACATCGCAGGATCAAGTTTACCAGGAAGCCACACAATAAATATGTACATTATTACAAAAAAAATTCCTGTTGAATAGAAATGACCAAAGAAGCACTTGAAGGTTTAAGCAGATGCGTCAATATTCTAACGACGACGGCTACTAGAATATACTTTTATAAATTTTCTAGATGCTTCCGTTCATATGTGAAAGAATGTTTTCATGATATCACTAGTAGAACCATAACTTATTGTCAATTAAGCACAACTGTTAAATTTGACACACAAAATTAAGAAATGAATGATTTACTGTCCTGGTGTTGGCTGAGAAAGTTCACCAGGATTTTCCAGCATGGCTTTCCCTTGTCAGTGGTGCAGGACAGAGGGCTTGGCAAGGAACAGTGTCTAGTCATTTATATGGGACAAAAAAAAAATGAGGTGATGTGTAAGAAATATATATTTACAACTTTTTGTTATAAGGATACATTAAAATGATAAACATGAAATAACTCACAAGGGAGTTCAGTTGATAACTACATGTATAAGTTGGACTAGATCTAACATAAGCCAAAGCATGAAATTGATTCAGATGGTTTAAACATTTATACAAATATTTACAATGGAAATTGTTATTTATATATATTTATATTAAAAATGCACAGGCACTTGAAGGGATTAAAATAAAACTTCTTACTACTGCTTGGCTATATATTATAGTATATAAGAAGGTATTTCAGCCGCCATCTTTGTTTTCACGTCTTCAAGGCATTTCGTCTGCTAACATCTCACAATACTCACTAGTTCTAACACTACCCGTCGTTATTATTGCCAACGAGGCCTAAGTTTAGTTTGTAGCAGTCTGTATCACCCAGTCCCTTATAAACGTATCCGTTACTCGAAATTTGGTCGGTAAATGATCGAGCCTACGAAGCGAGGCCGCACCGCAGGTGCAGACTGGATCACCCAGTTCCTAGGAAAATTTCGAGTAACGGATAGGTTTATGAGGGACTGGGTGATACAGACTGCTACAAACTAAACTTATTTCCGGGCTGATGAAGACAAATTTCGGCAAGTGACAGCGCTTCACGTTTGATTTGTAATTAATAACGCTGTTAAATGGCCAATTTAATTACATCGGAAGCTGAATAATGATAAAATAAGGTCTCGTTGGCAATAAAAACGACGGGTAGTGTTAGAACTAGTGAGTATTGTGAGATGTTAGCAGACGTAATGCCTTGAAGACGTGAAAACAAAGATGGCGGCTGAAATACCTTCTTATATATATAGTCAAGCAGTAGTAAGAAGTTTTATTTTAATCCCTTCAAGTGCCTGTGAAAAAATGTTAATAAACGGTCTATAAACAATTGACTGGTCTCTTTTTTTCAACAATGATGGAGATGCTTTGTATATTTGAGCACAAGGCCATACAAAAAAATAACTTGTTCTCAGAGTATCCTTACTTAAAAATCCTATTTTGTGTTTTTATTTTGTCAAAAGATCACTACTGGGCTAAATGGATTCTCATAAACATCACATTTCTTCATGTTGTTTATAAGAATGTATGATTATCCAGTATCATTTATGATTATCACTAACATTTAACAAGGTTGTAGACTTTTTTATTGAATTATTTCCAATAACTGGGCTGAAATATTTACGTGTGTTAATTAATGAGACTGTTTTTATATTTAAGTGACACAGGATTATCTGAGAACCAAAATATTTTTTTAATGTGGCCTAAATAATCTGATTTTATAGATTCTATTTACACCATAATTGAAAGCTGAATTACGTTCTTCCTAATCTATGACCACCTCCCCCACCTCTTGGTTTTCTATTATTTCCAGGATTTCGATGATTTGTGTTCTGATTTTGATTACGACCCAGTCCAAATATTAAATCTTGACCTGGAATACCTCCACTCTGGCTAAGTTTTACAACGCCAAATAGAACAAGTCCCATTAGTAGTCCAGGTATACCTAAAAATAATCCTGCTAATAAGAAAGCCACAGATACTATTGGTTCAATTACGTAAGGTCCAGCATTCCATCTTGGTAAGCCTAATGCAAGCAGCCGTTGATTTAAACTATCAAATATAGAAACTTGTCCTCCTTCACCCTGCATTTCTTGTTGTTCCTGTTCGTTATAATTCTCATGTCGAACAGAGCCCTGAAAGAGAAATATTATAATTAATAAAAAAAAACACGGGAGTATTTTCAAAATTGTGACAGGGCACAGAAAATGCAGAAAGGTAAGTCGGCTTAAATATTCATATATTTTGCTTATTATTTCGTTTCTAACTTCTATTGTTTTCAGTCAACCTAATTCTCAAGAAAGCCTGACTAGCAATATTTTGAGAATGGGAGTGAATCGAAGTGCAGCTCTTCACAATTGTGTTAGTTTTAAATAAATTGTATTCGCGATGATCGAGGAACCCGATTGGCTTCCCAGCTGGGTCAGTAGCCAATCGAAAGAAGTTTGAACATTCTAGCTCAATTAGAAAGAGAGTTATTGTGTCCCAAAAAGTGTGACGGACGGACAGACAGATGGACAGACAAATAGTGCCAAAATATGCAGGGTATTACATGAAGGGCTTGATAAGATGTATTGAGTTAAAGGGAGATCAATTTCTATTGAAGATGATGAATACAGGAATACGTCGCATACGCCATGCCATGTGCTTTGGTGGAAATTTTGGTCGGACAGCGAGGTTATAACCTACTCCAGTCCTTCATTTTTAATGTGCGCTTTTCCCTCCTGCTCCTCTCGACTTTCCATCACAGGAGCCATTAAAGACTCCTGCAAATTAGCTAAATCGCTAAATTGAAATTAATAAACTACTTCCAGTTTTTTTTTATTTTTAAACTGCATACTTTCGAGCTATCAGTTTCCATGATGATGATTCTGACGCTGCCATATTCACCAAATATTAAACAAGACTAAAGCATAAATACAATTTGGCTCTCCTTAATTCAAGAAAATGTAGAATTACTCTTGCAATATAATTTTTCACAGCAGTTCTTTTCTCATTTTTATACGCCCACATTGAAATGTGGTCGTATATTGTCGTCGCCCCCTTACGTCCGTTGGTCCGGCGTCCACAATTGCTTGTGGACGCTATAGAGGCTAAAGTTAATATCCGATTGACTTTAAATTTATATACAGTGTTTAAGGCCATGAAGAGAAGAAGCCTATTGATTTTCAGCGATTTCCGATAATTACTGCCAGAGTTATGGCCCTTGATCACTTCAAAAAATCTTATGGACGCTCTAGAGGCTAAAGTTAATATCCGATTGACTTTAAATTTATACACAGTGTTTAAGGTCATGATGCGAAGAAGCCTATTGATTTTCAGCGATTTCCGATAATTACTGCCAGAGTTATGGCCCTTGATCACTTCAAAAAATCTTGTGGACGCTCTAGAGGTCAAAGTTAATATCCAATTGACGTTAACGTTATACACAGTGTTTAAGGTCATGAGACGAAGAAGCCTATTGATTTTCAGCAATTTCCAATAATTACTGCCAGAGTTATGGCCCTTGATCACTTCAAAAAATCTTGTGGACGTTATAAAGGCCAAAGTTAATATCCGATTGATTTTAAATTTATACACAGTGTTTAAGGTCATGAGACGAAGAAGCCTATTGATTTTCAGCGATTTCCAATAATTACTGCCAGAGTTATGGCCCTTGATCACTTCAAAAAATCTTGTGGATGCTCTAAAGGCCAAAGTTAATATCTGATTGACTTTAAATTTATACACAGTGTTTAAGGTCATGAGACGAAGAAGCCTATTGATTTTCATTGATTTCCGATAATTACTGCCAGAGTTATGGCCCTTGATCACTTAAAAAAGTCTTGTGGACGCTCTACAGGTCAAAGTTAATATCCGATTGACTTTAAATTTATACACAGTGTTTAAGGTCTTGAGACGATGAAGCCTATTGATTTTCAACGATTTCAGATAATTACTGCCAGAGTTATGGCCCTTGATCACTTTGAAAAATCTTGTGGATGCTCTAGAGGCTAAAGTTAATATCCGATTGACTTTAAATTTAAACTCAGTGTTTAAGGTCATGAGACAAAGAAGTCTATTCATTTTCAGCGATTTTCGATAATTACTGCCAGAGTTATGGCCCTTGATCACTTCAAAAAATCTTGTGGACGCTCTAAAGGCCAAAGTTAATATCTGATTGACTTTAAATTTATACACAGTGTTTAAGGTCATGAGACGAAGAAGCCTATTGATTTTCAGCGATTTCAGATAATTACTGCCAGAGTTCTGGCCCTTGATCACTTTGAAAAATCTTGTGGACGCTCTAGAGGCTAAAGTCAATATCCGATTGACTTTAAATTTTTACACAGTGTTTAAGGTCATGAGACGAAGAAGTCTATTCATTTTCAGTGATTTTCGATAATTATTGCCAGAGTTATGGCCCTTGATCACTTCAAAAAAATCTTGTGAACTCTCTAGAGGCCAAAGTTAGTATCCGATTGGCTTTAAATTTATACACAGTGCTTAAGGTCATGAGACGAAGCAGCCTATTGATTTTCAGCGATTTACGATAAGTACTGCGAGAGTTATGGCCCTTGATCACTTTGAAAAATCTTTTGGACACTCTGAAGGCTAAAGTTAATATCCGATTGACTTTAAATTTATACACAGTGTTTAGGGTCATGAGATGAAGTCTATTCATTCTCAGTGATTTTCGATATTTACTGCCAGAGTTATGGCCCTTGATCATGTTGAAAAATCTTGTGGACGCTCTAGAGGCCAAAGTCAATATCCGGTTGACTTTAAATTTATACACAGTGTTTAAGGTCATGAGACAAAGAAGTCTATTCATTTTCAGTGATTTTCGATAATTACTGTCACAGTTATGGCCCTTGATCACTTTGAAAAATCTTGTGACACTCTAGAGGCTAAAGTTATCATCCGATTGACTTCAGATTGATACACAGAGTTTAAGAGCTTGAGACGAACAAGTATATTGATTTTCAATGAATTTTTATGACTTGAACAGCTAAATCCATGATATTAAAAACCAAACAAATTCTAATGGTTTTCTGATAATTACTTAATGAGTGTATTATAAATGTTTCATTACCGAAAGAAGTCAAAATATTCGACAACACTTGTTGACTGCCCGGACGATTTAGCTGCTGTGGGCGTATGTTTCGTTGCCAGGCAACCTATCTTTGAAATTGGCATGAGCTTTTTGTGGCTCCCGCTCAATTTTATAAACATGGAGGACTCCTACTCTTATTTCGAATTCCAACTGTCAAGGGCTCTTTTACGTGCACACCAATGTGTAACACGGGACCTTGGTGTTTCGTGCCATCCGAGCGACTATATATTGTCCTTTGCCAGACAGTTCTGATTAGGGGAATCCACGCCGGAAAATCCTGATGAACTTTCTTGGCCAACACCAGGATTGAAAATGGGACCTCCAGGTTTGCGAGCAGCTACTGCGGCTTCTTAGCTTGGAACAAAATGATCAATAAATTCCCAGTTGTAGAAATGAAGTGAAATAGTTTTTTTCTGTAAAGCTCACGTACCTGTCTCTGTTGAGGAGCATCTCCACTTCCTCTATTACGTGGCTGTGGATCATCCGGAAGTATTTCTCCAGTACTAGATATTCTCACCATTTTTATGAATGTCCACAAAATTCTAAACAAAAAATAAAAAAGGTTTAATAGAGTTACGCACAACAATAATTACATGCTTTTAAAAAGTGTAATATTACATACGAATGTACTTAGAGTGAGTAAACATATTTCATCCTTATTTAGGAGGTAAACAATGGTTGCAATATTTGGGCCTTGGATACATGAAATGAAATGGGGGTCGAACGTCCTACTTTTGATTCTGCACCGACTGGCAGACTGGGCTGATGAAAACATGCATACACTATGTATGCCTAATCTTGTGGGTTTTCTCTGGGTACTGGTGTCTTTAAAAAGGACGAACCTACGATTTGCATAGATAACAGGTGTAGATAACCAGCCATTAGACATACAGTGGATATGTTAGACCAAATTATCAAAAGGAATCAAACAAAGTAAGTGTTCTACAGTAGCCTACAACAGGGACCCAACAGTAACATGCACAGTGTTCCATCACAATATAACATCTGGAAAAATAATGGGAAACTTAACAACTAAGATTATCAACTGGAGTCCCTGTGCAATGGACTTTCTTTGTTCCTTACTTTACTCAATTTCTGAAAGTAAAAACAGCAAATCTGAACTTGGACACTGTCTAATAAATATCAATTTATCAAACTCTTTTTTTTTTTGTTTGGAAGTGTACCACTACTTATGATACACGGACCGAAATGTCTTAGTAATAAAATAGCACAATTAGCTTTAGGATACTGATATTTCACCTCTTAACTGTTAATTACATGTAAATTGAAATAAACAACAATATTTTCATTAAATACAATCAACACGTCATTGTAAACATAAGGTACAGTTATCTATCCGGACGTTTGTTTTACGATAGAGTACCGTCCCTTGTGGTGGGCGTGCCATGTAATAATTCGCTAAAGCGCAATCGGAAAGCGCACAAATATCAATACTGGTGGATCAAGGCTATTAATTTGCCAGGTGGAATTTTGTGAAAAGGGTGAGAGGGTAATTAATCTTTAGCAAGTTCAGGTAAATGTACATGGATATGTTTCATGTGTCACAACTTCTGATGATTGTTGTTTTGTAGATTGTAAATAACGATCTGTATATATATAGGCCTATGTTATCAATACCAAAAGCAAAAACAATAGGCCTAAGGCTAATAATTGTTAATTAATAATTTTTAAAGTGTCCAGTTGGGTGACAGCTAAACCGGTTTTGACTGATTTCCAGGTCAGGTACTTGACCTTAAATTGCTAACAATTATTGCGACACATAAAGGAGTCCTCAGAGTTTTCAGAGTGTGTCATACAAAGTAAAATAAAAGTTTGTATATAGAAGTAACACCACATACTTTTGTTTGGCGACACTTATTGTCAATTAAAACTTAAAGCAGAAATCTCAGTTTTTAGAGTTTTATAATCATAAGAAAAAATATTTTTAAAGTGGAATCTTAGAGACTTCTTTTTGTTTGTTGATTTGCAGTTCAAATGATATAAAAGATATTGGTTGGACTGATATAATGATTAATGACAGATATTAATGACACTACACTTGCCATATTATTATTAATACACAAAGATAGTTAGATGACCCTTCTCAATCTGTTATTCGATTTAGATGGTTAACAACAACAACATTTATTTGTACTGTTAATTCTAACATATATTGAGTTATTTTTTCATATTTCATTTTTATGGTCTATTTCGGAGTAATGAAGTCATTTTTGACTTTTATGATACATTGGCATGAACACATCTTTTTACTTCTGTACTCTTTTACTCGGGGAACTTAGAACCACAATATTCTTCTGGCGGAAATGTATCTCAAATCGTTTGGACTGCACAAGATGGTAGAGGGACTCTTTTCAAAAAGTCACTTTAAAACACAGTTTTAAAATCGCTGATGTGAAAAGAGAGGGCGGGACATTATGAAACAAATGCTAAATTGGGTCTTAGATTAAAATAAATTACAAAACAAATTATTCCGTCGTCAATTATTTTATTTAATTAGGGGATTAAGGAATCAGTCAGGTGTTAATGAATACACACGCTGGCTGTATATAGGTAATTAAGGAATAAACATTCCGAATATGCATTCGGTCACTGTGACATCACTGGTGTCTGAGGGGATAAAGAAGGTTTTCGATAATTGGCAAAGTTGTTCTTATGGGAGGTCTCTTTTTGCGACTTTGATTGAAGATAGCTGAATTAATTTTAATCAGATTAATGTGAACTTGCCGTAAAGTGGATGTAGTAACCATTGGCTATACGTACTAAAAAGTAATGTCATCCATCTTATGTGCCCTTTAAGAAATCAAATCTTAATTGAAGTGATATGAATAGGTATTGACGAGATACTGCTGTGTATTAGAAAAAGGCACAGTATGTCCCTTTTTTTGCTGGAATTCCACAACTCGCAATAGCAAAAGGCATTTTAAAATTCACTTTAAAATTTTCGAATCACATGTTTGTAGTCTATAACAATTCAAGATGATAGGTCCACTTGTAGCAATGCTTCTGTCTTATATAGTGTTTACTTATTTGTATAATGATTAGTTCAGTCAATATATTAATTGGACCACCAACAAACATTTGTGTGTATGATATGATCAGTGCCTATGACTTCAACCGAATTAAGGTTGTAATTGGAAAATTGAAAAGTGTTTTAGAGCGGTTGACACATAAACAGCCATATATCAAATAATTTGAATCAGATAGGTGTGAAATTGTAAAGCGAATATGGTACACGTACATATAATTTTGTTTGGTCATTTTATGTGCTCTTTAATTACATGGATAAATTGAAAAATCTTGTCTGCTGAACTCTAGGGGGGTTGGGATGGCCTAGTGGCCTTAGAGTGTTGCGCTTTGAGCTCCTGCTGGTTGGTCACCTCTGGCTTGCGGACGTGGTTTCGATCCCTGGTGTGAGCTTATGTGGCTTGGAGATAGGGGCGCCTTCTCAACCTCGTGGGTTTACTCCGGGTACCCTGGTTTCCTCCCACAATAAAGACCCCAACATGTGCCCTAAGATAATGAAAATAAGACAACTTATCTGCAACATCACCCTTGGTGGAAGTGGATGTTAAACAATAAGAACAACAATAACAACTGCTAGTTTATAGTATCGACGTGGATCAGTACCTTTCATGTACTAATATTATTTCTCTAAGTAATAAAAAATATCACTATATCTTCAGAATGTAATGTTCTGGAAATTGTAAAATCGGGCCCATAGCCAGTTCTTAAAATTTGGTGGGGCTACGGAATTTTTTGAGGGGCTGAGGATGTGGCCGGCTAAGAACGCTCCAAAGAAATCATTATTTTTGGCAAAATATTAGGGGGGGCTAATTCGATTTTCGGGGGGGGCTAAGCCCCCCATAGCCCCCCCCGTGGCTACTGGCTCGTGTAAAATCAAGAAACATATAGATGCTATATGAACATGGTTAGAAGCAAACATTACTTTGATATTGGCTTCGTTAGACATATTTATTATGTACATGCATTTGATACACATGTCCACAAGCTCTTTTGGTATGCGATTTTCTATGTAAAGGTGAAGGTATATTCTGATGACTAATGCAAAAGATGCATTCAAGCATACTACATATTACGAAGTTTATGGTCTGTTTAAGGTTAGGGTGATTTATTTAAATGCTACACATTATAGACTACATGTTTGTGATTTTAAAAAATTTGACCCACTGACACAAATTAAGTTGTATAATGTTTTTATGCATTTAAATTGTATTAGAAACACATTTTTTGGTATTGTCCAATTTTGATTATTGTGAACATTCTTTTTTTGGAAATATGTTAAGAAGAGTATATTACATGTATTCAGTTTAGAAGATTCTGTATATTCAGTTTAGGTAGAAGAATATGTAATGCCACTTTTTTTATCTACGTAGGTGACACGCATGAACGGTTGTCCTAGTAAAGATCTAGACTGTTCACCTTGTTTCATTTGTATTATTTACAGATAGTTTGAGACAGTAGCAAGATGCCTAAACATAAGCATCATAAACATGGCCATAGGAGCAGTAGTAGCAGCAGTTCAAGTTCGGATTCTTCGGATGATGAGTACAAACATCTTCCAAAACATGAACGTAAGAGGATGAAGAAATGGAAGAAAGACTATAAAAAGGTATTGTCACTTCGCTGCATTTCAAATGACAAGTTCTGTCACAGTTCTTTCCGTTCTGATAACTTTCATGTAATAGAAGATTCATGAAATGAGACAAAAATGTTTAAATCCACTGATTGGCATTTACATTTCTCAGACAATGTGTAATTTTTCACAACTTAATTCATGCTAAAATCTACTCCAATTGATAATTACCCTCTGACTACAAAATAATTTCAAATGTGGGATAACTGTGTGTTGGTTGGGGAATGGGGTTCATTAATTTTTAAAAGCCGAATTTTAAAGAAAAGGGTTGGTGATTTTCTGTATCCACATGGCTAATGAGTGAGATAGGAGTGGAGTTTAACGGCCATTTGACACAAACTAGGTCATTTCGGGACTAACATGGTGCACTTTATTCATTGATTTGCTTGCACATAGAGTCTTTACCAGTGGAAAGATAACAGAGAAAACTTACAAGGTTTGGCAGGGGACCCTACTCCATGTCACATGCAAGTTTAGGATTGAAACCACCCATCTTGACTCAGTTACAGACCATAGACAACTCGACCGGGTTAATGAACACACACATGTGCAGTGTGCTATGAGGGAAATATTTTGTGTGGACCGCAATGCAACCGCCTCATCTTATTTTGAATTCCATCTTTCTAGGGTTCTTTTACGTACACGCCGGTCATCAATGTGTACACAGGATCTCCCTTTTAATCCCAAACCAACGACTAGATCCCATGGTTCCCTTAATATGGTCTGATCAAGGGGATGGACTTTTTTGTTTGCATCCTAAATCAGTTTAATTGAATAGCATGGTTCAGTATTTTCGGACTATGGTTTGGACTAAATGAAATTCGGATTCAATTAGTTCGACCATAGTCAAGAAATCATGATAACTTAAGGTCGCCCAGACTCTCCATCATGTTGAGTATCGGAGACGGTTTAGCAAATATGACGTCATATGTGGAGTGTGGTTTAAGGTTAGGGTAAACAAGGTTAGAGCCAACCCTAACCCTAACCCTTGACCTTACCCGAAACCTAAACCACATCCACAGATGATGTCATTTGTGCTAGACCATCCATGAAGGCTATTTCAGCATAATTCTGAACGGTCTGATTCATATTATGTTTTGCACAGAACCTTTCTTTACAAACCGATTTTGAGAAAACTTTGAGAATAAGTACAAAATGACCCAATTAATCGTTTACCATTAACATTTTACCTGATTTCAAGGTTTTACACATTTTAATAAAAACCCCTTCAATTTTATGACATCACATAAAAAATCTAGGTCAAATATCAAAATTCTAATACAAGCGATTGATTGCTAATAGTAAATAGACGACTCCTTGTGACAAATATTTTTAAAAAATGCAAAATTATAAAAGTTGAAATTTTTCCTCGTTTTCAGAAGGGGGATAATCGGAAAATATTATTGACATGTCTGGCGTAATCTACCCTTTTGTAACAGATTCTGATAGTTTCAAGTTGAATTCTTCAAAAATAAAAAAGTTACAGAGTTTTGAATTTTGAGCTTAAACTTGTGAATTACGAACACCTTCCAATTGTTGAAAACCGCATTCAAATAAAAAGTTTCCTTTAATGTCTAATATTGATCTATTTTCGTCTATGACGTCTCATCCTGATAACATTTTTAAAGATTTAACAATTCATTAAGCTCTATTTGTATAGAGTATGTTCTTTTTCGTAAAAAGTCTGCAAAAAAAAAAAAGAAGAAAAAAAAAAGAATAATGATTTGACCTGCAAGCAGCACT